TTCCCAAGATAGATATAGGTGGCATCGTTAGAAAATATTTGACGCGTCCCTACTTAAAAAAAAGTATAAATTTCACTCGATAATTCATGCAATCGCTTTATTTATAAGACTTTTAATTCCGTTGTTCTTGCAGTTGATGCTTATCAAAGATTTTGCAACTTAATTGGCTCGAGTATCAAAAGTTTCTTCCATTTCCCATAATTCCAGTAAATATGTAATTGAAGGCCGTTGTGTTGATGGAAAATTGAATAAACTATAATAATACAATTAACAAATATGACAATTTGGTTTCTGCGAGACTAACTTCTTATCCTTCTTCTATGTTTTTGTGCCGGCGGATCCGTATTCGTATTATAATGCTAGGATGCTGTAGCAGGAGTAAAGATAACTAACCCTAACCTTGGTCAGACGAAACGTTACCAAAATATAATTGTGTTAGTGTGCAGCAAGACTCTTGAATCACTTAGAATAGTTATATCAAGCAATTTAATTTTAGACACCGTGCCCACAGTAGGTTGTTTGTAGGACATTCAAATTTGGGTGTCACTGCAGTGAGAAGACGTCGCCTTTATTGCTTTTTTTCTAAAGTAAAGCCCTTTCGAAAAAAAAGCAATAAAGGCGACGTCTTTCCTTAAGATGAAATCTTTGTACCGCGTTGCATATTTAAAAAACTTCTCTATTTTTAATATAAACAATTATATGAAGCACGTGCGTAATAAATACGTCATAAAGATAAGTTCTGTATGATTTATACGTTAATAATATTGAAATACGTAAGTCTTAAGATATTCCATTTTACATCGGCTTTAAGGAGCGAAAATGTTATTGAAGTATAAGAACGGAGTAATGAAATAATATTATTAGTCAAGACTAACTAAGTTTTCTTGATCTGTACCTGTGAGCAAGTTTGCGTATAAGGCGAGGGTGTATACTCCTGTTGTATATGTATTGTGTTAGGGTTATCCATGATTGTTTTTCGAAATTCCTCATTTTAGTTCTATCACGAGTTCGGGAACTGTCTGTGTCAGCCAAGTAAATATACCCCCTGCCCATAGGTTTCAGTACCTTTACACAACTTGATGTAAAGAAGGCGTATGTCGATTAGATTGCGATACTAAAATTGTTTTGTTTTGAATTTTCTATGGAGAAAAGATGTCAGTTTACCCGGTCATTCAAGTATTTCAGCCACGTTCCTGTTTCGATTTCACCTTATTTCATTCATTTCATTACTATTGGTTAATCATGATATTTTTATGCCGTTTCGCTCCTAACAAAACCCGCGAGCAGCCACTGATATCCAACGATATGTAAAGATCTACTATTTATGAAAAGACCGGAATCTTTTCGGTCTCGCTTGAGTGAAGAGAGCCAATCGAAACTAAGGATAGAATAATTGAATGCTATTTATACGAATATTAGCCGTGAATTGAGTATATTAACAAATATTGAGAGTAATGTTTCTCAAACTGAGTTGATAGCATGCACGAACACTGACTCAGATGTCGTTTGCAAAGGAAGTCTTCAACATGATTCCATCTGTTTAGATTTTGAATATTCCGGCCTAATATACGGTTCATGACTGTTTATTACAAAATATAGATTTCATTTAGATATTAGTAAATGTCTTCCCACTTTATTGCAGCTGACATGTAAACTGCATTGATAGAGAATTAGTTTAATAGCGAAGATTTGCGTTGTATAGAGCGGCCTTAGACGGGAAGTTTAACTAAGAGTCGATATCCAGATTCTTCGTCGATGTAGGCGAGTTGTTAGAGCGTTGAACTGTGTCTATGTTGTCATTTCTGGCTTAAGATCTCGGGTTATAATCCCTTGTCTATCCCGAGCGTATTAATTTGGGCAGGCAACATCTAACGGGAATCCCCCTCCCACTCCTGTACATAAAGCAGCTTGTAACGTAGCTTGTACATAGACTTGTTTGGAAGGAAGCGCATAAAACGATTTATTATCATACTTGAAGCGGTTTGTAGCAAATCGTTCATCGTTGGACTGTATGTAATGTACTAGTTTTCTGATAATATGATTGAAGGGGGTTCGCTCGATTCTATTTTTTCGTTAGATGCGATTGGCACATAAACTATTTTTTAGGTATATAAAACTATGTGAATTTCAATTACTTGGGCAAGGATTTCGAACGCGACAAAATTAGATCCAATGCAGAAGCTACACTTGTTTTAATAACTCACTTATGAGTTATGCTCCCTTCATTTTGCCTGTATTATCTATATTTTGCAGCTTCATTACTGTATGAAATTATTTAACGAGTATTTACATCATATCATTCAATATACGGCAATGGATTGTTTAAAAATAAAGCAGACATCTTCCATGTAAAATGATCTTGGCATTCGCCGAATTCTCTAATGTCTAAATTTGAATATGATAAACATAGAACTTGTAACCAAATGTGGAAAGTAATATACGGTACATATATTAGGCAGTGATTCTAAAACGATGGGACGTGGACAATTCATTGCGTATTGTATTGTTATATTGTCCACGTATTTTCAACGTGTTTTTGAATAAAACATACTTTGCCTTACTATCTATTTTCTGTAGCTCATCGTTAGCTAGTTATTTTTGAGGTGGCAACTTCCAAAAAGGGGCGCGGCTTTAAAAGTTTGAGAACCACTCTATTAGAGTGTACATTTCAAGTCTGGCATTGACAATTCGCTCGCTTAATTGTATATTTACTTTAGGAAAAGAATTAAACTTGGATTTTAAATTTGAAAACGACAGTGTGACTGAAAACCTCCCAAAAATTAAAATACAGTACTAAATGACATTATCCCATTTTCATAATTACTGTATCGATTTTGATGGCTACCCGTCAAATTTAACAAAAATATTTAAAATTTTCGTCCGGGTTTTTCATCTGCCATTGTGAGTTGGCGCGAATCTATCATATTATCTTTTTGAGCGACATGCTTTTGTTTAATTTGTCAGCTTGTCAAAATGACTGCAATGGTTTATGGTTAGCATTAGATTATAGTTATATACAGAGTCCCCAACAAATTTCGCCCGATTGTATAGTAACAGCAATTAAAAATTTCGCCAGATTTTATAGTAATAAAAATTGTAAGTTCGAATAAATTTTATTGTATGATGAATTAGGACTACAGGCACAATGAGAGCTGTTAATGAACAAAGCCAAATTTTTTTACATGTTTTACATGTTTCATTACTATAAAATAGGGCGAAATTTTTGGACACTCTGTATATATGCATTGCCAAGTCCAATCAATCACCGCTCGCGCGACTCTAGGTAGTGTCAGTCCTGACAATTCCAAGTATTCAAACTCCATGAATTGTTTTGTTGTCGTCATGAATGTGGCTTCTCAGAGATTGTTCTAGGCAAACTTTGCGTGGTAAAATACATAGCCATATTGCTTGATTGCAACTTACCATAAGTTCGAGTCGCGACGGACGAAATTTAGAAGTGGTGCTTTGTTATCTGAGCTGGGTTTAGAGGAGGGGGAGATCTTCATATGAGCACAATTGGGAGAGGGGATCTTCATATGATTCATTATTTTTATCATTATGCCCTAAATGCCGGCAAACTTTGATGAAAAATCTTTGATATAACTTCGTCTAATAAATGCTTCTTGGAAAACGCAGCATTTTTGACTGATGGTACAAGTATCAAAAATACCCTGAATTGTAAACAAAACCTTACATTTTTCTTAAGATGTACGCTGAAATTTTCCGTTGGATTGTAGGGTTTTTTGAATAGAACTTTTGATATAACTTTGTTCGGTGACTAGTTCTTTGCTTTGACCGATGAGTCAAGTATCAAAAATACCCCGAGTCGCAAACAAAAGATTACATTTGTCATATTATCTAATGCAAATATAAATGGTTCAGTTTTCAATCAAAAGACTTGATTTGACAGGCAGTCAATACGGTGCAGATAACGCGAGACGGTTCTATTTATCCAGCAAATAATACCGCGTTAATCCCGATTCAAATTAAGCCAATACCACACATAGACGATGGATAACTGCACAAATACATACCTTAAATCCACCTCAACATGTATCTGCACAGCGAAATTAGACCAATGTGGTGTGATTGTTTTGAAATGGAAAGCGTTTGTTGAGAACGAAAACAATTTATTGCAGAATCAGTGTTCGAATGTGCGTAGTATTTTGGGTACTCCCGTAGTATGTGTACCAGGTTAAAGTTAGGCCATAATTTTATTCCGATTTTCCTTATTTTAGTTCTATTACGAGTCCTTTCACAACTTGATGTAAAATAGGCGAACAAAATTAGTTACCTCCATATTGGTACACGTACTTCTGCAGCGACGTATTTTAAGGAAATAGAATAAAACGCCGTGAATAGGTGGTACAAGATAGGAGTAATTAACTTAAAAAAGGACTGTTGGCATTTATAGATACTTCATTCACATAGCTTAACTTTAATCTTTAAATGTTGGTGCATTTGTATATACCACGTTTGTTAAATCAGCTAGCATAACATTTAGAGTTGAATTGTTTAATTATGTGTGTTTTACTCATGACTATGGCTGCAAAATTTGTTTTAAATTTCATATCAAAAATGTAGTTTGTAGACTGTTGTGTGTAGACCACGGTTTGAACCATATATTCACTTTCTCCCAGCAGTCTCAATTTTACTATGATGATCAGCCACCACATTTACTATCAGCGCAATTGTAGGTTCTTTGCGTTATCAGATCTAAACTGTTAGCTTAATATGAAATGTTCCACATCGTTTCAATAGCTACATGATGGTCGAGAAATTACGGAGAAATAATTTCAGTTTTATATAACAAACAGATGTAAACAATCTATATTATATAATCGTGAACTTTTTTAAATTGCGAATTTCTTAATTTCAGCCACTGCAAATTGAATATGCCATATTTTATCGCCTACGTGTGTGACAATTTTTAAGATCAATTTATTTCCGGAAATAAGACTTCAATGGAGTAACCGAGGAATTTTTTTATTTTGCCACAGAAAACAATGGAACGACACAGCATATGACAATAACTAAACACAGAACAATGAAAGACAAGAACATCGGTCGAAAAAGACAATCCACACCTGAAAAACTTCCTTATGCTCTACCACAAAGACGTCACAGCAAAAATAACGGAAAATCATTAAAAAAGACTTCAAAAAATACAGAAATAACAACTAATTCAACACGGAAATCACATTCACCAAAAACTGAATATTTATCGGTGGACGAAAACCAAGATATCGCTAAATCCGTGCAGCAAAGTTTCCCACAAAATCAAGAAGGCGATATGATAGACAAAGATATTTCTATCGCTGCTAATAAAGCCTTAAATAAAACTTTGTCAAATGAGGTAATTGCAAATGGGTTTTCTGAGGAAGAACGTAGCTATATTGAACTTGAGGCAGTGAACGAGCTAACGAATGGAAATATACTGGATAATAGCACTGTGTGTCACAACAATGAGCCTGCGGATGCAAAGGTAGGAAATCGTGATTATATGTTTCAGTTGCTATGCGGCCTGTATGCTCCCCATCTTCTCATTTTAGCGGGGTGTTCCCAAATTTAAAGGGGTTGTAAATATTTGGCTATTAGCGATAAAACTATTCGTAACTTATAAAATAATGTTTTGAACTTGACTGATCATCTGCCAGACCGTATTTTTGATCGACATATTCTTGTTAGTTAATTTGGCAGCCTGTCAAACCGACTGCAATGGTTTGAAATTGAATCTTTTGTACAAAGCCCGCGCAAAAAAACACCCTCGCCCTCGCTCAAAATAAAAAACATAGTAATTATCCAGTCGGAGTTAGAGTGAGGATTAGAAATTTAGATTCCGCTGGAAATTTCAAATTTTCGAACCATTCCTAGCCCACACCCTATAACTGAATAATTCCTACGGTAATTTGTTATTTTGAAACGTTGCGGGGTGTTTTCTCAAATCTCACATTTTTGCATTAGTGGCGTGAGCTTTGTACAAAAGATCTTGAAATTTAAGGAGGTGTTCACGTTTTATATTATGTAGGTGGTAAAAAACTGTGTGCGATTTTAGCGATGGCTGAAGAATTTAATTTACAGGGTTATCTCAAAATAAAATAGGACCCAGATCATATGAAACATATTCAAAGAAAACATAACTTTTTTGCAAGTATTCTTGATTACTGAAATTTTTGGGTACAATCATACACAAACACAAATTTGAGTATTACAAAAAAAAAAATTATTTTCGTGAAAGCAATTAAGAAATTTATGGGCTGTGTTTTATCATTTTTGGTCGCCCTGTGGAAGATATTTGAAATTAATGCTGTCAAGATTCCAGATTTGATTTTAGTGAAATTACATTTATTGAATTTTTTCAGGTGCCAACAAACGAAAAAAACTCAAACGGAATAAAACCCGTTCATAACGGACGGATTAAACATCTCGTAAATGCCACAAATGACGACGTTACGCCACCAAATAACGACTTTCAATGCCACGAGAAACTGTCAGCTATAGAAGAAAACGCCACAGGCGATACCGATTCTTCTGCGACTATAGATAGCGACAGCTCTCTGACAAAAACGACTGCGGGAGGAACTAACGTAAATGCAGTGAACGTGCCAAAAACACCTGCCGTTTTGAATTACAAAATGAAATGGGCGGGATTGTCAACCAGAGCTCTTACGAAAGAAAATGCTCAAAAACAGACGAACAGAACTAATATATTAATTAGCGCTACTGAACCTACGGGCAGTAATAACGCATCGACTGAGACAACGTCGAAAGCAGATTCAAAAGCAGAAGGGAACGCCGCCGTCAGAAAAGTTTCCTTAGCAATGAACGCATTTAAAAAACCAACCAAAGAAATACCAAGGCCCTCGGCGACGATGTGGCAACATGCGGTAAGAATTTTTTTATTTATTTTTTAGTATTTTTCAGTATTCCCATTTGCTATTCAGTTTAATATTTGTGGATATAAATACCAATTACTGCTTGTCTGGAGGCATGTTCAGAGACTTTTCTAAGCCCTACACAAGAGAGTAAATAAATGAAAATACTGGCGCGCAAAAACTTGCCCGAAACAATTGTATTATCGATTCGGGCGCTCCTGAAGTACATGAACCAAGATGGCGTACAGCCTGAACCCTAACCTGGTACACATACTATGTTCAGCGCCATCTTGGTGCACATGCTTCAGGAGGTCCTCGATTCGTGGTTGAAATACGCCGACATGAGTCGCAAACGAAATATTAACATGTGAAAGTTAGATTACGGAACTAAATATTTTATCAGTCAATAGAATTTTTCCCGCTATGCGATTTTCTCTTAAAAGATTAGGATATACATTTTTATCCCGGGGAGAGGAAATCGATACGACGACTTAATCATGTGGCGAACCACGGCCTCTCGTCTGGTTACCATTCAATGTCGGGTATGGGATTAGTTAGCCAGTTATTTGTTTTTGGAAGCATGGACTTGATGGCGGACAAAGAAGCCGTAACCGACTTCGATGACGAGGAGTCCAGTAATCTTCTTGCGCATCATTATCCCCACATAGGATTCGAATCTGCTGCCCACGCAGCGCAATCAGAGGTGCGGTGGCGAGCGTATCTCTGTCGCTTTGCCCGATGCGCCACACCGCTGAGATTTAGTTTATTTGACTAAGGTAAGTGATTGGGATATTTGGCTGTATCCTTTTTGAAGTAAAACAACCGACGTACTTTGAGCCATTATTTTCTCCTTTCGCGCTAAAATGTGATTGAATCATAATGACAATGAAAATAAGATTAAAATGTCAAGACCATATGTTGTTTGTGACTTCATTATGCAACACATAAACATTAAAGGCTTTTGAAAACGGCAAAAATTTTCACTGGAATTCAACAGTATAAGCATGTCATTACGGCATTTTGCTGCTTGATAACAATTTGCGGCTTGATAATGAGAAATACACTTTTAATTAAATACTGTTAAAAATGCCGAAGATTTCGGTAGAATTTCTCGGTATTAGCAGTTGAATACTGCATTTTGCGGCTTGTTAATGAGGGAATACACTTTCAATTAAATGCTATGAAAATACTAAATAATTTTAACTGGAGTTTACCACTATTGGCAGTTGGATACGGCATTTGTCTGATTGATAACAATTTGCGGCGTGATAATGAGGTACATAGTTTATTTATATGCTGTTAAAAATGCCGAACATTTTACTAGAATTTACTAGTATTAACGGGGAATACGACATTTTGTTGCTTGATAACAATTTGGGGCTTGTTAATGAGAAACACACTTTGAATTAAATGCTGTTAAAAATGCTGTATATTAAACTAGAATTTACTAGTATTAGCATGTGAATACAGCAATTTGCTGCTTCATAACGTTTTCGGCGTGATAATGAAAAACATGCTTTCATTAAATACTGTTAAAAATGCTGTATATTTCACTGGAGTTTACCAGTATTAGCAGATGATTACAGAATCTTGAATCAACACGATTATTGACATTTTCCCCCTCGGGTTTGATAATGATTGTAAAAACACTTTTAATAAAATTCTGTTAAAAATGCTGTATATTTTACTGGAATTACCTTGTATTAACGTTTGGCTGAAGTAGCTAAGTCAACACGAACGTTGATTATCCTCAATTGTTCGATTATTCCATTATGACAAAATAATTGTACATTAAATGAGCTTTAACAAATTGCGAATGCGAAAAAATAATGATTGGATTTATATTGATGAACATGATTTTCTTATTTTATGTGTCATGTTTTTATTTTGTAAAAAAAAATGACGCATATCTGTTTTTTGTTTTTGTACTTGTGTGTACTCATCATGTTTGTCATATAATTTTCCGGTTTTCATTACTCAAAAAACATTTACCGTGGTTTATATTGAGTCAGTTTTAAGTTTATTTCCCAACCACAAAATCTCTTTTTATGATGGCAATGGATGTTTCCCCGAGCGTCAATTTCCTTGTTTATTTCCATACAATTACAAATCAGCAATAGGTTAATGACGTAACAATTGGGATTTATCCCGCCGTTCTGACTGATATCCAATCATTATTGTAATCCGTGTCCGAAAATTTCGCCGCATTTTTCTGTAAAACAAGTATAAAAACATAGGTTTATAAGGTTAGGGTTAGCGTATGCTCTTAAATAACGGATTTTTTTTAAATAAGGCGGTTTTTCATGCGGCGAAATTTCATAAGGCGAAATTTCCTAGAACTGTTGTAAACATTTTTTTAATTTCGTGGTTTTGCGTTGTATACGTCAGTTTTTAGTTGTGTTTCCAAAAATTGGTTGTAAATCAAATAACTCAATTGTCATTATGTCTTCCGAGGACCTTTATTTTAGGTACAATATTCAAAAATTGGTACCGCAAACGCTGCGATAGACTAGCCTAAAATTATCTATCAGTAACTACAAGTGGCACGTGGTTCATTGTTTCGAATAAAAATGATAGTTTTGAACATGTGAGCCAGTTTGTAGGCGCCCACTCCCCAAAACACTCTCAAAATTAGCGTAGAAAATTTTGCGATGATAAAGTATGGGAAGAATCATGTAGGCATCGGGGAAACGTCCATAGACTACAGGTATATATATATATAGGCAATTCAGTTTGACTGAATCGTCTAATTTTGACATGAGCAGAGTACGGTCTGCGGGCCAAATCTGGTCCGTTGGGTAATTCAATCTGGCCCGCCTGATGCTGCCACAGCCAAACTGAAATATTGAAATTTTGATGTTTTAGCTAAAAATAGCTCAAGAAATTTGTTGAGATTGCGGTTAAATTTAGTTTTGACAGGATATAGCATATCGTTTTCCACCTTTGCTTTGTAACACTGTAAATATTGTTCATAAAATGTAACACTTACATGGTCCGCCAGTCTAGGTGGGCAAAATTTGTGGCCCCTGGTTTAAAAACCGTGCCCACCATTGACTGCTATATTTTGACGCGAATAGAGAAACATATGATCGAGGTAATGGAAATCGTCTTGAATCAAAATATAGTTTATAGTAGCGAGTCAGCGACCAAATGAATAATATGCTTTCCCGCAGCCAACATTTGTTAATTTATTGCATGAGGGTTATTTAATTAATTATTGATTAATTGATATAACTTGGTTTGATACAGGTACGCAGAGTAGCAAGATATCAACATATTGGAACAACACACATCAGTGCAGAAGCTGAAACAATACAAAGTTTTAACAGGTGTGTATTTATTCGAAAAGCATTGGACATCATGGTACTTTCTTGTGGAGATAAGTGGATTTATTAGTATATATTATACCTATAGGCGTATATACCTATACCTATAAGAATCTTGAGGTTCTAAATAGCGTTTCGACCGACTCTTAAGTTTTCGGCTACGCCCCTGATGGTATTAATAGCCTTCTCCGTAAAGGTCTGTTGGACTGTCATATAAACAGGTCAGGATGTAGATGTAGTCCTAGTCGCCGTTGAAATTGGCTCTTTCATGTTGACCCATATATAGACAGTCGGTTAGGAACAGAATGGATATATGATCTCAATCTCCATTTGAATATTCTCCCCCGATATATATACAGCGATTTCAATATTTAGCGTAGCCCTACATAATTCATACTGGCAATAAAGTGATCAATTTTTTTGACACAAAGCTTTTCTGCTGTCAATTGTTTGTATATTTATGTAACAAATTTAAAAAAAAAACTTTTAGTTTTTCGTGTTTTATCACTCACTGAAACAGCGCAAAACACTGTTTTGTTACCTTACGATGTTGTCCCATGTTTGCCCACTGTTTAGCGCAGTTTACCTCTGTTTCGCGGTATTTACTTATCTGTTTCAGTAAGTTCAAATCCCTTGTTTTAATACATTTGTTTCGTTTACAGAGAAATCCTCAAAAGGAAGACAACACTTCTAAACCTATCATCCCCTCACAACACTGAAGAACAAAATGGCCAATCTCACAACAGAGTGAACAGGATCGCGCCGGGATCATTCTCCACAACTGACGATGAAATAAATACTTACAGACAAACAATCATAGACGAAGATGTCCTGCCAAGACAATTTAATAAATCATACAGGTATTGATTGCATTAGAACAATGGTTTCATGAGCGAAGTCTGTCCAAAATTCTAATATTGGCACATACACTTCTGGAGCGCTAATTATTTTACAGAGCTCGTTCGGGTAAAACACATAAAGGCACGAACTCCGATGGGAAATTATACAAATCCTACAAGTGTTAATTTTCAACTTTCTTTTTCAGACTCGGATATTTATTGAACGCGGTTATTTTGCCTACATTTCGTAACTCATTCAATGGCGTACTGGAAGATATTTACAACAGATATTTCTTTATGGAGAAGCGAGCTTCGCTCATTGCATTAATTATTTTGCTATTGATAAATAAGGTAATTGGAGTAAATTTGCTTTATGAAAATGACAGCGCAATTCATATTCGGCGCCTTCTTGTTTGACACGAAGTAGATCTATGGATCGTTTTACTGTTATGTTGTTGTTGTTCTTGTTGGTGTTTTTCTTCTGTTTATGATGAAAAAATTGCTTTTCTCATCAACTAATGGACCAATTGCTTTGAAATTTTCATTGGTTAAAGATTGTATATTTCGATAGAAGGCTATCGCTCTTTTGTTTTTAAATGGTATTATTATTGTTGTTGAGATTAAAATATTCAACTATTGAGAAAGTTGTTTCCAAATTTTTGGTGGTCAAAGCAAGGTTGTTTCTGGAGTCCGAAGCCGAGTTGAGTCTCACTGACGGTTAGTTGATGGCGAGTCATTTCATTCATATGACTCACTCCGAGTTTCGGATAATCGTGACCTGAGTCAAACTCGAGTCTAGTCAATACTTCAGCTGAATACTACAGCGTCTGCCAAAAACTATTGCTTTTTACGATGACTTTCGAGAGCCCATTATTAATAAATTGTTACGCTAATTGGATTCTCCTCTGGGCGATTTCGGTGGGACCCTATGAGGTAGCTTTCTTTCTTCAGTACTCAAAAAGACTTTTCGAGATATATAAAATAAGTGATATATTGGGTAAATCTTTGGGTCCAATGACATGGGAAACATGAATATATGACATAATGAAAATCGTCATACAAATTTTTTTCAGATTGGGGGTTTGGGAGTAGTTTCAAAGGTATTATTGTCTTAGTATTATTGCTCTGCAGTCGGATTACTATGAAATTATTCTTAATTGACTGTAATATTGAACAAGTCTATTAAGGATATATCCTGAAACCCCCAAACACTTATTTCAAATTTCAAATCATGCTCACTTATTCGCTACACACTAAATAATATTTTTTCATTTTTCAGATCATCATGTTGTCTTACCGTGTGTTTACTGATGTATCAAATATCGCTTATATAGTAGTTTCAGTTGTAACGTTGCTTTGTTTTATTGTCATCATAATTCTAACATTTCGGAACTCTTCTCCGTCGTTCAAATCGTCTTGGGTAAAATTACAGTAAGTATTTTTTTTTTTTATAATTCTTTTCTATAATTAAGCATTGCAACTTTGTTGTTATTAACCTTATTTGTCAGTTCTCGTTTTTGGATAAAATATGTACATATGGATTGTTTTGCTACATTCCTTTCACTGTTCTGAACTAGGGTGTAAGGTATATATATGTATTGTGGTTGGCATATTAAGTTGGATTCATAGTATGTTCTGAGTTAGGATAAACGTAAAACTTTAGAAAAATGGTTAGAGTAGGCATATGAAATGGGATTCGCGGTGTGTTCTGAATTAGGATAAATGTAAAACTTTAGGAACATGGTTACCGTTAGAGTAAGCATATGACGTGAGATCCATGGTATTTCCGGGCTTGGATAGACATATTACGTTAGCAGATTGCTAAGTCAATCATATGAAGTGAGATCCATACAATTCAGAATCTTAGAAGTTTTGATCTCATTACGCATTTTTTTTACTTGTATAAAACATCCTAATAATCTGACCTGTTCAAAACCCTAAATCACCCTGAGAGCAGGAGTATATGACTATTCATCTATCCATTCATCCCTCTTTCAATTTTGAGTTTATTCCCAAAGTTTTGAGTTCTCAAATAGGCGTTTCTCCGCAAATGTGGTACCTGTATTCCTTACTAGGGAGGGAAATTACTATTTCAATGGAGAAAAAGACATTAAAGATTGAACTACAAATGAAAGTTTTATGCGCTGTGGGGCGACAAATTACCTATTGGCAATCGTTCAAAAACTACAACAGACTAATTATTATAACAGTGCATTTGATACGCTTTATTCATAGGAGGTAATAAAGGCTTTTCAGAAAATTTGAAAATCACTGACTTGGATATTACTTACCAGAGTGACGAGCTAAAATCTGGGCTGAATTGTTCTTTTTCAGAATCTATGGAATATTCACGTGGTTGATCATGATCGCGTTTGGACAATTTGATATTTATTATTCAACGAACGAGCAACGATCGTATCTATCGTTTGTTTCTGAGGGAATGCCGATCCTACTGTGTTTCACTTTTGTTACTTATACTATGTTACCTGTACCTTTAATTTGGGTAGGTGATTTCAAATTGCTACGTTATTTCACCAGGGCTTTTAATATTAGAATAGTTTGGAAATAATTATATTCGGTATATCAAATTCTTGATTTTACAAATAATTTTAAAAAATTTGATTTTAAATATTATCATTTTGTAAAATTGAATTCCTGCAGTAAAAAGTAAACGGCCTTATTTAATCCTTTGAAATTTAGTGGCGAAAACACTTATTTGCTGGAATTTTATAACATTGTTTGTTCCGCAATAAATATATTTAGCGTAGTTTGGAAGCTGCTGACAGATTTGATAACGTTACGAGAAGGCCGAAATTATATTGTTACCTTGAAAATCTGTTCTGGAATAATATTTACAAATTTGAATATCGAATTATGCAGAAACGAATGTATGTATATCCAATGAGTTTGAAAGTGGAAATGCAATAAAGTTAATTAGTTTTCTATTTTTCATAGTTTTGGGAGTTACATGTTATCGGTGATATAACCCAAAAATACTTGACACGAAAAATGTAAACATGTCATTCATTTTATTGTTAATTTTTGGGGAGACTCTTGGGGTACTATCGAATACTCACATACAACTTGTTTTGTTACAGGCTGCTTGCATGGCGCTAATCCAATCATTATTGGAGATACTGGGCCGTACACTCTGCTACGCCGTGGCAACTAGTGGAGATAGTATAACTACATTGACTACAGACCCTAGTACCACCACAGAGACTATTTTAACTAGAGACATGGATTCAATAACTGAAGAAAACGTGGCAAAATCATCGAATTTAACACTTTTAAGACTATTTTCTGCGCTTATTATAACTGCAACGATTCAGCCGGACGTAAAGATAACAGGATATATGGCAAATAACATTATTAATTCCCACGAGCAAAACTTACTAACATCAGCAAATGGCGACGACAAATATTCATTGCTGAGTTACGCCAAAAACACAGATTTTCCTAATTATATCGATACTTTGAATCTAACAGCAAAGGAATATATTTCGCGTTATGACATGATTCCTCGATCGGATTCTAATGAAACTAATTATAATTCAAACTTTGTTTCTGTCGACTCCAACACATTTGCAAGGTTTGTTATTGGTATGGTGCTGGTAACCTTGTGCGCCCACATCGCTGGGATTTGGACGAGTTTTTTAATGGATCGGGCCCAAAGACAAACTTTTATTGAAACACGACAATGCATAAAAGCGAGATTGAAACTCGAAAGGGAGAATTATAACCAGGTATTTTAAATTTTTTTTCTCATCACGGGGTGTGGTAGTAGTGCTTAGTTCAGTGGTTCTTTAACTTTTAAGGCCGCGCCCCCTTTTTAGAATTTGTCAAGTCTCGCGCCCACCTCGAAGATATTTATCTAACAATAAGCTACAAATTACCTATAGTAAGGCGAAAGCATGTTTTATTTAAAAAACACGTTGAAAATACGTGGATGAAACGTAAATATCCAAAATAAGACAGGCAAGAACAAATCTAACAAAAAAAAAATTTTTTGATTACCGTAGCTTCACGGCCCCTTCAAAAAATTGCCTACGCCCACCTTTTTGGGCGCGCGAAACCGTTTGGGAACCACTGGATCAGATCACACCTAACTGGGTTGGCATCGTAGTTTAAAGATCGTGATCGTGGGGTTTAAACCCCATGCGACCCACTTCACCCAGGGTGTACTAAATTGGGTAGACAATCCCGAACCGTAATGACCCCTTTTTTTTCAATAATAAAAGCTCATTACGTACCAATGACTGCGTATATGAAATGAAAAAAGAAAAACTCCATATCCAAAATAATAGATTTTAATATTTCAAGTTAGTCCTTTATTCACTGTCATATCATGTTATATTCGAGTAATCAATATAGCAATCATGAAACACGAATCAGAATTATGTCAATTATTGTTGAATATTTTTTTTTTCCTTTTTCTAAAAGTATTAAAAAATTTATGAGTTTTTTCACCCTGTACAACACCTATTTAAACCTGCTTGTCCAGCCTATATGCAAGAGAAATACTAAACATTTTCCAACATATATTATAACCGTTTTTGCGTCCTGTGGGATTTAGGAATCGCTCCTGTGCGGTCCTAAATCCATTAACTAAAATATAGATGCCATTTTTTATTTTAGTATGTTGATCCAACACAAATCAATAAAGGAAAATATAAAATACCTATTCTGGTAGTTTTATTTTATATCCAGGCGCAATCTTCGTATGTAAATGATGGTATCTTATATCGTGGGGTCTTCCGGTCTAAAAAGTTCATTTTAATAAAATTTCGAAGTTTGTTTGGCCTTGCTCAAGTCTAGTATAGAAAAAGTTGCTATTATTATGGCTTCCATTACCATCAATCCCATGCATCTAACAAAATAACTAGCCAACTAATCACATACCCGACATGGACTGGTAACCGGCGGAAAAAATTACTAAAAAAAATACTGATTGAAAAGCAACAAACCTAGTTAAGATATATTGAGAACTGACTTCATAACAATATTAAAATTGTAAAGGGACTATATGGACACCCTGTATATAATTGAAATTATCTATCCTATTAATATGCATTTCTCTTACATCGGCAGGAACGATTGATATTGTCCGTGATTCCTCGCTTCATAGCCCTGCAGATGATCAATGACATCTCCGAAGTCGACAACGCAAAACTACCCGGATCTCCCATCATGAGGACGACGTCGCGTGTCCACTCTGACCAAATTAACAAAATTTATATCAAAAAATATGACAATGTCAGGTAATAATGAACTATCTATAGAGGTTGTATTGTCACTCAAAGGGGATTCATCTCGCCTATAAGAGTAACTTTGATTTACATTTTATGATTGGAGCTTCTTCCTATAATACTTTTTTTATTGGATATTTTGTTGGTGATGTGAATATGACTGATCAATTGGGGATTGTCCTGGGGTGAATTCCAAATTTAAAATTTCCCAAGGGTTGAACGAGAGAATGGAAGTAAGGCAACTCTGCTGTGTTAATTGCATTAGCAGGAGGTCAAGCCCTGGCATAGTAACAGCTATAGCTGCAGTATTTTTCACTACACGCAAATAGTTTTGATGTGAAAAAGAACTAAAATTACTTGTTCAATTTTGTTTTCATTCTCACACAGTATCCTGTATGCCGATGTGAAAGGTTTTACTGAAATGTCGACTATTCTTCCGCCTCAAAGATTAGTTGCAACCTTGAATGAAATGTTCGCCAGATTCGACAGGTTTGTGATTATATTTTGATTTTTCATGGCCTAGCTAGAGGTTCAACCATTATACTTGGCTGTGTTCGCAATCCAGTTCGTTTCAGTTCTCATTGCCACCACCTCAGCCAGGGTGGATAAATTGGGTAGTAGTGCAAATAATTTTGATATGTCATTTTGTTGCAAAAAGAACTGATTTTAAATGATCAGCTGTATCACATAATCGAATAAGGTAGCATTATATTTCTTTTCGCAATTAGAAAAAAATTATAAAACAACCGCCAAATCACGATCGGCGGCACAATACTATTGTTATCCTGCAATGAATCCGACTTGGCGAGATCTTTTATTTAAGAAATGTTTTTTATTACATCACACTCCTGTTTACAAATTTGATATTCTATTTGGCAACGGTTACAAAATTATTAACTTGGTGTTGCGAATTCTTTTTCACTCTCTTTCGGTTTTCTTTTTTGTTTACATAGTAAATTATATTAAGTTTTTCGGGCGATTTTTAAGCCCAGACCAACAACAATAAGTGTTTTAAAGAAATCTGAAAAAACGAAACTGCTTGTTTTAATGTCATTTGAAATTGCTTATTTGATTATTCTAAACGCAGGTTAGCACAAAAGCACAACTGCCTACGGATTAAGATACTCGGAGACTGTTATTACTGCGTGTCCGGAATTCCTGAACCACGCCCAGATCACGCCCACTGTTGTGTGGAAATGGGACTTGATATGATTGAAGTTCTGAACAGAATTGAAGATAGTGGAAATAAAATGCAAATGAGAATAGGTAAAGAAAATTCCTAAATGTTGTTTGGGCGCTCCATAAGTATGTTTACCAATATGGAGGTAACTGATTCTGTTCACCTACTTTACATCAAGTTGTGTAAAGGAACTGAAATCTATGGACGAGGGGTATATCCAGACAGTCCCCGAACTCGTAATAGAACTAAAACAAAGAAAATCGGAATGAAATTAGGGCCTAACCCTAACCTGGTACACATACTACGGGAGTACCGTTCTTTGATTATTTAATAATATTGGATTCCGCAAATGAATATAGTATTGATAACTTCAATTTAAATTTTATAAAATACGAGGAAGCAATTTTCATATATATGGATTCGAATATGGTACTGCCATTTACTGCAGTTCTGCTACCACCGCAGCAAATGAGCAAATATGTGGTAAAATCATCATTCACTTGGAAATAATTTAAAACAAATAAACGTTTTGGATTACTAAGACATAGCTCGATGCTTATGTGTTGAAAATAGGAGAAATGTTAGTAGTTAGCTTAGTTAGATTCAAGACCATTCTTGTCTCAATAATATACCAAATACTTTACGGGTCTTCACGACAGCTTTTAAAAATTACTGATTCCTAAAAACGGAAGTGCTTCTTAATTATGAATTTGTTGAGGGATGGATTGGCTATCCTACCTAAGATATGGACTTGATGAGACGTGAGAATTGGAAAATATAAAGAAGGTCACTTTAGATACCATATGTCGTTAATTGGGAAATACAAATAGTCCGAACTATTATTTGTAAATTTATATGTCGGTGAGTATGTCGGTGTTGAATAGATTCTAAAAATCAACATTGGCCACGGATGAGCATAGATAAAGTGTTCGTATTAGGGCGTATTTATCTTCAAACCTTACCTGACCTCCGATAAATAAGCTAAAACTGGGAATTCATAATAAATGTGATCTGTGTTACCGTTATTATATGGAAATTAAAGAACTGGAATTCTTCAATTTTCAAATTTTTGTAGAAAATATCAAAAACCGCTAAAAATAAAACTCTAAATCGGATTCTATCACAATTCATGCTACCTACAGGCGACCACTTACGTCATAATAAGTATACGTCATAATCTTGTATGATCACTCTTAAGAGTTTTCGATATACAACTAGAATTCATTGTGATTGTCGTTTTGTTCGCTGTGAGATATATGGCTTCGAACAGGGAATAGCCAGGAGTTTTCAAAAGGGGAGGGGATTGTTCTGAAATTTCTAATTGCCAAGGTATAGCGTAGACTTGCTAAGGTAGCTTTTTAAGAGTCTTGCGTGTCTGAAAAGCGTTTCAAGCTCCGAAGGCATTGGTTGTGAAATGGTCTATATTTGACTTGTTATTGCCTCAGACCAAGCTACGCTGGCTCCCCAGGTTGAATATCTCTAGCTCAAATTCCATGCAATCATCTCCAGGGTTGAGATGATTCAAAATAATATTGCAGCGGTTGATAACATGACTGCTAGTAGAATTTTTAAGGAGTGGAAATGTCTCCTAAAATAATATTGATATCTCCATTTACAGGCATTCACACCGGATCAGTTCAATGCGGTGTCCTTGGACTTCGAAAATGGCAATTCGATGTTTGGTCGAATGATGTTAACATAGCAAATGCAATGGAATCAGGCGGAGTACCAGGGAGAGTTCATATATCTGAAGCTGTGTATAAATGCTTGTCAGGAGATTATGAGGTAACAATGGCTTCTTTCCTTGTTATGTATTGTTATGGATATCTACGCTTCATGGCAGTTGTTCGTATTATGGAGGTAAAACTTCCTCTTTTAGTTGAGAGCTTGGGACTAATTTTATTCATATGTTTCAAATTTATATTTTTTTCATCCTAACGCTATCTCGTTTACCCTAATGATTAATAAATATATAAAAAAAATTGGTACGTCTGAAGTGTGTGCACCAAGATGTCGCACAACCTGAACCCCAACCTGGTACACAACCTGAGTTCAGGTTGTGCGCCATCTTGGTGCGCATACTTCAGGAGGTCCAAAAATAGTTCGGGCTCTGTTTCTTTTTGGGAGTATTTCAACACTTTCATCCACAGCGACAATTTTTGGAAAAACCAGAATCTCTTTCTTTTAGCATTATCTACCCAATTTATCGTGCGGGAGAATAGGTGGCTGGTTCGAATACGAGAACGCTCTAATGCAGGGGTGTGCAACCTGCGGCCCGCGGGCCAAATGCTGCCCGCAAGAAAAACTGTGTGGCCCGCGGAGATGACCAATATTAAATTGTGTGCGGACCGCAAAACGAGTGTTTACTATGGATTAATCTGGTTCCTTACCCAATACCCGAGTACAATTTATGCATATGACGTTACAAGGCCTGAAAGACTAGCTTGTGCCAAAGTGACTATTCACTTCGGCTCGTCCGAAGTGAACAACACATGTCATGAGATCATTAACCAAACTTTTTGTGCCTGCAACTACTAGAAATCCTATGTTAAATGAAGGTGCGGTTCGCGGCTGCACCCGGTTACTTGTATCTGGCCCTCGTGTATTAAATGTTGCACACCCCTGCCCAATGTAAGACATTGTAACAATATCTGGTAAGTCAATAAACACCTCACATCACGAACCTATTTGCAGGTTGTAAGTGTCTAAAGCGGGACTCGCGTGGGCGTTGGGTTCAATTAAACCAGAAATCTATACCACACAACTGTAAATAAAGTTCAAATCTAACTACTGCTTTAACGTATTCGTGATACTTGACGACACATCGAATTTTTTTTATTGTATTTTTGCAGGTTGAAGACGGTCGAGGCGGTACTCGAAATCGCTTCCTGAGAGAGAATAACATCAAAACTTATCTCATAGTAGATCGGTACGACCAGCAACCGATCCGATTACAGGAGAACAATGATAACGATTCAAGAAGCTCGACCCCGAGTTATAATCGTCGATCATCATCACCAGTACCTTTCCAATACAGTCACCATAACCCGATTATACAAGTTCACAACGAGACAGGAAGCCTAACAAGCACATCTGCTTTGATTAACGGAAATGATACTTCAAGTATGGATCGGGTAAGACTGGATTTTTTGTTTATACCATGTATATACTGTACGTGAAGCCATTTTTAGTTTTAGCGCTATTCAATGTCAAAACCTCCTTTCATGAGGTAGTAAGATGAATTATTGGTACTTCCGTAGTGAGTGTACGAGGTAAGGGTTAGGCCATAATTTTATTCCAATTTTCGGACTGTTTGTGTTAGCCAAGTGTATATAATCCTTCTCCCCATAGGTTTCAGTCCCTTTACAAAAATAGGCGAACAAAACTAGTTACCCTTATATTGGTACACATACTCCTGGAGCGCCTAATTTTCTATATTCTACGCGTTTGCCCTCACTGGCATGTAGGGGCAACAAGTTCGTTCAAGAGCTATTCCAACTCATTCCATTCATTCCGAATAACGCCCTGGGTAAGAAGTCACCAATATATGAACAACTCTTATCTCATGAAAGACCGCAATTCTTCCAGTTGGGAATTTTTATTACCGGATTTATTCCATCATTAGCGAGGTGGTGCGCATGGAATTCGAACCCGAGATTTGCCATCATAGTTGAGTCTACCGCCTCAGCCACTAGCCCATACGCATTTCTCTTGTTTTTTTCTAGTTCCAACAGAAACGAGGATCAACATCAACTGTTCAGAGCGTTCCCTCTCCAACCACAAAAACAATGCTTCATATACCACAAGAATATCCGGCCACACCAAGCAGACAACGAGTACCTTCCATCATAATTAACCAAATACCAGAGGTGCGGATGACAAAGTCGTTTTCCAACGGTAAGTATTTGTTTTTGGACTGTTTATTTTTTCTGTCTCAGTATTGTCGCGCCCTGCTTTTTTTCTCTTACAGTCGTACCATATGCACCTCATGTGTATTATTATGTGTATTATACTATGTTTTCCGGTGTCTCAAAAATGTGTCTCATTTTTCCCAAGTTCGACCCATCCGTATAATGTGTTTACGGTGAGTTTTAGTAATGTCTCGTCCCACTTTCCGCTTGTAAAGTACCATATGCACCGCGAGTACTACTTGTTCCACTTGCACTTGTTTTCGGAGAATTTGGTACTGACTCGGTCAGAAGTAAAGGTAACTCATTCCTGACTGAGCAAATTTACGTGTTTCCGCAGAAGTACAAATAGCAACTGAAACAGATTTGAAGTAACGAGTTCCGCATAACTGAAGGTCTTAGAAAAACTTCCGACATAAAATATTTCTGTATAAGACCATAATCTAGGCTAGAAGGTTCATTGGCAGTAAATGGATGAAATCTCACAGTTAACTAGGTATGACGGCTGTAGGCCTCTCTTTGGGGACAAGTTCAAAAAGTTTGGAAGACCTATAAGTCAGCTATGCTACGCTGTAAAAAATCCGATTATCAATATATTATTTTATAAACTAATTCGTTATTTGTCAGGAAACCTATCAAACGGTGCGGCAGTCAAAAATAATGAATACGACAGCGATACTTCATCTGTCTCATCGACTGCACGAAGAAGGTGGAGGTAAGAACATGAAGTTGGTGTACTAGTACTACATGCAACGTATGCCACACGTGCCACGTATATTGCTCGTGCCACTTGCGTCACGGTGCCACTTGTACCACATGCATTACTTGTACCACGTGTAACTACTTGTGCCACATTTTGCACCACTCGTGTCAGGTGCATCACTTGTGCCACTTTCATCCATTTGTGCCACATGTATCACTTGTGCCACGCGTGCCACATGAACCACTTGTGCCTCATGTACCGCGTGTACCACATGCAATACTTGTTAAACTTAGTGTCAAAATTAGTATGGTTGATTAATATGAGGAAACATGTTAATCTTTAATCTTATTCATATCACTGTATGGCGTTCGCATATCGGGACATATATAATACTGTACCAAGCGCTGCCAAAACTGGATAATTTCACAAGCGTCACACAAGATACAATGGTGCGTAAACCACAACCATAAATTTATATTGCTTCAGTAGATCTTGGGATCTTAGTTGCCCGTGTAATTGCTCAGAGGTGGGTGTTCTTTATTTGTTAATTGCGCCTGACTTTGCTTTGAGCAGAAAAGTCTTTTAAACTGCGATTATAATCAACCAATCTAAATGCCCGAGGAAGCCCATATTTTAATCAAATCTACCTACCGATAAACGCTTGAGTATGAGAATATAATCGATTTGCCATATCACTGTGGTAAGGTTTAATCCGACCTCTCAAAAATGTCGTGCACCACTGAGCGACTGGTACCGCTCGTACCTCTTGTCGAATGTGGAACTAGTGGTGAATTATCAAACCACCGCATTTTTGATACGCCATGATACAGTCTATACATAGCTTATAGCGTGTACGTGGTCGTTTACTAGTCTTCTATCTTCCAACTTTCTATTGAAGCCTAGAAAGTTGGGACTTTGCTTCGGGCAAACTTGTACGCCGGCGTGGCGAATCGTGCTTAGCGTTAGGAATACGCTCGCCACCGCATGTCTGTTGAAACCCATGCGGGATAAGTATGTGCGAGAGGATTGCTGGACTCGCCGACATAGGGTGGTTCACGCAACATCTTGTTACGGCTTACGGCTTCCTCCACCATCAAGTTTATGTATCTGAAAACATATAAATGGCTATAACTAATCCCATACCCGACATGAACTGATAACCGGACGAGAAGCGTGTTTCGCCATATGGATGAGCCGTCTTGTCGGCTTTACTCTTCTCCGGGATAAATATGTAAATCGTATCCTATTTCTCGGTTTTTAGTATCCCAGTAATGTGAATTTAACTAAATTTTTTTATATTTAAATATTAAGATATTTAAACTATTTGAGTCAAAATAAACTCGCGAAAGTGGGCAAATTGATTAGATGTATCAGATGCATCTGAATTTTACAGTTAAATAAAAACAATTCAAATCGAAACACACACAACTTGAATGAAGCAAAATTATAAACACAACTCCTTTATGCAAATTTGGACCTACTACTTAGATTAAACTTATCAAATACTATGTATATTTCCTCCAGAATGCCTATAATGATATTGAAAATGTTCGGTCGTAAAAATCGTAAACGAAGCGACGAAGAAACCGGAAGTGATGTCACTATCAACGGAAATGATGTAAAGAACCCCCCGCATAGCCCGCGAGTCGTAAACGGATATGAAAAGACTAGATTGGAATCAAAATCTTCTCTAACACCGAATATGTTTCCGAAATTGTCATTCAAGCATCGAAGGAATCGTTCGTTTACGGAAAAGGGATGGAAACCGGAATTGCCGTTTGAAAATTTACTCACAAATGCAAATGTGAACAAGAAACGACGGAAAAAGGTAACAGAATATACTATTTTTATGTTTGAAATAATAAAATTCGCTCAGTTTTTATGTATTTTCCATATCTCTGAGTATACGTAGAAATTTGTGAGCGATCTATACGTCCACATACTGCCCTTCAAAAGTTAGTAATACCGGCCTTGTGTGCTGTGATTCTCAACTTTTTTCGTTAAATTTCAATGAAATCCACAACAGTTTATCGGAATAAATATCGCTAAAATAAATAAATCGTAAAAAAAGAAAAGCGCTGTTATAGTCTTTCGTAGAGTTAGTTCGGATAATATGAAACAACTATTCACTTTTCGATTTTCAGACTGCTTCAGCTTTCAAAGATGTGACGTCACTGGGAATATTACCTCATAATTTGGCTCCAACGAAGCAAAGGAAATCTGATTATGACGAAATAAATGACAGAATGCTAAGAAGTATCGACAATCAAAATTATAACCAACTAGGGAAAGAACATATCAGAGGTAGGAGGATATTTTGTATTCACAAATTTTTTTCCGATCAATGCCTCAACTGAAGTGGAAAGTGTACCAATGTATGAATCGCGAAGGGCCCATAACGCTAAGATATATTCATGCATAAAAGAAGAAATGAATGAACAGGCGCCGCGAGATTTGACAGTATTTTAATTCTTAACTATGATATTGTTTGTATCTTCCAAAATCATAGCAATTTCACATCGTTCAGTGCCTGCAAAAAAATGTTACAGAAAAAAGGGAGGAGTATGAATAAACTATCCTCTGTAGGCCCATTTTGTTCAGTTTGTATTGAATTGAATAAATCAATTCGACCAACCAACAGCTCTCTACATCTAATTATTGTTACTATTGTGATATTCTATTTTGGTAAACGCTGCCCGTTCACGTCCATTTTGTTGTTTTGTTTTACGTTTCACTGATTTTGTGTCTGTCTGTCCTCGCTTCTGAGGATTGTAGCATGGTTACTGCAAAAGACAATGTATTGAATAAAATCTTTTAATATTTGTATTTTTTTGACAGTATTAGTCAATTTGAGAGTTCTTTCTTGTCTGAAGTCTCGTCCGAATTGAAACGAAATGTTACAAGATATCTATATTTCCAGATCTCACAATCACCTTCAATGACGAAGATCTTGAATTAAAATTCTCTCAACTTCGAGATGAATTGTTCAAATCGAATCTGGTGCTCTCATGTCTAGTGGTTGCTTTCATACTTGCTATTGAAGCTTGTATACCTGCATCAGTGTGAGTATTTCAAACCTATATCAACAATTCCTGTTTTGTTTAAAATACAGATAGCGTGTCGGAGACTAGAGGCGGTAGGGGCAAAATCGGTGCGAGACGACCAAAACTAACCTAACCCAAGGGCAAAATTGGTGCGCGGAGTCAATTTATAAGTAATACAACCGGTCCAAAGCATGCAACTAAATAAATGGCCATTAATACGTTTTCTGGTAACGAGGTAGAGATTTCGATAACAAAATATTTGTAACTATTTATTTACGTTGGAGGGGTAATGAAACCAAAATTTGATTGGATAATCTAGGACTAAAATAAACCTGCTATCGGAAGGTCAGGGGGCGCAAGAAGATGTGTGACTCTTACGGAGTAATTATGGAATGAATAAAACATCTGGGCGTTGTATATTGTGTAACTCGGAAAATCCCTCAATAGGTCTATGGCTATTAAAACTATCAGTAGAGGTTAAGAAAGAATAACTCCCAATCCTTCCTCAATGCCTTTGCGTTAGTGGATCCTTTTACATATAATGCAAAGATGCTGTGGCAGGAATAAAAAAACCATACTATGCGATTCCACAGTCTTGCTGCACACTAACACAAATGCATTTCTGTAACGCTTCGTCTGACCAAAATCAGACTTACTCAGACAAGCAGTTTACAACAGCAGTAGGACTCTTGGATTTGACAATTATCCCTGTTCTATATCGAAGACTGCTTGTCTCGGACCTTTTTATCAGCTAATACTAAACCAACAATTTGATGCAGAATTAATAAATTTGATTGAAATTTCTAGATATTTTCTTGTCTACATCGATGTTGCTGTATTTTTTGTCATCTACGGATTACTGATGTTCATGACTGTGGCTGAAGATCATACCAGTCTTCCAAGGTTGATACGACATGCTTCTTCTTTTATTCAGGTAGGAAAAGTAGTGACTTTCGATCAGACTGCCAGTACAGCTGTCAATTTTCGTGTGGTGGCTGGCGTTGGTTGTTTCGTCACAATCAGCCTTCATCGTGACCAACTGGGTTGGTCAATATGCATTACATGTCTGAATGACAAATTTTTGTTTTTATGTATCGCCACTCGCCAGTAACCCAGTTTGTATCAAATATAGGATATTAGGATTAGTTAGCCAGTTAATGTCGGATTGTTTTCGGAAACACTGACTTGATGGTGGAGGAAGTCGTAACGTGAACTGACTAGAAGTCCAGCAATCCTCTCTCACATAGCTGTTTTCGCATGGGATTCGAATCTGCGAACCCACGAAGGGTATTCAGAGATGCGGTGGCAAGCGTATTCCTAACGCTTATCACCAGTCGCCACACACCACACCGCCGGTTCGGTTTCTACCTAAGTTTTTACTAAAAATGACTTTTCCTGTATAATTTATAATTAGATTAGTTAGTCATAGAATAACTCTACAATTTGGTACTTTTTATTTCAGGAATCACTCCTAATAAGATATCTCGTCATTTACATCGCACTTCTGCTCAATCTGATCATTGCTATAAGTGGAATGGTAAGTTATTTAACTATGAATCGTTCCTGTGGATATTGATATTATTGATACGTTTTGTCACTCCATATGCTTACTCCAACAATTTGTTAATAATTGGTAGCAAAAATGTTTTCACGCAAAATTATTTCTCCCAAGTTCTCCTGCAAGAATATTTGTAAAAAATTTCGGTACGATGTAGATGTCTATATGACAGCTAAATATCCTTCTACTACAGCCATTCAAATGCCGATTGTGGCTATATAACTATTCCTACTTCTAATTTAAAATGACTGTCATCTTAATATATACGACACAGGATTTATGATAAAATTTAATTCTACGTCAAATCTTTTTTTCCAGTTTACTTGTCTCCAAGCCAAGGGCGATGAAGCTCTCCAAACACAAATAACGATAACGTGTCACGAGACAAATATATCTAACACGATAATACATTATGAGGTCGGTGATGCGGCTGTCTGCAATAATCCTAATGTGAGTTTAAATGAAAAGGATAAAATATTTATAATAGTTTCGATGGAGAGAGTAAAGCCGATCAGACGGCTCTAACCACCCAATGAGAACGGAGAATTCAGCGATCTTTTTGCACATAATCATCATCATAAATTCAAACCCATGCAGGGCGAAGTGCGTCTTCCCAACGCTTGGCACGATGCCTCGCCAATCGTCGAGCCAATCTTGATGGTCTTCTGTATTGAACCGTTTCAAACATCCACCTCTTGTATTGATATTAATATATTTTATTCAAGTTGTCTTCAAATCAAATTCTTAATTATTCGGAAATAATCGTACAGAGTTTTTCATTTTTTCTTCCAAATCAACCAACAAAATTAGCCATTCATTGAAAGAAACGATATTTAATTGTGCAATACCAAAAACTTAACCTAAAAAATAAGAATTTTGTTTTCAGTTCTTTCTGTACAACGGTCTTTTGGTGCTGATAACGTGCTCTGTCTTCCTTCGAGTTCACAATTTTGTCAAATTAATGAATCTTGCTGTCGTAACGTTGGCGTATGGGCTTATTATACTCGTGTTTTTGCCTGAAATTTTCACAAATTTTGAAAGAAAAAGATTGCTTCAAGCGGATCCATGCAACACGTAAGAAAATGTTTAGTAAAAACGCATTTATTTTGGCGTTCCAGAAGTGTGTGTGCGTACCAATATGGAGGTAACTAAATTTGTTCGCCTACTTTACATCAAGTTGTGTAAAGGAACGGAAGTCTATGGACAGGGGGTATATCCACTTGGCTAACACAGACAGTCGTAATAGAACTAAAATAGGAAAAATCGGAATAAATTTATTGTCTAACCTTAACCTGGCACACACACCACGGGAGTACCCTCTTTAGATTACTAATCAGAAAAATCGTCTTGTTTTCAGGCTTGGATATGCGTACGCTGAAACAGCACTTGGATTAGTTTTCATATTTTTGTTCGGGATCACTGTTTATTATCAAAGTAGAAGAATTGAATACACAACAAGACTGGACTTTTTAAGAAAACTTGAGGTATCATTGAAGTATATTTCATCGCCATCGCTGCCTGTTAAAATATATTGAATTGGAAGTAGAGATGTATGTATGGTACTAACACAATTTAACATCCTCGGTTGAGGATCAATGGGTTTCCATATAGATCGCAAATTACGAAGAGGGATTTTCTAATTTGAAGATGGAAATGCATAACGACAGAAATATGCTTACTTGTCGTGAACTTTTGACTTCCTCACTCTAATTTTTTGTTTAAAGTAATATTCAATACGGTACAATTTGATTTCAACTTCCACAATTTTTTTTGCAAAAATACTATTACAACCATATCTATTTTGTGTTAGACATGCGTTTGAAATTATATTGTTTAGTAACTATATTTACAGCATCAGAATGGTATAGTTTTTTCATGTCTTTGAATCTGCTCTTTTTGTTACAGGCCAAAGTTGAGGTGGAAGGTATGAAGAAATTACGGCGTCATAATTATGAATTATTACGTAATATACTTCCGGATCACGTAGCATCTCACTTCCTATCGAGGTCAATATACGATGAGGTTCGTTTTCTTGTGAAATTTTGTTGATTTGTTACTTTTTCCTAGTTTTCAGTAGAGTCACTGGTTACAAATCAAAAATGAGGTTATTTCATCATTAAATGGTCCAGTTTTCTGGGGCGCGATTCCCAAAAAACGAATAATCTACCTATATACAGATCCCTCTTGTACTACGCTTGCGCATTACCAAGTTAATTTTTTACTATGACATCAAGTATTATATGTGTCTCAACTCAAAACATAACACGAATCCAACTCCATTTGCTTATTTTACCAAATCCCACTAATTTTTATATTTAATTTAACCCAAAACATGCAATAAACTCCACTTATGCTGTAATGATCCATTTACATAAAGTCTTATATCTTTCCTAACCAAGAACAATCAATGATTTTTTGTCATGAGCTAACAATAGCCATTGGCTTTATATCTATCTTAATTCAGAACATATCATGAATCGCACTTCATATGACAATTCTAACATCTCCAAAAAAAATCCATATATACCCTAGCATATTATGAATATTTCAAACATTTCAGGGTCTCTACAGTCAAAGTCATGATTGTGTCGGAGTTATGTTTGCTTCCATTCCTAATTACAAATGCGGAGATAACTCCATAAGTCAAGATATCGATGGTTTGACTCTGCTGAATGAAATTATTTTCGATATCGACCAGGTTTGTTTACTCGATAAACATTCAACATTTTAATTAAACTAGTCAGGGCGCTCCAGAGGTGTGTGTACCAATATGGAGGTAACAAATTTTGTTCGTCTGCTTTCCATCAAGTTGTGTAGAGGGACTGCACCCTATAGACAGGGGGTATATTCACTTGGCTAACACAGACAGTCCTCGAACTCGTAATAGAACTGAAATAAAGAAAATCGGAATAAAATTATGGCCTAACCCTAGCCTGGTACACATACTACGGGAGTACCCTAGTCAGGCGTAAGAAGCACATTTGGTCGGAACAAATGAATTATTTCTTCCTGCTTGTCTTAATCGTTTCTTTCACTCTAAATGCTCACATTGGGTAAAGAATGTTTTGGACGTTATTTTCAGAGAGTAGATAGAGTATCAATATATAGAGCTCATGCTCAGTGGTGTAACTACGTAAAATTGCACCCACGGCGAAGTTCAAAAGTGCGCTCCCTTGGGATATAGACTGACAATTTTTAACGACTGACGTTGAATTAAGAAACTTACTTGTACGCTATTATTTAAGTAAAAAACGAGTTTCATTTATTCCAAATTTTACATTATTTTATTGAAACATTTTACGATTGAGACTTTTCGCCCTTTTTGCGAAAACGGTCCAATGGTCCAAACGATCCAATGGCATTGGCCATGGCTTCCATACCCTAGATACGGCTCTGCTCATGCTCATCGAAATTACTTTGAAGCAAAAGTCAAAAGCTGATATACGCTAAAACAGTGGTTCTCAACCTGGTATGGTACGCGTATCACTAGTGGTACGCGGAAGATGATCAAGTGGTACGCGAGCAGCTTTGAATTATTGCAACAATTAACTTTTGAGTTGCCAAAATATGCCCACAACGCGTTAATTTTCATGGCCAAAACAACTAACTACGATACCCCGATAAAATAAATCATTTGAAAGTTACGACTCTAGTTTCCGCGCTCCTTTTTTTCGCTATTTCACTCGCTTAGATGAATACAGTATATTGATCTAATATGCCCCCTAGAATCGCCTGAATCTTTACTATTTTCTTTCCAAATAAGGGAAGATTAGAAACTCCTTTTCAGGCAATTGTTATTCCGCTTTAATGATTTAAAAAAATATTCCAGTTGATTGGTCAAGAGCGTTTCCGCTGTCTGGAAAAGGTCAAAACAATCGGAAGTACATACATGGCTGCTTCCGGGTTGACCCCTCACAATATAATGCAAGCAGTACCAACATCGAATATACCACGATCAAGTTTCGCAGAAGATTCCTCATCGAATGAAATTCAGTTCCCAACTCGAAGCGAGGACGGAAACGAAGAATACAAGACTATATCAGTAAAAGCGAGCGATATTAGCCACCTTTGCATGCTGGCTCATTTTGCTCTCCTGTTACAGAGAGTGATAGCTGATATCAATGTTCATTCGTACAGTAATTTCAACTTGAGAGTTGGTAAGTTTGTATATCGATTGTTTTGAATGTTCTGTTACGCACAACCAGCTATCGGCAGACACTTTTCAGACTTGTAACTCAATTTGAAAGCGCATTTTGATGCGACCTCACTTTTGCATTACTTTCAAATTTGAATAATTGCGTAATGTCTTGTGTTGTCCATCTTAATTACAAACCATTGTTGCCATCAAATCCTTTAAGGTTTTTACCAAAGTTATTTCCAATTTCAGCACAATCGGTGATCAACCGCAATTATTTTATGAACCGTTTATAAAACATAGCACTGAGCAAATCACTATTTTTGCAAGCACCTGAATCTTTGCATCGCCCACTCAGTTTCATTTCACCTTTGGCTAGCGTGTTGGTGTGGGTACGAGATATTTCACGTGCGGTGCCAAAAAGCATATTGCACCGTTGAACACTAGATTCTGAACCCTAACGTTTGAAATGTTAGATTTATAATAGAATATTAACTATATATGCTTATTTATGAAAATCAGTCCTATGCACAGTGGTCATTTACTTTAATTTTCTTCTTCCAGGCATTGCATTTGGACCAGTAGTGGCAGGTGTAATTGGTGCTCAAAAACCACAGTATGATATTTGGGGGAAAACTGTCAACCTTGCCAGCAGAATGGAGAGTACAGGAGTACCTGGACAGATACAGGTAATGGAGTTAAGATACTTAATGATTTTCTTTATGGAGTGTGAAAACGGCGATTAATTTTTATCTATTGAATTTTGGCCTATATTATAAAAGAATACGAGTTCCTACGAACTTCCTAGATATCATTTAAATTAGCCGAAATATACACTAATATTATGGAAATATTGCTATGCAAAGGAGTAGACAGTTCGTTTTTTAGATTAATAGTAGATTATATGCCTGGCTGTCCCAATTTACTGTAAATTAACCTAATTGCTTCAAACCTTCCGTGTTTTGTGACCGTTTCAGATAATTTATTCTTAATGCTTGTGATGAAGCTTTAGTTTCAGAAACGTACAATCAAAATGAAAGAGAATATCCTGTAAAATCCAATACATTTTCTGAAATTTGACAATAAATTTTTCCACGCATGCAATCATGGCAAACAAGCGATGTCTCGTCCGGTAGTTTAACAATTACAATTAACTTCAGGTCCCGGAAGAGATGTGTCAAGTTCTAAAAGATCGCGGATTCCATTTTTCACAACGAGGAAAAGTTCGGGTAAAAGGCCTCGGATCGGTTCGAACACACTTCCTTACTGGGTGCACTCCAGAGGCCGCAAAACACGCCGGAGTTGACCGAGCTCTCTCAGACTTGGGTACAGGATTCGGTGCAGATGGGAACCTTCAACTCGGCGACGCAGCGGCAAATGGAGGTCACCATTCACTCGCACAAGTTGTCTTCAGTTTGGTTCAAGCTCGACAAAGACATAAAAGATACGGTGCGGCTTCTGGCAGAACAAGTGGAAGTTGTAATGAAAGTGTAAGCAATACTGCGACAGAATGTTGAAGATTCAATTTGATGCGTTGATCGCTCTCCTCAGACGAGGTGATCACATTAATTACCAGAAGACGAGTGAAAGATGAAGTGCTACCGCGAACTCAAGACGGCTTGCAAAAGTGGAAGGATGAACAATGAAAGTACCAAGTGGGCAAAGCGTTGATTGCCATGATAAGCGTTTGAATGAACGAATTTTATAAGCGTACTTAGCTCGCAATGATTGTTAAATCCGGTATATTGGGAAGCGACTGTCAGCAACTGTGATGCGTTTTTTTTACATCGACATTTGTTTACTTACTTCATGTTCAAAATAACTAATTGCGACTTTATCGGCTTCTGTGATATCATTCGGAGTAGTACTTGATTCGGCGCTCCAGAAGTGTAAGTACCAATATGGAGGTAACTAATTTTGTCCGCCTACTTTACATCAAGTTGTGTGGAGAAACAGAAGCCTGTGGGCAGGGGGTATATTCACGTGGCTAACACAGATAGTCTCCGAACTCGTTATGGAACTAAAAAAAGAAAAATCGGGATAAAACTATGCCCTAACCTAGTACACACACTACGGGAGTACCAGAGAAATAAAACATTCCCCAAATACAATTAACATAAAGATAATTGTTTTTTATTAATATATATATATATATCTGTTCTTTGCAAAACATAGCAAATAAATAGCGCTGAATAAAACTTTTTTAATTTCGCCCCAGTCTATGGTCTCGACTGGTTTGATACCCTGGCATATACTGGCATTTGTACTGAGTGGATAATTTTGAATCTTTTGTAATCTGAGTTCCTAATGATTTTACTTTTTGTTATCAAGCACCTATTTATAACGCACGTTCTGAAAATTCTTGTCTATTTTTAAACTTTTTTCTATATAAAACACAAGTCTGCTGGTCGCTCTTTTTGGTATTTTATACATCGAAGTCTTGCTCTGCCAAGCCAGGTTTTATCGTTTTGTTTCATATTGGTGTACCGACTTGTCCTCCATGCATACGGAACTACCTAATATTTAGATATTCTCACTCAGACCTGAACTTGGCGGTATACCGTTTTCTCTCACCCCATACTTTACATGGACTGGTAAGCGGACGAGAGGCGTGGTACGCCATATAATTGGGCCATCTTTTCGGCCGTTCTCTCCTCGGGGATAAATGAAAATCCTATCGTATTCTCCCTAGGCGAAGTCGTTTTAACGACTTTCCTCTCTCCTTTGCATAAATCCGAAAAACATTTGCTGCTCATTTACAACTTACTAAATCCCGTCCATAAATAACAGTGAAATTAACAGTAATTTAATTGAATAAAATAATTTTTATTTTCCAATATCAGTATTTTCTTCCAATACTAGTTATTACGCGCGTTGCCAACTTTTTATTTATGAATTTCTATTTTGCACTGCCGTTTCAATTATATACATACGTCTAGCTTACGATGACCGAACTTTGATTACAGCTTTATTATTTCGTCATTGAAATTTATCTTTGATTGTTACGTAATTATTCATAAGTGGATGCTATTGACAACAAGCAACCAAACAACGTAATTATTCATAAGTGGATGCTACTGACAACAAGCAACTAAACAACTGATGTGATCAGAAGTTAGGCTTTTATATAAGCCAAACACATTCCCAAAAGGAAATTACAATCAAGAGATAATTGGCCCAATCATTTCAGGGTATTGATTTTACTACTTACTATTCTCTGCGTAAACTCGAGGCATATTATTCGTGCTTCTAGGCCGATCAGTTTAAATCATTCCACTGTGAGGTATCTCTGTATTTTCATGATTTAATAAACGTTATACTGAGAAAAGTGTTATATTTTTCACACAGACTGGTATATGCTCCGATTCGCAAACTTATCGTTTCACTAGACTTAATCACGGATGTCGCTGATCGTTAACCAGTGTTGTTTTTTTGCGCCCGCCTTCACCCTAAAATTCGAATTTCGTCTTGTTCATACAAAGTGTATTTTTAGTATATATGGTGGATAAACAAAATACTGATTAATAATCCCGATCAATCGCAATCCCAGAACCTCTAAAATTTGGAGTCTAAATTTTTTGTTGACGCATCCTACTTGCTGGTCAGGAACGGGGCTGTTTAGTCAGACATGTTTTCACTGGAGTAAGAATCATGAATTCCCCGAAATAGAGACTTTCAACGGGCACAAAAAAGTCGAAGTATTCTACAGAAAATCTTTAGTTTTACAAAATGGCGTATCTACCTAAAATGGCGCCCATGGTAAAGTTTGAAAATGCGCTCCCTGATCGCTGACTCACAATTTTTATTTACTGTTGTTGAAATAACATCCTTGCACGCCATTACTTGAGTAAAAATACGAGTTTCAATTCGAAATTATTTTATTCAAACGTTTAACGATTAAGACTTTTTTTACCCTAATCCAGAAGGCTCCCGTGACTGCCATGTTCTAGATACGCTAATGTAGAGAAGGCTGCATTTGTAAAAGTTTGTTATCAAAACTTGATTTTCATGAAGTTTGGAGTCGAAAACTTTTACAACCCGGAGTTGCAGTCGATCTTAAATCTTTTCTCGACTTTCAAAGCCCCAACCAGTGCTAAGCAGTCGGGTCATATTCTCAAACACCTCGCTGTCGAAGTTCAAATGCACAAAAGAAACTTTCGCATTCACAATTTTGATATTAGGAATCCAGTTTATTTCAATATGGCGGTTAAATCTTTTTATTCACCCGCGTTTTTTTTTAAAGATATCGAACTTGCGGTTAGCTATAACATCCTTAAAAGGCCGCCTTATTTTTTTAAAGATTATCCGAGAATTAGACTTAACACATGGAATAATACCTCTCTAAGTAGACTTAATCACGCCGGAAATAGTATCTTCCCGTCAGCGGGAGCGAGTTTTCTAACGTCTTCGAGTACACTTCACCAAACTACCATGCTAGCGAAAAAGCAATATAGAAATTGCATTAATTTAATACAATTTAAAAATAATAATAAGGGAACATTTATTCTTTGCAAGAAGGTAATGGTATTAGATTCACTTCTCCCCCGTCACTTGCAGAAGCCCGTCCATCGGTAAATTGCCATTCTGGTTAAAGATTAAACAGTCAGGTATAAGAACTAGATACAAAAATTCTAAACTTTGTGTTCTGTGGAAGTTCAACATCCCTAGCTCTGTACTTGAGAATTTCATAGAATTTTAATATTTATCGCGAAGGAGAGGAAAAAGATTAGGCTTCTATTTCAATCATATGGATTTCAAGAATCATGACACAATGCTGAAACTGTCTGGTAAGGTCGCAAGACCTTGTTCTGAACAAATAGGAAAATGTGCTGCACAGCACGTTCTGAGCAGGTTTCCTCAACTAGTTGATGGAACCTAGAATTTTATTCTGCCAGGTTACGCTTCATTTATCCTGGCAGAATCAGACTTTAGATCCAACAGGCATCACAGTAGCGTGAAGTCTTTCAACACAATCTGACAATGTTTCTTTTAAGTTTGAATCATCTGGACAGCAGATTTCCTATAAAATAAAAACAAAAAATATGGAAGGTTTTCTACAAAAAAATGATAAAAAGCTTTTGACTTTTCAAGTTTAAATAATTTCTCACTCATAATTCCACTTCATCGAACATACATGATCCTTACCAAAATTCACGATTCAAATCCTTACACTCAAAGCAAATGGTGCAGTAGTTCACGAGTAAACAATAAGAAAAATACCAACAATAAGAACAACAAAACGATCTATATGTCCATTTCTCGTCCAGCATTAGAAAATAAGATGTCGGAAGAAGCCAAGATCCCCACTTAGTTAGGAGTCATCTGCGATGCCAATCAACATGAGTTATCACAATACTTTATATCGCAAACCAAAGAACTACAATATATTTTTTCCAAACGAACGGTTAGAACATTTCAGTATTTGCTTTCAAAATCAATGCACATATTGATAGCAAGACCACCCCTCGCTTGCCTTGATTGTGTTTACTAGCTAAGAACTAAATCTGTCATGCCATTACACAAATAATGACGAATGTGATTCAAATTTTTGAGACAATTGAGATGTAGATGTCTTTGACTTGAGATAGAAAACACATGTGCCAACTCCACAGCATTTCATACAATCACTCACGTCTCACAGTTACAACTACATCTCTATCAACTCAAAAACAAAACGAAAAAAGCATACCCTTGTTTCTGTATTGATAGTAAGATTTGTTGTTCCTATGGCTAGTGTTATAACATTTGCTACTTCTTCTCCTGGAGCTGGTTGTTGGATTGAACTTTCTCCGTACATACTTTCTAACATAACCTGAAAGAAAAGAAATATTCTCGGTAACAAACAAACAATATTATCTGGAGCGGTTAAAACCAAATATTTTATCATTTTAAAAATATCAAATCACCAGAAATTATCACCACATTAATGGACACGATGGTTTAGAATGTTTTAGATGTGTTTAGCATTGCAGAAAATAATATTTTGGGTCCAAACCTCTTGCACACAACCTCAAACAGGATGTTATAAATAAGTTGGCAATTCTGAGTCGGAAAGATAGGATAGGATTTACATATTTATCCAAGGCTGACATTTTCTCTTTCTTTAACAAAAATCAATCACATATGATAAAGCACGGCCTATCGTCCGGTTACCGTCTATGTCAGGTATGGGATTATTTAGTCAGTTATTTTGTTTCAGATGCATGGACTTGATGGTGGGGGGAATGTTGACCAACCAGTGGTTATGTGAACCACCTATGACGGCACATAATAATCCCACGCGATAGTAAAACCTTCAAACTCATGAGTGGTATTCATACATTTTGAAAACCACCAGAAATTATCACCCTACGATGGTGAGTAGATTCCAGCAATTGCCAAAAATAGCAAGTCCAGTGAATTCTTGTACAGACTATAAGGCGTGAAAACATTATCTAAAAAAATAAAAACTTTGCGATATATCAACTTACCTCTAATCGACTTTTGAATTCTTTGTTTAAATCTGGTTTCTGTAGTCGTTGAAGCGGAACTTTTTGTGCTTGTGGATCGGTATCAACTCGTAATATGATTGCAAGTACGGAGTCTGCATACATATCATTTGCTGGACTGGCTGTCCACTAAAAATAAAAAAAACGAGTGTGATAGGCCTGGGAAGAATGAATTTAAATTAGGAAATGCTGGAAAGTTGAGTCATACTGTGAGGCCTAAATCTATCAAAAAAAATTCACCAAATAAAACTATTTTTAAATTATTTCTAGACTCAAGAATATAAAATGTTGTGTTTTTATTTTACCTCTCTTATAGGTACTTAAAGACAAGAACATCTACCGGCCTTCCCTGCAACAAGTGAGTATTACAAAACAAAGTAAGTATCGGTGGGTTGAGGCCTACTTTAAAAAGAAAAATATATATATAGAATGTTGTGAATCATTAATTTCGAATTGATTCAAATATTTAATTTGTTTTGGAATCGCTGGATTAGGTTTTGGCCATCTCAGACATAGACAAATCAGTAAGTCAACTAGTAGTTTCATATGAGGAAGAGGAAAGTCGATAAGACAGCCTAATCATAATTTTGGATAATTATCATTGAATTATTTGAGGAAAAAAACTAAGAACAGAAATAAAGATAGGATAGGATTTACATATTTATCCAGGGGGAGAGGAAAGGCGATAAGATGTCTTCGTCATATGAGGACCCACTTCCCTTGCCGATTTATAAAGTCCATGTCGGGTATGGGAATAATAGTTAACCAGTCAAGTTATATCAGATGCATTAACTTGATGGCGGAGAAAGCTGTAACTGGCCAGAGATTGTGTAAAGCATCATAGGACTACAAGGAGACCTGCAATCTAGGGTAATTAGAGGCGCAACAGCGAGTGCGTTCCTGAAGAAATGTTCCAATTGCCAAACTAGACGAATACTTCTCTATACGGGCATCCTTACCTCTAAAACCAACATATTAGGTTCTTTGACAATTGTAATGGCATCGAAAATCCTCAAACAATCTTTCCCGTTTTGTAGTTTGACAGCTGTTACATCGTTTGATAGTTGATATAAATAATATTGTAACATAGACAAAGGAGCAGAAAATGCAACTGTTTGTCTTTGTGTCAGAACTGAGGTTGCCAGATTCGTGTGGGCTAAAAATGAGAAATGATGATAACATAAATTCATGCATCAAAAACAAATAATTTATCCCCAAACTGACAGGGATTGATAACCACACAATAGGTTGTGGTTCCAGTGTTGTGATTCAAATTTTTTTGTCAGCCGGTTCCTTCACACAAGTCATATTTTTCAGCTGGTTCTGTTACAAACAGAACATTGACAGTAACCAGTAATGCTAACCGGTTCGCTAATATCATAAAATTTCGTGAGACAGTTCTATAGAACCGGTGCGAACCGGCTGAATCCCACCACTGATTGAGCCAACTTATCCCAAAAATAAAAATTAAGAAGTTTTGATTGAGAATTTTCTAGAATTCTGGAATATGCATCAGATTTTCAATTCTGAAGGAAATATAACTCTACCACTGAATTCAATCAAATTATCAACTTTTGAGAATCGAACTGCTCAGCCAAACTCAGTACTAGTTACTGTTTTCAACCCTCAATGTAGAAGTTACAATGATGATTGATACAAATGTTCTCGAAAAGTGGGATTTTACTCAAAAAGATCTCACATATCAAAGAAACGTGCAATTGTGGAGACAACTCTTCAGAAAATAATTATGTAAATAAATCTTTTGAATGTCTCTGCTCAAGAATTTCTAATTAATTCACTTAACTCTCTGTATACAATTCATGGATCTTTACCTGACAAATCTTGTGGTGCAAGTATATGATAATTAAAGTTTCTTTTGACAAGAATTCCAGATAATTTGTCTCCATGTTTGGGTCTCTTCATCGCCAGACTTCCCATAACTTTAGCCATTTTTTCACCTCTGAAACATAAAAAAAAAATAATAAATTTTATGTGAGTGCAAATTATTATTTTATTTTCTAGAAAAAATAGTATCAAATATGGCAGGATGGCCGTTTCGCACATTATATTTAGGTTAGGATAATAGGCTGGGAGTTACAGTATTTATTTTAGCAAATGATTTGTTATTTTTATCGATATTTTCTACAAAAATTCACACCCATAAAAAATATAGTCGTAAATTTCAACATGCCCAAGTGGGGCGGATGAAACACTTTGGTGGGCGGATACAGCCCGCAATTTGCCCATCCTAGAAACAAGGTGAATGGTTAGCTAATATAAAATTAAATGAGAGTAAAATGGGGTCACGCAACATTACTGGTTTGGTGAAGCTTCCTGAGAACCAAGTTAGCTGAAAAGCTCAACAGGAAAGTGTGCTGAAGGCGGTCAAGCGTGGCGGAATATAAAAGTTTTCTTCAAACATACATTAAAATAAAACAGCAAAATTTTGAGAGAATTATCTGGTCCCAAAGTATTCAGAGAAAATTGGAAAAAATTGTTCTACAGTCTTTCCACTTCAGCATAGAACAGAGTTTATCAAACTGCGGTCTGATCAATGTCTAATGATTAATTTCAATTAAAAAGCCATTGCATTTTTTTTGGTTGAGTGTTGCGGACAAATATCCATTGCTATAAGAAAAGGCAATTACTAATTTATTGCTTTTTGCAACGACCCACATGTGAGGCAGCATTTACCAATATGATGACAAAATGCAGGTCAAGAAATGTCGTTTGTGTCGTTTTTTATCACATTAATGTCGTTTGTGTTGTTGTTTTGTGAATAAAACATTATCCTTCCCCATTGATTAGGCACAGAAATGAATATGGCATAAAATGGAGTCCGTCAAAACTATGATTCAGGAATAGGAGTCGAGGTCCAAAAAGTTTGGGAAACCCTGGCATAGAATACCCACTTCATTACATGATAGGATAGGATTTATATATTTATCCCGGGCGAGAGGAAAGGAGACAAGACGACCATATGGCGAACCACGGCCTCTCGTCCCGTCACCATTCCATGTTGGGTATGGGATTTGTTTTTTCGGAAGCATGGACTTGATTGATTTCTGATTACATTTGAATACAATCAATTGGAATTGAAAATAGTTTATAAATATCAAAATTTGGGAACACTTCTCATTTTAGACGGCAACAATCTACCTGAAATACAATTGCACGGATTCCGTATTCTTAGGATTATGTATTTTGATAGAAGTTTCTAAATCATCTTCATATTCTCTGTTCAATGCTGCTTTCAATCTGCCCATTTCATTTGCTTCACCATGAACAAGTACCTGGGTATAAGGAGTGTAAGATAAGCAAGCTTTGAATTGAGTTTTTCAAATTAGTCCTGGCGGAGAGGAAAGTGAAAGACGACTCAATCTAACGGCATGATGATTTCAAATAATGGGTGTCAAGACAAATTTGTGCAAATCGCTATGAATTTACAAAAAAAATATTGGAAGGTCGTGATATTACAATATTATATTCGAATTGGCTATCCTAAAAAAAAAAAATGAAAAGACATGGAGTAGCATTATATAATGAAATAAGATGAACCTACTATATGTGGAGGCTTGATTGTACGCACAAATTCAGAAACCTGTCTGTAGTCAGCATGAGCAGAGAACGAGATGTAGTCAACGGACATTTTCAATGGGATCTTCTGTCCTTGCATTGTCTGTACTTCGTCTGGTTCTGATAGAACATGCTGAATAGAGAACAAAAAACTTATATCAGAAAAAAAGACGGGCAATGCCAGGTAACAGTGATATTAATACAACAGTACAGTCTAACTAAGATGTTATTGCAAACTTGCAAGCTATAGAAACTGTCCTTATGTATAATGGTAATAAAAGCATAAATACTAATTGATGGAATGCCTATCATTGTAATCATTATCTGACAATACTGTAGTCTTGTGGACGATTTAAAATAAGATTAGCATTTATCGAATGAACCAGTATATGCAAAGTTTTCTTTCACATCATAGGTATCAAGTCAACCTGAAAATATTGAATTGGATTGTTTCAAGCCATATGTGTCAGCCACAATTTACTGACATATTCGCCACAGAAGAGCAAATTTACAAATAGTTTATAATGGCCAGGTGTTGGCTTGTGGTTCTTTTATAATATTGGAAAAAGGTTCATTACCTTGCTTTGAGCGAACTAACATATGAAAATCTATTCCTATACAGAAGCCACACTGAAATAGTACAACCAATATTTATTCTACCTTAGCCATTGTCCCTTCAACACAATAACCAGCAATAATAACACCATTCCTTCTATCTGTGCACCAAGTTTCAAACAATTCACGAGATAAGCCAGTCTGCATCATACCAGGTGATGCCATTACTACTGAGGGACCAACGTCATCAAAATATTCCATTCCCTAAAAACAGAGAAGATTATTAGAATGGTTTAAACTTTAAACCAAGGTGTGCAATCTGTGGCCCGCGAGACAAATGGGGCCCACCAGGAAAAATTGTACCATTGGGAATACATTCTGAAACAAAAATTTGAGATGTATTCCAAATTGGGCCATGTTTGATAGATAAATTGGCATAAATCAGAGAAGATTAAGATGTATAAGTTATTTGTATTTTCACCTAGTAATGCAATTTATATGTATTCTGAGTACGAAACCACTGATAGGCGATGGCCAAAACTAAATATACACTCAGGATGTAATAAACAGAGTAGGCAATATGAGATCTGAAAGATTCCAGTCTCTCCTGAAACTGTAGCTTCTTACATATCGTTAAATATTAGTGGATTGCTTTTAGTCTTGTTCAGAGTGAAAAGCGAAAATAAAAAAAAAAGCTATTCCAAATATATTCTGAAACATTATTTTTTGATATATTCAAAATACAATTTATACAAATCAATGTGAATTTATGAAAACTGAATTTCGCATTGAAGAAAAATGGAGATAAACTTTGTTACGGTCATGTTAGGCAAAGCTTATTTTTGCCTTGAGCTATATTTTGACAATTTGACATCCCTGATTGCAATTTTGTCTTTCCCTGACAAAGATGTGTCTACAAACAACTAACACACTCACCTTAAGATTAGAAATATGTTTGAATTGAAATGGATTCGAAATTGTGAGTTGTTTTTGTATTTTGTGATTCATTGCATTTGAATATGTTTGATAAACTGCCATACATTTCTTAGCAAGACTTGATGCATAATAGATGGGAATGTCGTGAAGTTCAGGATGGTTTGACCAGTATTCATCTGAAAATAGTAAGGTATGAGGTTAAAATAGTGTGTTTCAATAACAGATTCTATAACATGTAAAATTTACGCTTCTCCTGGTTTATATTTAAGAGAAGTTTTTCAAATTATACCAAGTACAAATTTAATATTTTTCGACCATTGGAAATTATAAAAAGCACTTCTTTTGACAATATGTATCAGAATATAGTTTAACCCTAAGCCAAACTAAACGAAACAAAGAGTGAAGTCAACAGAAATTGCAAATATTTCATGAAAATCGAAGCAAAGTCCATGTACTTCCGAACCTGATGGGCAAATAACCGATATCCGGAAGGGTAGGAACAATCATGAGAGTATGCAAGATAGACTCATTGACAAAATATGAAAAAACATGGAAGCAATGTTCTTCTAGGAGAAACAACTATCTTTAAATATTGAAAATTTGACTGCAATATGAAGTTGACAAAACAAGTAGCAGAACAAAAAACAGGTTGCATATCATATACAATGATAGTAAAATATAACACAATATAGCTTGAAAAATAATAACAGTGTTCATGCCGGTTAAAAAACAGTGAAAATACACAATGATAAGAAGAGCATAGTCATATACCCACTTACCTAAAATAAGCAGTAATTCTTGAGCTCTACCCAAAGCAAACACAGGTATGAGACATCTACCTCCTCTGTTAACAATATCATGGATTGTCCCTGTAAACCGACTTTCTCTTTCCTCTCGTGGTTCGTGTATATGTGTTCCATATGTTGATTCCTGATTTAGTAAAATACATGTTCTAACAGGATTATCATTCATGAAAGTTTACTAATTTCCAAATTAATAGGTCTGATTACAATGTTCAAAATCAAAATTGAAGGATTCCAATACACTCAAGTACTTGGCCAGAAATGTAGAAAAGACATATACATATAGCCATTATGAAAAGTTTAGGTCTGTGACCATTTATGTTATGCCCTCACCATTTTCAATTTAATTTAATAATCTTTGTATTGTTTCACCAATACTCATTCTTCTCAATTTCAAAAACTGGTAATGGTATCGGGCTATCGACCATCGTGATAGTAATACGATTTCCTTTGCATTTGGGCAAGTTTCATTTTTAAAGTTTAACCTCGAGCAAACTTTGCAGAAAATAAAAATGATTTAGAACTGACCATAATTAGAACATCTGGTTTTACAGCGGGTATCTCTGCTGCCATCAAGTGCCTGTCTTCTTCTCTCGAAAAATCACCGGTATAAAGAACTTTCACACCAGCTATTTCAATCATAAACATTGCAGCACCAAGAACATGACCTGAGAAATATTTGAAAAATGTAAGTTAATTTCAGTCTGAAGAAATGGTTAATCTTACTTAGGAGTTTGGTAGTCAATCACTCATGTTTTGAATAAAATTCTACAACATAAATGAGTCATGGAGAAATGAGGTTGAAGATGGCTATGCAGTCATCTATAATTTCATTTTTGAATTGCATTTTCTAATATTACAAAATGATAAAGATCACATTTATGAAAACTGAGCAGTAACCACAATTAAACTGCATGCCATTACTGGTTTTACATCCAATTTCAAGCAGATACCCTTTCATGCATTCGGCAGAGACGGAAAGTGATGAGAAAGTTTGTCGGGCTATCTTGGATAAAAAAAAAGAGATGGGTCCAAGTCCCCAACATGTTTCTAGAGAGTAATAAATTATTGAACAGAAAAACTTCGAGATCATCTCAATATGATGAAGTGGTAATTTATCTTGATTACTGACAGCTAAAAGCCTAAAAGTTTTTTTTTTTTTCATTCATTTACATAAACCATTATTCTGACAGGACACACAGAAATACTTATCCTTATTTTGTCAGTAACATAATATACTAGAGAAAGTATTGTGCGTAAAAAAAAAAATTGGCTTCCATCTACCATTCCAAGTTCACATCCAATTCTACCTGCATGATAACACCAGAATTTAATTCCTTCAACAACTTTCTCTTCATGAAAATTAATGGTTTCAATTCTTGACATTGATTCTTCTAAATCACTCTCTGTGTAGAGTTGATTCTCCGTTGATATGTTACTGAAGGAAAAACATGATCACATTAATCTTATAATGAGTTAGTTTTTAAATATGAGTTGTCCAAAAAAGAACAGGCTGTCCATAAGATTTCTTCACAATATCCATTTTGTTACGAAGTCAGTTCCCAATATATCTTAACCAGGTATGTTTGTTTTTAATCAGAAATTGTTTAGTTATTTTTACTTCATTGAATACATCTGTGAGGACCGAAACAATATATGGTATCGATAAACTCCGCTTGCAATTTTAAAAAATTTTTCAAAACTTTTGGACAACTTTCAACAAAGTTGAAAACTTGGACTATATTGAAAGCTGGTGAAAGACAGGTTTTGAAAACAAACAAAAAGGTTGTGCGAAATGAATCAAAGGCCCAGTTGAAGTGAGTTGAATGACGGTTGCCTCCATGCCACAGAGATAGAAATGATCTAGCTTTCTCTCAATTTTTTTTAATTTTCAGTATTTACCAAAACCGAAAGAAACAACAAGAATATGCAAATGTAGTATTCTCACATTCCTCCGATATAGTTTTACCAAAAAAATAGAATTAAGTTATCCAAAATATTATTGCCTAGAAGTATAAATATGAAAAGATCGAACTCACCTGACTTTGATATAATCAGAGAGCAACCATCTATAGATAGCTTTTGTAGCATGAGTCATGAACACTCGTCCTTTGAAAGGAGTTTTCTGTAGAAACCATGGTAGACCTCCACAATGGTCAAGATGAAAACTGGATAAAACGGGAAAAAAAGGTTAAGATTCTGTTAATAATATTAGAATAGAACAGTGGTTTCTAACTGAGGGCCCCAGAGTAGTCACTGGGGGCCACAATACTATTATGAAAAATTGATTTCAATTATATTTCGTTTGCATACTTTTCACTTTAAAAGAAAATACCTTGCTCTTCATAGTTTCATTACCTGAATACTTTTGTAATAGGTTGTACATTATTATTAAACACATTTGTCTTTTCAACCTTTTGTTTGATAGACTCCACATAATGAAACATAATAGTTTTTTGGTCTGGTGAACAAGGGGGGCCATGAGTGCTAAAGCCTCCCATACGGGGCCATGACCTAAGTAATATTACCCCAAGACACACAAAAAAAAGAGACGAATTAAAAAATTAAAACAATAAAAATATTGAATTTAATTCTTGGTATATCCCATATTGAAACGCCTTATCTCTTTTTCAAATTAAATGAAAGATGAAACCACTTGACTTTATATACTTGAAATTATTGCCGATTTAATAAACCACATACTAAGGTAAGACATTAAATTCTCTCTTAGGACTTAGGTTTAAATTCAACTCAGAATAAAATTACTTACTGTGTAACAAGCAATAAATCAACTTTATCAGGATCAGAGAAATCAAGATACGGAAGGCCTGCTAATCCACTAATCCCTGGATGAATTCCACAGTCCAGCTGCATAAAATGAAAAGTATTAGTAATGAAGATTAGAACAGACACTAGACAAGCTGTTACGGAATGGGCTACTATTATTGGAATGGGCCAAAATCTTTTCGGCCCAGTTCCATTGCATACTCAATTTATTACACTCATGAATAATAGGCGGTGAGCATGAAAATGGAACTAGATTGAATTATATTTTCTGATGTTTCCACACGTTTCTACCAAAAAATTGAACTAGATTGAACCAGACTACAGGGGTGGTGACTCCTCTATGACCCATGGGCCGGAGCCACGGCCCATCTAATTGGGCCACATGAGCTGTGGCCCATCAAGCTATGGGCCGTGGCCCCATCAGGAAAAATTCAATTATCTTACCAAAATTTTCAATTTTTTACAAAATTGTAAATATTCAAAACAAAAAAAAATCGTGGGATGCCACCAAATTTTTTTCTTACAATAAGCCTTTATATAAAAATAAAGCATAATACCAAACTACCGAAAAGGATACTCCTGTAGTATGTGTACCAGGTTAGGGTTAGGACAAAATTTTGTTCAGATTTTTCACATTATAGTTCTATTATGAGTTCGGAGACTGTCTGTGTTAGCCAAGTGAATAGTCCCTTTACACAACTCGATGGGTCGCGGCCCATAGCCTGATGGGCCGAGGCCCAATTCAATGGGCCGTGGCCCCGACCCATGGGCCGTAGAGGAGTCACCACTCCCACTCGAACTAGATTCTACTAAAGAATTGAACTAGATTGAATTCTATTTTCTGATGTTTCCACACATTTCTACTAAAACAGCTAAGGCTCCAAGCATGCAGACATTGATACACAAAGATGTCACTATTCTTGGAATCCCAGGAGTCCCTCCCAATCATCATTGATTAGGGAATTTCTATACCTTAGAAAAGGTGGAGGAGAATGGGTATGGAAACCAAACAACATAGTTGATCTAAAGTTCTGCTCACTAAACCATCATGCAGTACAGCACAATTTACAGATGGAGCGACATTGTCTCGTTTCAGAGAATCCCATTTTGCCGACGAACAGACACCCCTCCCTTAGGGGACGTTTGGACATTGTTGTCCCCCAATATCGGTGAAAATGCAGTAAAATGGAGTTGCGTAATAAACTAAAAAGAAGCGCAATCTAATAAACGTAATCATTGAATTCATCGGGAAAAAATAATCCGATTTTTACCATGGCGTTTGAGATTTTTCAGCGAAAAACGGCAACTTTGATAACGTGATGGCCCTCGATTAATTTAGATTATTATCGAGACAAGCATGGCGCGATATGACGCATCTGCCGTCGTGCCAGACACCCCTCATTTGTGAGACATATGGAGTGTTCGTTTTATTGAACCAAATGACGAGACATTCTTGGAATTTGGAAACTAGGCCCTACTATCATGTCCATTGTATTATAAATTGTTGGCTGAAAAAAAAAAATGGAACGAAAACTTTAAATAGTGCTCAACAACCAAAAAGTAAAATCCTTAATAAAAGTCTACCATAATCTTTTTTCCTTTATATTCCATCAAATGACATGATCTCCCAACTTCTTGACCAGACCCACTGAAAATATAAAAAAAACGCTAAATCTGTAAATTGAATCATGTTGAACAAAAAGTTATCATTTACAATACAGCATATTGCTGAAGTGTAACATCTGTAGATTGCAAAACCGGTACAAAAATCTCAAATTGGTTCCATAGATGCATTGTCAGACATAGGAGAAATGAAGTCGTATATTACTCACAGCGGAGTGATTTTTAATAAATCAGTTTCTTCGGTCTTCTGTCCACTATTCGCCATTTTATCCGTTTATCTCCCTCCACGGTTCCGAGAGAATCAGTTACCGGTACCGGTTCTTTCGGAAATGTGGAGATGAACTGAGTAGTGACCGGAGATTTCAATTTGATAAAAGTTTTTCACAAAATTGAAAATTTATTTTGACGGAAAAAACGCAATATACGATTAATTTATTCAATTGCAAATATAAATTATTTTTAGGCAGTATAGATTCAAATTAAATTTATGCTTAAGTACGATAATCATGATTGTCTTCGCGAAAAAATGAAACTTCTCTCTTTCAACTCCAACTTCCACATAAATATACGCATCGATGCATTCATACACCAACAAAATCACGTGACTTTTGGAGACAACCGAGCTGCGTTTGTCGCATGCATGTATTCATTAATTCAATCTTTTGAAACAAACCGGCGAGCCCGAAAAACGTAAATTATAGAAAATGGAAAAGATTCGACCACTCGCGCGTGCTTTTTATCTTGGAACTGTGAGATATAAGAAGGTTAGCATGCCTTTATTAATATCTTACTTACGGCAGTACGGTATCTTTGACATTCAAACATTCTATAGACATTTTAATTTTGTAGGTAGGCCTATCTCCAACGAAAATATTCTACACAAATAAAAAAAATTAAATATTATACATTCTAGCAGTTTCATAGTTATATGAGACACGGATAATTTGCCCTAACGCAGTCATATACACCACCCAGCCCTCAGATCTGCAGATGTTAAATGTATCTGGTGGCAAAGCTGCAAAATGAGATCATACATTTGTCCATTTATAATATTTTGATCAACCCCTTTTTTTCATCGATTCATGGAGATTTTACCCTCAATTTTTGAGGAAGTGTGATATTTTGGTATTATGCAATTGAAATCAATGTACTGATGTAATGTCTCATTTATTGCAGGCTTTGAAACTTCAACACAATCTTGTCAATTGGAACAAAGTTCAACCAGAAGTTGCAAGTCCTACTTTACTATTATTACAACACAACCCTGTGTATACGATAGGTAGGTTTTGTTAACTTCAGAAATACTTTTGTCTGAGTTCAACTTGAAAAAGAATAATTACACCTAATGTGGAAATGCACATGGATTATTCAATGCTAACAATATTACACAGGTTACAGAGACGAGCAATACACAGATGAAGAGCAAAAATTACTGGAAAGTCTTGGAGCAGATTTTGTGAAAACTGACAGAGGAGGTAAATTTCAGATAAAAATTAATTGCTTCAGTTAAAAAAGACATTAAGTAGGGAAGGAGTACCAGTGGTCACTTCACCAACTACAATACTATCAAAGTCTTCAAAGATTATATATTTTGTCACTGAATACACTAAATTATGTTATATTATGCATATTCGAATAGGTACTTCCAAATTATGTGAATCAAGATGGCGGACACCGGAACGTAGTATGTGTACCCGATTTGGCCATGATTTCGGGTGCAAATACTACGGGAGTCACTTGGCTAGTCCCTGAACTCGTAATAGAACTAAAATAAGAAAAATTGGAATAAAATTATGGCCTAACCCTAACCTGGTAGTCTGGTACACATACTACGTTCCAATGTCTGCCACCCACGAATATAATATATTTAAAATGGCAAGATGATTTTAACTCATTTCTAATGATGCCCTCTGTTAACTATTTTTGATTAACTATCCAGAAATTACAACGGCACATTACCAGGCTCCAAATTTATGGCAGAGTAATATCTCACACAGGTTCTATCATTACTTTCTAAAATATTTGTTTTGATATACGGTAGTATATGTCTGTAAAAATTTATCAATTTCAATGCATCACGTCATCACTTTTTCATAGTAAAGTGAATTCAAAAATTATCGGAAGATTCTGATATCCAAGGGTATCAAAAGATTATGCTTTACAATATCAAAGAGTTGCAAATGTTTATTCAAGACCTTCGTACATAAATTGTGATTTACTCTCATTCCTAGGTCTGATAACATTTCATGGGCCAGGTCAGTTAGTTGTTTATCCTGTGTTCAGTCAACTTCAGATTGAAATCGGTGTCAGAAAGTATGTTTGGTTGCTTGAAGAAGTTATCATTAACCTTTGTAAAAAGTAAGGTCATTCATTATATTTCAATATGTTTTGTTATCTGGTTATGAGTTTCCAAATGGTAATTTGTGTATAATTGCATATTAGCCACCACACATTGAGATTATTATTTTTGGGACTGAGGTGGGCCAATCATAGCTTGGTATTTCACACACATATTGACTTGAAAGTTTCCAAAAAACCATTTAATCCAACTTTTACCAAAAAATCTACCGTAAATATTGAGTAACTATTTTTTGGATGATTGTGCAAGAAGATGCAATATTGTGGTATAATATGAATTGATAGTCATTATTTGTTAGATTCATGGGGCATTTTGCAGAAAATTATCAATAAAAACTTGTCCATGTTTATGATAAAAGTATTATGGTTTATGTATAACTGTTTGGTACTCCCAAAGTATGTGTACCAGGTTATGGTTAGGCCATAATTTTATTCCGATTTTCCACATTTTAGTTATTTCGAGTTCGGCGACTGTCTGTGTTACTCAAGTGAACATACCCCGTGCTCATAGGCTTCAGTCCCTTTACACAACTTGTAGTGAAGTGGGTGAACAAAATGATCCATATTCGTACACATGCTTCTGGGAGCGCCCAGTGCTTTATAAAACATAAAGTAGGTTCACAACCGCAAGTTCTCCTTTTGAGTTGGATTTTCCTCTTTCAATAGCAAATCTGAAATGTATTTCCAGGTACAATATAGAAGGCATTCGATCTCCTCACACAGGAGTTTGGGTTGGTAATGATAAAATATGTGCAATGGGTGAGTTCAAATGAAATTTGATAAGTTGATGAGCAGTTTAATTTTAAGACTTTTATTTATCAAAGTTTATTTTATTTTTGTTGTCGAAAAAAATCTAAATCCAACATTACCGTTAAATTATCCAAGGCTGTAGGGAGGATGAGGTAACTTAGATAAGTTTATTTCGACTCCATAATCACCTTAGATAAGGTTTAAAATGTACAGAATATAAGATGGAGGGTATTGCCAGAAAGGAGTTGTATGTGTTCACTCACTTTGCTCGCAGATGTGTTTTATTTATTTCACCGTGAGCTTGCTTGAGATAAGTTATACTTATTAAATTACTTTAATTTCACCAGGTATTAATGCTCAGAAGAAAACATTTTCACATGGACTGGCATTAAATTGCAACACAGATATGTTATGGTTTTCTCGGATAGTTCCTTGTGGCATCTTAGACAAAGGTGTGACATCTCTAAGCTTGCAAACCGGTAGAGACGTCACAGTTGAGGAAGTCATGCCTCAGTTTCTTACAGAAATGTCATCAGTATTCGGATGGGACATTCTACCTTTACAACACTGTGAATTAGACAATAATAATATTGACGACGAGACCTTATTTCAACTAATAACGAATAATGAAAAGAATGAAACATATATGGGTGTGAAATCGTGATACAAGCTCTGATATTGAAATTACTCTTTGGTTTTTTGGTTCCTATATTATTATTACTTTGTTAATTTTATGCATTTTGAATATAAGAAAAATTTCAAACATTAAATCGCATACCTTCTTTTGTTCAAGTCGCATGCTACTGGTGAACTATTATAAAAAATAAGCCAAATGGGTGATTTTCCTACACCCGCTATTGGGGGTGGACACCCCTCCTAATTTTGAGGTGCGATACCACACTATAATTACTAATTTAAGTATAGTTTTATTTAAATATATAGAATATACTGAGCCAAATAAAACAAATTAGGAAGGAAGAAGATGGCGCACAACCTGAACATAGTATTGTGTACCGGTTAGAATTCAGGTTGTGCGACTTCTGGAGCACCACAAATTATCGGTGACCGTACATTTGAACCCATGCGTATATCCACGGGTTCAATCTATATGCGGGTGCTAAAACCCATGGGTTAGGGTTAGTATGGGTTTAACTATCCGTGAAGCAAAAAAAAATTCATAGGTGCAATAGCATACAGGTGCAATTGTCATGGGTTCAAATGTACGTGGGTTCAAATGTAATGGAACCCAAATTATCATATAATTAAGGCTTGGATGTGTCCTCTGTAGCGACACAAGAGCTTAGAAAATATTGACCGATATCTAGAGATGGAGTATGCTGACTACACTCACTGTCAAAATAAATTCAAAATTTGATATCACGACCGATGTAATGAAGTTTAAATCTGCAATATAACATTGTTGCATTTTATGACATCATAATTAGGTCAATTATATGATCCTAGGCTACAGTGTAGATTTGTAACCTGATGTGACAAAAGGCTTTGTAAAAAAATTAAGAAAGTACAATGAATTTCACGACAGTTGTATTAAAAAACGAGCAACGATATGTACGTCCAATATAAGGTTGAGAAAAGTGGGAGATCGCTGGATGACGTCCAGGTAGGGCCTTTTTGTATTCGTACCGAGAAAAGCCTAATAATAAGCCCTGTTGGTGGAGGAATCTAAACTGAACATCGACTACCGTCCGGCTTTCTTCATAGAGTGGTTTCCCGCGGTTGCGGACTCGCGCAAACCACCGAGCCGCGTATATGAAAAATGCACGCACTCTCTCATTGCACTTGCCGTCTTGTGGATCGACAGGGTAATTTGCAGTCATTTGTAAGCAAAGCCGCACAATTCATTTTCCTGGCAGAATTGTTGGCTTCAAACTAATTTGAATCAAATGAGAACTAACGCAATACAAAATCTTACTTTTACGTAGCCTAGTTCAAACATGGATAAGTATCGATAGCATTGCAGGTGGCCGAACAGGGCACAGATCTTAGGCTCATCGGTGTGGTGCATCGTGGTAAGTGTCAGCACCTCTGATTTAGCTCGCAGATTCGAATCCCTCCCATGGCCGTGTGTGAGAGCTGAGGAAATTGCTGGACTATTCGCCGTCGTAGTGTGGTTCACGTAATCGTTGGTCGGTTACAACTAATGAACCACCAATCGATTACAATTGTCAGTGCTTAAAGAGAACTGTAATGTAATCATTAGAAGGCTATTGTTTCCCATGGGACCTGATATTTCAACAAAATTTTGCTGTTTCATTTTATTACACGAGAATACTTTTTATGGAATACTTTATTCCGTCAAGCTTGTCCGCCAATCTTCACAACAGACTCCGCTGCTCAGAGACAGCTATTATTTTACAATAGCAGTACGAATCGCCGCATTTCGTTTCCACATATTTGAACATTGCTCGCACGCTTCAAATCTAACCACGGGCTTTATTTTCCATACTTTCTGTTCCACTGCGCTTGTGATTTGAAGTGTTTTTGAGAGCATATGAAACAAAATAAATTCACCTGTCTCCACCGTGACACATTGATATTAATTTGCAGTGAGTATTTCAAGAGCTAAATTCATTAAAATTTGTGAACCGATGAATTATCCTATTTTTATGTTGAATCGAGTCAAGTATGCCGTCAAAAAAAAAAATTAATTATTCAATTCTCAGAATCTATTCTTAACCCGATGACATGCTGTAATACTAATAATCATGCCCGGACACTTCACAGAAATAACGGAATAAATCATCTGCATCGTCATCATCTCGTATCTGCAGCACTGATGAGTGGGACAGCTGTTTTACAAATAGTATTAAACATACTTCCAGGTTTGTCAAATTAATTATCGTCTACTCTACTCTATCGAATGTGGCAATAATGCTGCCGCGCACTCATACCCCACGTAATGAATGCGATCACGTCTTATTCGTGCGATATTTCTTTAGTATAGTACGTGACCATGATATAGTTTTGCATAATCAGTATTTTCGCTGAAAAAGGAATGTTCTAGTTTAGGGTTGTGCAATCTGCGGCCCGCGGGCCAAATGCGGTCCACAAGGAACAATTGAGCGGCCACGGGGCTAAAATTTATTTCTCCGAAATTTTTGTACCCGCAAGAACCAGAAAGCCTATGTTAAATAAAAATGCGGCCTGCATTTTCACCCAGTTATTTTTATGTGGCCCTTCTGTGCCAAAGGCTGCAACCCTTGATCTAATTGACTGATCGTTGCCGCGTACTATGTTGGCGCCACTGGTGAAGGATATCTGACGTAAATCCATGCCCACCTTGTCCGGGTTATAATAAATTGGGTAAGCGATATGTAAGAATAATTCTTCTTATGGAAACCGCAACTCTACACCTAGAGCAGCAAAAACAGTAAACGCAACTCAAAAGCGACCGACGCCCAGCCCAACGGCCGAAGTAGAGAGCAGGATATGTATTTTCTTCATTGACGATTTTCTCTCGCGCGTGTCATGAGCGGAGTCTTAAAATACAAATTCGGATTTTAACACAGCATCGAATAAAGTGTCAGCATGTTAGTATATATATATATATATAAACGGAACTATGGTCCGTGACATAACGTCTCTTCAATTTTTTTTTTTTTTATATATTATCGTTTGAATTGAAGGCCCAAAGAACCTCATACAAATTTGAGCAAAAACTGTGCCCAATGGATATGTCATGGTCACAACTCGCGATCCAGTTAACTGTACAGCATAACCGCTAGCGTTGGGGGTCGGGGATCCTCCTTTTGAAATGAAAAAAGGTATCGTACATAGTGACTTTTCGTAGCTTGAAGCGCTTTTTAGATCAAGACTTTCGAAAACTCGCTAGCTGTTTGCCCCCCCCCCCCCCCTGAAAATCATTGACTACGCCCTGTGCATAACACATGAAAATGAATATATTTCCCAAATCGCGTTCAATCCACTTTTCATAATTTCAGCAGCACCGATAAACCGATTAGGTTACCATTAATGTGTTGATAGCGTGACCAAGAATCTTGTAACAACGAACTCGTTCGTGTATCATTTACGTCAAATGAAACATCCGGAATAAACTTTCTTTTTCAAATATTAACAATCTAAAGGCCAAACAACCTAACCACAGATTTTATCCTTACCCGTGAACAAAACAGTATTGGAAAGACAGTAATGCAAATTAACTAAATTTTTATAAAATTGTTACGTGCTCACATTTCCTAATTTTCAGCTTTCAAATGAAATATTAGCAATGGCTCGATATAGTAACGAAAGCGCATTTGATACAAAATACAGTGTATCTGAAAAAAAAAACAATGTTACTTATACATAATTACTCTAAAATTCCACTTTAATTTACAGTTTTATGATTTGTAGTACAATAAAGTTAGCATTTAACATTGTTTCGATTAAATATCGCGGACAATAAATTTATAACCAGGCCCATTATTGAATCAAGCTTTACAAAACTTATCTCTTTTGTTAGGTATCAGTTGGAATCGGCACCCTTTTAGCGTATTGTATAATCGCTTAAAACAACTATTTACATTTAACACTCTCCAGACTTTGGAGTGTTTATAAATCTATAATGAAGTGCATGTTACACGACAGGTGCGCACAATGGGTTAATTAACCACGACAAAGCGTTTTCCGACCCTCCTTCAAGATGTCTTATGCTCTCCCTTTAATACTACACGCTTGAGTGGCTTCTGTAACCAATGGTGACTGTCGGCGTCTGTGCTAGCGCTATATCGATACAGCTGGTAGCTATAGTGTGACTATAAAAGTGTATGAGTAATTTATGAGTGTGTTATTCTAAAGTGATTAATAATAATCAGTATTTTTCGGTCTTGACATTACGAAAGACAAAGTTTGCGAAGATGAGATATATGTATTTGGTATAGGATAATGATTTTTCATATTTATTCCAATGGAGAGAAATTTGATTAAACAGTGGATCTTTTATACAAAACCCTCGCCAAAACAGCATCCTCGCCAACGTTCAAAATAAAAAAATTAGTAACTATCTAGTTAGGATTTGAGTTAGAAATGCGGATTGCGCTTTAGATTCAAATTGTCAAATCATTTCCAATTCTAACCCCAATTGGATATTTACTAATTTTTTATTTCAAAACGTGGCGGGTGCTTTTCTTAAATCTCACATTTTTGCATCAGTGGCGGGGACTCTGTACATGGCTCCTCGTTCGGTCACCAGTACAGATCAAAAGTAGGAATGGTATAGTCAAGCATTTCACGAATGTTATTGGTAACGGAAGCCTAATAAGTTATATATGTACAATATATATACGCACAAAATTTTAGATCTCTTAGAAATTGAGAAAAACACTCCACCCCGTTTTAAAATAACAAATCAGTAGTTATCTAGTCGTGGTTGAGAAAGATTTACAAATTTGAATTTTCAGCTCAATCCGTATTTCTAACCCTAACTGTATAATTACTAATTTTCCTATTCTGACCGTTGGCGTTTGTTTTTATTATCTGGCTTTGTACAAAAGATCCAATTTTAGAATGTAAGATTGAGTGTTTAAAAGCGAGGAGGAGATCATAATAGATACAACATAAACAGAGTAATTTGCTGTTTTGTGAGTCGTGATATTTAATCGTGATTTTGCATTTTTATTTTAATTCACGGGTACACTTATATTTGATCTTCGTGTCCATATATTTGAGCATTGTTTTCTCGTTTGCGATGTCCATCGTTGACATAGATTCGATAATATTTACATCGCTGTCGACATCTTGTTGTTTTAGGCATAGAAAGTCAAATTAGAATCATTCTAAAAGAATATTGCAAAAGCACATTATGGAGCACAGTTAACATGATTAAGTCACTTTATCGTCTTTCTTTACCTCGGAAGTTTTTTAAAGCAAGACAGCTGTTTAGCCTTTTTATTCAAAATGAGGTCACATGCTTTTCGAGACTGACTAATGAAAAATTCGACATTCGGCACGCAAATTGTTACCCCAAAAGAGCAATGGAAGGGTTTGTTTATCGGTAATCAATTATAGGCAAATTTCAGTATTATTCAATATTAATAGTTTTAACGGCTTTCCACCATATAGCAATCCTATTTTCACATGCCTATTTATATCTTCAAGTTTGTTTCAGAACTAACAGGATTAACTTCCTCCCAGACTCATCTTTGAGCTGAAAAGTACAGAGAATCGCATAAATATCCGGTATCTTCTAATACGAAGGCGCGCGAATCATTATTCCACTATAATGCCAGGTTTGCACGTGCAAGATGCACGTTATCACAGCTTCGAGAATAGATACATCCTTGTCGGCGACTGGTTATGTTGGGAAACACGGTCACTATTCTGACGATTCATACGAGGGCGCGTGCATACTCATTTGTCTGAAAAATAATCGGAAATGAATTCTTTTGCAAATTTTAATCTCCCACTGTGCTTTTACGACAGAAACGAGTCAATAAAGAGTTTATTTTCAATTCTAATGCTCGAAATCCGTCAACTCTAAAATTGCGTTATGACGTCACATTGCATCGTTTATAAATAAATAAACCATAAAATTAGCTTTTCATTTGACAAATTCGTCGGCGAGTTGAGTTACGGTTTAGGGAGAGAACAATAAGAAATGGCGATAAAGGTGAGTTTTCGATTTCTAGAACCTAAATATTTACTTTGTGGGATCATTGGTTTGTGTTTAACCAAGTATTGAAAAGAACATCTTGTTGTTTTCGTTTACGCGGCCAGGGGTTGCTTTGAAATGACACTGTATTTGGATAATTCATATTCCTTTGAGATCTGCGTTCAGATTGCTTTGAATGTTGCTTCTTACAGATCGTTCGACATCAGGGCATCTTTGTGGAGGGCCTTGTTATGAGCGAGCGGCGTGGATAAACGTCGATCTCTATAAATATTTAATTGACCCGTAATCAGGAGGTAATATTTGACTGTATTCTATAGCTTTCCATTTAAACGCATTCATCCAATAAGCGTAACTCCCAAAGTATGTGCACCAGGTTAGGGTTGGGCCATAATTCTATTCCGATTTTCCTTATTTTAGTTCTATTACGAGTTCGGGGACTGTCTGTATTAGCCAAGTCGATATACCGCCTGCCCATAGGTTTGACCCATAAATTTGACTGTTTCCTATATCTTTCGATTTAAACTCATTCATTTAATAAACGTTACTCACGAAGTATGTGCACCAGATTAGGGTTAGGCCATTATTTTATTCCGATTTTCCTTATTTTAGTTCTATTACGAGTTCGGGAATTGTCTGTATTAGCCAAGTGAATATACCGCCTGCCCATAGGTTTCAGTCCATTTACGCAACTTGATATAAAGTAGGCAAACAAAATTAGCCACGGTACCTCCATATTGGTACACATACTGCTGGAGCGCTTCTCAATGAAAACGGATTCATTTGATAATGTATGTTTCTCGTTGCCTTTACTTGAAGATTTTGGGTTTCAGAATAAAAATGCCAAAATTATGCGTACGATTTAGTCTTTCGGGTTCTATATTCTGTGATACCTTTATTAAAAATGGTTTCTCATCGTAGTGTTATGAGAGCCATGATTTCTCTACGTTCAAACACAAATTAATGTTTAATTGGAACGTAAAACAGGCTGATACTTACAACCGCATTGTTTAGCGAGTGTTTTATGAAACTTATTACAAAATGTATTTATCGTTGCCATCGAAAACACAACATTCGCAGTGGGTCGTAAATGAAGTGCATTCGGCGCCTGGCGGAATAAACTAGTTTATACAGCTATAGCATGATTTGCACTTTGTACAAACAGCAAACTTAAAATTTATTGGTAAATCTTAAAAGCTTTTTTTTATTTTTTCACACAAACTTTTTTATGTGTGATTTAGTGCGTACATTTATTAACGATTCCTCCCTATCAAATTCAAGTCCTTCGAAGAGTTCAGTTTGGATCCGTGCTTCTCAAACGACGGAGCGCGCCCCACAAGAGGGCGTAGACAATTTTTTGAGGGGCGTGAAGCTGATTAAAAATACAAATATCGTATTTGTCAGATTCCAATTTATTTTGGATATCTACATTTCTTCAGTTTGAATATTTACATTCCATCCACGTATTTTCAACATGTTTTTTGAATAAATCATAATTTCGCTTCACCATGTGTTATTTATAACTTATTGTTAGCTAGCTATGTTTAATGTGGAGCGCGAGACAAATTCTAAAAAGGGGGCGCGGCTTAAAAAGTTTGCGACCACTGGTTTAGATCTAGTAACATTTTATAGCGCGCTTAGTGGCTGGAATTTTGAATGTTCACCGCTTTCTAATAGAGCCTGTTTTCTGCAGATATAAAGAGTACAGTTGTCAGTTAGTCTAACTTAGTTGGAGTAGTTGTACTCTATGTTCACGACGTAGGTAGTCCTGCGTAATCTGAATGTTCAAACGTATTCTCATGTCAGTCCGTTATCACTAAAATGTGCCAAGTGTCAGAAAACGCTTCTATTACACATATCAGCAACTGATCTTATTATCACCTGATTTTGTTTTTGCAATTTTCTTTTTCTTTCCTGGCTTCCTTCCCGCTAAAGTTCCGGGGCTGAATGTGAACGTGAATCTGAATGTTTAAACGTATTTTCATTCAAGTCTGTTAACCCCAAAATTTTCACAGTGTCAGATCGGCACTTTTAAAAGCTCAATTTAATTTTTGCAAATTTTTTTCTCACAGGCTTCCTTTCCGCTAAAACTCCGGGTAGCTCCGGATTGCAGTGCATGTCAGTTGAATGCAACTTTATACCGGATATCGCCTTTTCCATCGCCAAGAATACCCGCTCCGACCATCACACCAGATCCATCCGAAAAGTCTACATCACTACCACCTTTGACCCCTACTTCCTCTCCTGTTTCCGATGACGTCATCTTAAACAGCGCCACCACTGAAACAGAAGAAAATATGGCAACACAAGTGATGAAACCTCCTGCACCGCAGCGTTCAAATCTTCGTCCTTCATCTCGTGGTGTAGTTTTTTCTCCGAGACCGATTCTGACCACCGGGCCACGGAATATTATATCGTTACGTAATAATATTGTTTCATCATCATTACACGGATCAAGATCATTTCATGGACGCGTTACGTCACCTGCATCATCCGTGATGTCATCAGCAAATGGAAAACTAACATCAATCGAGATTGAAAACATCATAAGACAGGTTGGCAAAGTATTTAATACACTTTTCGATTTTTTACTTTGTTGCGTTGAATTCCGAAATAAAACCTTTGTATCTTTTAAACCATGGGTGTCCGACAGCCGGCCCGCAGGTCACATCCCTGCTCGCCAGTCCATTTAGTGTGACCCTTCTCAACACTCGAATTTTTCCCCATCAAAAATGAAATCCTAATCCGACAGTTTATGTTTAAAAATACGCTCACATGGGTGGAAATACATATTTTTTTACTCTTGTCGCTGCTTTAAATCGTGCACTGTGATAATTTTTTTAATTCTTTGTGTGTATGGAAAATCTAATTTTTTGTGTGGCTCAGCTAGATGTCTGAAGTTAGTTATATGGCTGTTTCACTTCTCGCGTCAGTCGGTATTTGCTGATGCGTAATGCTCTTTCTTATCTACTTCCGGTAGATCCTGACACTCCGGCAGTTGCCAGTAACCAGGCCCGGAGATCAGTCGAACGTACTCCCGAGTGAGTGCCCGTGAATTTGATTTGATCAAATTCAAAGAAACTAAAAAAAAATAATACAATGTAAAATGTATTTTAGTTTTTTTTTTTTAATTCGTAAAACGAAATCCTGAATGACGTTTAAATTAATGTAATAAGTAACGCGTGTGATATATATGACATAGTCACACCATATTCAAACTCACCGACTGTACTACAGAATAATTTGGTCCTGCGAGGTCCGTGGAGGTATTTAAAATAAAACATAAAACATGCCTACAATGAGAGATGGGCTAAGTTGTAATACAAACATATAACCGATTTTACTATTTCATACTTGTTAGTTGCAGTATATGTAATTTTATGAGACCTTAATTAAATTTTCTTTTTCACAGAAAGTCTGTGATAAGGCAGGAGTGATGAAGCGAGCGTTTCAAACTTACGATACGGAACGAACACTCACTGTCACACCGGGAGAATTTCGAAGAATTTTGGAACATCACTGCCTTCCTCTGACTACAGAACAATTCAATTCATTGCTTATCAAGGTAATGTATATATTTAGTTATTGGACAGAAGATAGACCAATACGTCGTTTTGCTTCATCAGTGTTGTTGTATGAATTTTTTTTGTTTTTCTTTCCAACTGCTGGACTAATCGCTTTCAAAGCTACAGTAATTGAAATATGAAAGTGTCTTTCAAAAAATTAAATTTTTTTAATCCAGGTTCTTCCAATTTTGTTGTTATACACGAAATTGCTCTACCATGTGGCAATTTGACTTCTGTCTCCGCTTTTTCATGCGGCTTCATATTTCATATCATATTTCAAATTGCAAAATCTGTAATAAATTTATTCGAGATTAAATGGGCTTATGGAAAATGTAATCAGATGTATAGTTTAATTGCGTATATACCTATATCTTATATATACCTATCCCGGTGCTCCCGAAGTATGCGAACCAAGATGGCGGACATCGGAACGTAACATGGGTAACAGGTTAGGGTTAGGCCATAATTTTTTTCCAATTTTCCTTATTTTAGTCCTATTATCAGTTCGAAGACTAGCCAAGAGCCTCCCGTAGTATTTATATCTAAAATTATGGCCTAACCCTAACCTAGTACACATATTACATTCCGATGTCCGCCATCTTGGTTCGCATACTTCGGGAGCCCCCCTATACCAGTCAAGTTCCCGGAATTTCAAATATATACAATGCGCCACAATTTTGGTATATATAAAAGTTCGAAAGCAAGTCCATTTCATTCATTATATACCGCAATTTGCGACCCTGGTCCTATTAAGCAATATTACATTTTACTAAACGATATTTAAGAATAAAGCAATACACAAATAATCATCATAAAAATTACATATTTTTCAGGTTGGAACGAACCCAAACGGCACAATCAATTACACCAAATTTCTGGAACAATTTCTGGTATTTTCTCACCACTTTTCGCATTCTCGAGTGCCCGGTTCACCACACGGTAGAGCCGGTACAGCAGGAGCAAGCCTCGTTGTGCGGCCGAGTTCTGCGACAGGAGAATTGGGGGTCCGATCCGCCCCAGCTTTGGGACCCAAACAACATACTGTCATCGGGACAGGGACGGCGGATGCAAAAGAGCAAAATCAGAATTTACATAGATTTGTTTTCACCAAACCCCCACAAGATGTTGGTAAGTTGGTCTTATTGTTGCCAGATTTCTATGGTGTCGTTATTGGACTGCTAATTTGAGATATTCATACTTTGGAAGAATTGTAATTTATGCATGCAGGGTGCAAAATCATACCTAATTCTGATTTAACTTCTCGAATATTAAGTGTGTTCGAATTTCACGAACTTCGAATCTCTGACCAATCTGTGTATCGACTTTCTTTTCCACCGACTGAGTATCTTGGCATTCAGACTATCCTTGTAGTGTGAATGAAAGTAGCAACTAATTCCAACCAAAGCCGTTTTTATAACATAATAAATATTCAATATTAAAAAAGGTTTATAAAAAAAATTCAATTTTCAATTGCCATTAACGTAGTGTCATTTCCACTAGTTTGTTAACAAAACTTTCTATATGTTAATTACAAATTAAATAATTTTTTTCTAGGCATTGACACTTTGGAACGAAATCTTCAACAAAAAATCGCAGGAAATCTTCGAAATATCGTCAAAGGGTTCCAGTTATTCGATTATAACAGAGACGGTCTGATTCAACGGCACGAATTACGACGAGTGCTCGAAAATTATTGCTTCAGATTTACTGATGCTCAATTCGACAAGTACGATTCTTTTATTGAATGTATGTTTTTTATGAGCAGGGGTGGGCGTTTTTTGTGGACCAGAAGCCAAAATTGTACCCACCTAGACTGACGGGCCATGTACGTGTGACGTAAAAAGTTACATTTTTGCAACAATATTTACAGTGTTACAAAGGCAAAGGTTTAAAACAATAAGCCTCATGTCAAAACTAAATTTAATCGCAATCTCATCAAATTCCTTGAACTATTAGCTAAAACATCAAAATTTGGTTTTAGTTTAGTTGTGGCAGCATCGTATATATAAAAAAGACTACCTCGAGTCCCACGTCAAACCACAATTGCTGACCTGACTTTGACAACATGTGTGTCTCACATACTTTACCTCAGTGCGCGTATCTTGGGTTAAAAAAATTTCCTCAAAAAAATCTCCATGGATCTATATTTTGTCCTCAATATTGTTACCTTAGAAAGGTATTTTTGCCGGATATACATTATAGGGATCTATATGAATGTTGAGGCCGTTAGGACTTTGATATGACGCCAAACGTCAGTCACCAAATTCGCATTTAGAGATTCTAAAAAACATATTCAGGGTGTTGAAAAAGTTACACAAAATTATGGTAAAATATTTCGTCATGGCATCTTTAAAAAATAAACTGTTATAAAGCGTCAGTCGTGAAATGTTTAAATGGCATTTCATCGTAATTCAATGTTGGTAAAAGATGTCAGTCGTTAAATGTTTCAAGTAGTATTTCATCTTATCTTTTGTTAATTTTGTGTTACGTTTTTAACACCCTGTTTGGCAAGACGAAGGCTACATATTGAGCTAGTCAAAATCCTGAGTTTGCATAGCAATTAGAAGTTTAACATGTTGCCACACCATCTGCTTCAATTTTGTCGTCATAGGTTCTGGTCAAGATACGACTATCATCACGTTGGAACAATCAATTATCGAGAATTTTTACGAAGACTCGGCGTGAATGCTGCTGCAGCTGATAAACATCTTCAAGCAGTGGAAGACGATAACGGTAAATTGGCAATTATCCATAATTGTTTAAGCCTTGAAGACATATCTGTAAGTCATAAACGCTTATTTTCAATAAACTGATCAATATTCGCAAAAAAATACTGTGACCATTTATTGAAAAATATCAACGGCAACTATGCTTAATTGAATTTATGTTGTCGACAAAGTTACAACTTTTTGAGGTTGACGTTGTGGCGCAAAAACACTGGCCTCCAGCGATTTGTACGTCGAGTTCATTATTATGTATGTGACCTAAAATATTCTGACAAATATAAAGGGTGTGAGTTTCAAGTCTAGCTAGTGATAAATATGTCCAACTTCACTTGACAAATTTAGAACTGCGAATATCCTGATCCACTATTTGTGTCTTTGATTATCTTTATTTAACATTTTTCTTACTTTTTCCAGCACCATGGGATGCGAAAAAGAAGCGATTGGAGAGGGAGAAAGCTGTGACTGATCTTATTTTGAAGAAAGATGAAACCCGGACGAAACATAAAAGCAAGAAACTACGAGATATGTCATTCGTACAAGTGGAAAAAGAATTTCGTGTCAAGGTAAGGATTCCCGTATATAAAGAACTGTTATTGCCTATCACCTATTTCAGGTGAGGGCAACTTCTCTAGTCGGCGGTCCAGATGTGGGAAAATGAAGTCCTCGACGGGCCGGATTATCACAAAAAATACTTCGGTATCCAATCTTTGTTAAATGCTCGACACTCTCTGCCAACTTTACGTTTCTTGGGATATTCCATGGTTAATAAAACTTAATATATAAAATCTAAATCTAAATAAATCTAAATCTAAAATCTAATTATATTTGTAATCTAAATAAATTATAACTGATAACAGTAATGGGGAATGTTTACAACGCTCTCTGCTTTGACCTTATATTGTTTGTTTAACAAGTGTGCTAACGCAATTGTTTGTTCACTGAAGCAATTGTTTATTTCATCAGCTCGCACCGACAGTGCGGTGAGAGTGGAGCGATCAGCAACTTTCACGAATGATGCGTCGGACCACATTTCAGAGTGTGGATGGATACAGTCAGCGGGCCGGTCAAAATCTCGTCCCGGGTCGGACCCGGCCCGCGGGCCGTATGTTGCCCACCCCTGAGTCCTATTCCCCATATATAGGGCAGTTGTTTTTTAGAAAAGTACGCAGACACATTGTTAACTAGTAAATCCCCATATATATGATACTCTAATTTCGAAAGCTCAATGTTTAGACGGATCTTGTTACCAATCCAAGTCAGCTATTGAAATGGCTGATTGATCTAAGTAATGTTCCAGGTGCATTGGTTTTTGAAGCTTTATTGATGATATAGGTGGTACACGCCATACCCTTCGACTGCGAGCGTGTTACCTTAAACGGGATTTAAATGTACAAACCCTCTTGGTATTACTAGCGACGTTTAGCGCTTCGAATCACCAAGACAGTTGAACAGATAACGCGTTGCACTTGCAACACAGTCAAATAGTTTAGAATAGGGGTGGATATATGATTCCAATCGGCATTTGAATGGCCTCGTTTGTAGAGAACTATTGGGCTTCCATACAGACAATAGCTAGAGAGTAAGGATAAACATATGGCGCCAACGTCTTTTGAATGTCCGCCTCCTAGAGCGGTCTACAAGGCGCCATATAGACAGTAGGCTTGATTTTTAGATATGTACTGCTAATCAAGTACAGCTTTGTTTATTTACGTTATCAAAATTCTTTGACCCATTCCTCTTATTATTGGTAATTCCCTCTCAATAACCACTTGGTAATTATACAAATTCACAATTTTCAGATGCGGCAAAATCACGATAACATCAAACGTGTGCTGATGGCCTTCGATTCGTCGCAAGATGGTTTTATTTCTATCGATGAATTGAAAGCTGTGATTGATAATTTTGTTCTACCTGTATCTGAAGACGTATTCCAACAACTCATGTACAGGTATGTGTGCGCATGTATTATAGCAGGCACTGTGAAAGCTTTAGAAAAACTGAGTGTACATTTTCAAACTCATTCATTACACTATCAATTAGGTGTCTCAGGGACTGACTACTTCTTCTTCTTTGTTCAGACGAACGAAATTATAAAAAAACTGTCTGGCAAGTAAAAAATACTTGACAGACTCGTTTAGTTAAATCGAACCCATTAAATTTTCAATTAAGCCGGTATGTCCCATGTTAAGGTATTGCGTTCCTTCCACCCGAGACTGACTTTTATATGAAAAAAAATGAAAATTTGGGTAGTATCTTCACGTCACATTTTTGTTTTGTGGCATTTAAGCACTTACGGCGTGTGTTTCTTTAAAACCCCATTTATTTAATATTATAGCCAAGACAATCTCGCCCATAACCTTTCTTTTTTATTCAGGTTTGAAGTCCGTGGTACCGGGAAAGTGTCTTGGGAACAATTCCTACAAAAGTTTCAAGATCCGCAGTCATCTGGCAACGGACAAACGATTCCGATCGGCAATAACCATAAGGTAAAGTATAAGAATTTTTCATGAATTTACTGCTTTTTAGAAGAGATTTCTGGATATGATATTCAATCTGAATAAATTTTATTTTTTGAATATTTTTCAGTTATACAAAAAATACGCTCAGGTTTGGATTGTCGTCAAGTCAAAAGCTGTGTAATAGTTTTTGCTAACAATTATAAAGAGCAAAACTTTTTTTTTTTTTAAATCTTATTAGAATCGCGATTTTCTTTTATAAAAGTCGAAAGTGGCAGTATACCTCTTTTTATTGGTAGCAACATGCATCTGGAATAATAGTCTTCCAAGTGAAGTATTTCCAAAACCGACCCGGGATTAATCGACGATGTGGTTCATGACAGGACAATTATATTATTGTTTCTATCTTCAAAAATATTATGACGTCTTATCCTACAAATATGACATTAACATTGCTTATCAGAGTTTTGTCGTTTTTTGGTTTTAAAAATCCGAATTTCAAAATTAAAATCAAGCAATTTATTTTAGGTCAACCCAGTTCGTGAAGCGATGGAAGTTTCTTCAACTCCAGAGATTTTAGAAAAATTGAAGAAACATGTTCTGACCAACTACACGACACTCAAGCAGGCTTTTCTCAAGTTTGATGAGGTGAGTTCACTGCAAAGGATTTTCGCTCGACTTTTTTTAATTAAAGATATAAGTCTGAGCAATATTTTTTGTGTATTTTTCGCATGCTATTCTTTTTATCAATACGTATTTGTGGCATATTGTTTATCTTTTAATAGTTTGAATTATACTTTTTTGATCTGTTTAGCTTATTTTCAGTTTAATCAGCTTTAACCAATTAAGTCTGAGACAAATGAAATCTTCTGCGATTATGACCTTTACACGCAAATTTCCACTGGAAAGTGTGATATTCTAAAACGATTGATGTAACCCCTGGCGACTACCTTAAAAGATCACAGGTCAAGGTTTATTCGTGTCATGATTGCGGTGTGCACGCGTGCTTCCAAATACAAATGCCAAAGTCCAAATGTCAAAGTCTTTTTCCAAATTTATTTTGCCTTATAATGAAGCTTCGTTGAGAAGCGACGTTTTTTCCTAAAAATTTTGGCTATAAAGACGCTGATACAATCCGGATTTATATTGTTTTCGACGGAACTGGTTCTGGAAACGAATAGGCGCCTATTTTGTCAAGGGTTAAATAGCCTCGTCATTGGCGGCATTTATATTAATTGTACATTTTCTTCTGTTGAAACTTACTCTCAACCATACCAAACATTATATTGTTATATCCTCAATAAATCGGTTGATTCAACCACTACAAACAGAAAATTGACGCATTATATAATGGATATTGATCTATTGCTTTATTCGTATTTACCTTAGTGAATATGTGGCATTTATATTCAATTTACGTTGTTGGGTTATCATACGGCAATTGCGAAGTTTCAATATTTGATTACGGTAATTTTCCGCTTGGCTACGACACGAAATTTTCGTATTCACCAAGTTAGGGTTCCATTTGGGCGCTCCAGAGATGTGTGTACCAATAGGTAACTAATTTTGTTCGCCTATTTTACGTCAAGTTGTGTAAAGGGACTGAAACCTATGTGCAGGGGGTTTATTCACTTGGCTAACACAGACAGTCCATGGACTCGTATTAGGACTAAAATAAGGAAAATCGGAATAAAATTATGGCCTAACCCTAACCTGGTACACATACCACGGTATTACCAGTTTATGTGATAATGGTCAACTGTATTAATGAAAGCCTCGTCAAACCTAAAACATTCTGCCTACTCCTAAAAATCTTAACATTTTTTGTAATTCTACGAGTCCCGTTGCGTAAAATGAACGTTTTTTTAACTACGTGATTGGTTAGTATACTTTATTCATACTTAGTAACTGATTCTATTATATTTTTAGAAACGTAAAGGCGTCATCACGAGGAAAGATCTTCGTCGAATAGTCGAAAGTTTCACAATTAAACTATCGGAAGAAAATGTCAAAGAACTGTTCATTCAACTTGATCCTCAGCATACTGGATTTATCAACTATCACGAGTAAGATGTTGTTCTTGTATTTAGAATTTTCGCTTTTTATCTCGGTAATAGAAAATGGGAAAGATGGCTTTATCATAGGACAAAGCCGGGCCTATAGAATTTGTAAAACCTCATTTGTGTAAATTCCAGGTCAAATTGGCAAATTTTCAAGATTCAGCTTGTTTTTAGTTGAATTTAGATTCTTCGATGTCCTAATTAACTATAGGAAGAATTCTAGAAAGCCAAACGAATCGGCCACCAATCTACTAAAAGCTGCAGAGGACGTTGAAATCAAGTTCGACGATTCGCGAAGAGCGGTGTTAACTAACAAAGCTCTTTGCGGATTATGCTGCATTTATCAATGAATCCATTTTTATACTGAAGATTCAACGCAATATAAATAATAACTAACTGGTAATCAGCTCGTATATAGATGCATGCATTCTAACAGTCTGAAGAACAGTTTTAACTGAAAACAAACTAAGACTGATGGTTGGCGATCGCACCGCTAGATACAATGCCGGGCTAGTTTAAGGATGTAATATAATTGTGTGCGAAAAAAATCACTGAGCTTGTTTCTGCTTGTTGGGTTGCGCATGCACTGGCCTTTTAAGCATCCTGTCATCAAATCAATCAATCAAATCAAATGTAACAAGATAAAGTGGTCAACTATTTCCATAGCCTCACCGTACTGGTAAGAAGGGGCTAAATAAACATTCTTGGGGGCTCCCGAAGTATGCGAATCAAGATGGTGGACATCGGAATGTAATATGTGTACTAGGTTAGGGTTAGGCCATAATTTTAGGTATAAATACTACGGGAGGCTCTTGGCTAGTCTTCGAACTGATAATAGGACTAAAATAAGGAAAATTGGAAAAAAATTATCGCCTAACCCTAACCTGTTACCCATGTTACGTTCCGATGTCCGCCATCTTGGTTCGCATACTTCGGGAGCACCCATTCTTGAATAGAACTAATTTCAGTTCATCTTTGAAATGAATTTTGACGCCCAAATCCTAACACAGTATTATTTTTTTCAGCTTTCTTCATCTATTCGAACCCCAAGAGAAGGTTTCTGCTCACAAATGGTTGTTTTCCACCCACCGATTCAATCAAAATCAACCACCAGCTATCATGGCATGGAAGACGGTTGAGGATATCTTAACTGAAAAGATATCGGAAAACTGGAGACAGGTAGAAACACTACACAGTCAAATCAGATTTTCTGATTTTTAAGTTGATATATTCACGGCTTTGAGACATAAATACTACACTTTCGTGTTATTGTCTGCAGTACCTGCCCCCAAAATTCACTGGCATATCAATAGCTTCAAACATTTAAATGATGGATGTGACCACATTTCCATCCCTAGCCATAACCTGCGGTCTATATGGCATTCCAAAAGCCCTCTGTGAGTGTGACCAGTTAAATCTCGGCTGGGTCCATGAATAACATCCCCATTCCAAATTTACGCGAAGCGAAAACCAGGTTAGGGTTATGCCATAATTTTATTCCGATTTTCCTTATTTTAGTTTTATTACGAGTTTGAGGACTGTCTGTGTTAGCCAAGTGTATATACCCCCTGCCCATAGGCCCTCGTACCTTTACACAACTTGATGTAAAGTAGGTGAACAAAATTAGTTACCCCTATTTTGGTACACATACTTCTGGAGCGCCGATTAGTTTTCAACTTCTGTTTGGTCAGCCGAAACGTCACAAAATAATTTTTATCTTGCTGGTATTACTCAGAACAAAGTTGAAGTTGGCTGATTGAAACATAGTATTAAACTCGTGATTGATTGCCTGGCTAGAGTAGCTACCATTCTCGATTTTTTGTCGATTTTAATAAAGAATACGTTTTGATTTTTCTAGGTTGCGGATGAATACGTCGCACTTGATCACGAGGGAGATGGAACTATATCCAGATCACATTTACGTAGATTGATGGAAAGATACGCATTGCCAGTTTCTGATGAACATTTCGAAAAGTGGGTATCGGTTGAATGGTATATAATATATAAAAGAGGGTGCTTGGAGATTTAAATACGCGTTGTTGCCACACCGTGTTCTCAGTTCGATTTCCTTTCATTCACGACCTATTGTTCTATTATCAAACCATTTAATTAATCGGTACGCATGAATTTTGAGGAGGGAGAAACCGTACCCGTGACCGACCATACGGGGTCACGTGAACTACCTACGAGCTCGGACAACAAGGAGTCCAGCAATCTTCTTTACCTGATTAATACCCAACGATTTGAATTTGAGATCCGACGCGGTGTCATCCGCGGCTCAATTTTTTTCTTACTCAACAACACAATGCGCTAACCGTTCAATAGAAGAAAATAGAGTGTACTATGCATCTATAGAGTGTACTATGCAATTATAGAGTGTACTATGCGACTACTTATTCCAGGCTGTGGACCTGCTGTGACGAGACATCAAAAGGTCGAATAATGTTCGCACAATTTCTCCGTAACCTTGGTATAGATGTGAGTCCAGGAGATCTAGATGGGACAAGCACTAGGATTTATAATGAAAGTAATGACAGAGAAGAATCGAGACTCAACGATCAAGCTGACAGGTAATTTATGAATGATTAAAAACTCGATTATTGAACACGGAGTTGTTCTTCATTATAAAAATTTTCTTCTTATCGTTATGAAAAGTTTGTTTTTCTCTTTAATTACTGGACCGTTTGCTTTGAAATTTTCTATGCTTGAAGATGGAATTATTTCTAGAAGACTATTACTTTTATTTATTTCAAATTTTTCTGTGATTCGTTTTTTGTGTGCTATGACTTCGAAATAGAGAAAGTTCCGACCCGCACCCCTTGGGTACGCCCCTGGCCAGTACATCTAAGTTCTGCGTAACTCTTCCAAACTTTCGTTATAACCAGATGAACGTGATAAAGTGTTCGATTATTCAGAAAAATGAAATCTAATATTTATAATGATTCGATTAAAACAGCCCATAAAATTAGCAAAGCAAACTAGAAAAACTTGCTGTCATGTTTTTTATACATTGACTACTTTGAAATTTGTTTTCCAGAATCGACGATATGGAAAGAGTTGGAAAACGTCACACGAATATATTCTCAGCGGGCGAAGTCATTAAAAAGTTACAGGACAGGATGTCTCAACATGACACTGACATCAGAAAATCTTTCCTACGGTTCAATACATCTGGAAGAAAAAGAATCACAAAACGAGACTTCAGAAAAGTAATTACAATTTTATTTGAGGCTCTGCGAAATTATCTTGAACGAAAAATGCTCAAAAATGTCAAAAGTTTGGTTAAAATATCCATAGGACCCAGAAAATAACTTGAAAAATAGAAATAAAATCCTGCAAGTAGCATTTTCCATTTTCTAGTACGGAAATTTTTTTTTTTTTTACTTATATGAGATAAAAAAAAATTTCAAACAACAACAACAAAACCCTTGACTTCGGTACTAAGAATAGTTTGCATGCCTACTAGAAGTTCTTACAGTGCCAGGATCACGAAACGAGTCTTTAGAAAAATGATTAGATTAGAAAAGATATTTTATTTTAAGCTCTGCGAAATGATTTCGAACGAAATATATTCAAAAATGGCAGAAAATAACTTACAAAAAATAAAAATAATAGCCGCTTTTTCGTCTTCTGGTATGAAAATTATTTTGATTAACAAAACCCCCCCTGCAGAACAACAATTTTGCAAAACAATCAATATGTATTTTTTGTGTGAGAATTGTTGCTTACCCACTAGAAGTTCTTCTGGTGCCAGATGTGCCCATGTGTTTTACATTCACATTTTGAGATCTGCAAAATGATCTCGAAAGAAAAACGCAGACAGAAATATTTTAGGAAAAATTTGGGGTAAAATATCCATAAATCCCAGAAAATACCTTGAGAAACAATCTTCTGGTATAAATATTTTTTGTCACATATAAATAATGAACCGATTTCCGTACTCAAAGATGTAATATGCGGCTAGACGGCTTTTTTTTATTATTTTTCAACAGTTATTTTTGGGACGTGTGTATTTTTACCTCAAATTGAGCCATTAAAGCCGTTTCATAATAGTATCAAGTTGGGGTTTGCATATACCATAATCCCTTTGTTTGAAATTAAAATAAATTACTTTTATAAATTAAAATTGTGCGTCCAAGCATAATTATATATTACTTGAGTTATTTAAAAAGTTACTTGTAAGGTATGAACATATTTTAAAATTATTATTTTTTTGGCCAAAAAATATTTCTCAAGCACGATCCATCCACGCGTCAAATTTTCATTTAATTCTACCACTTCAATAGCGGTTCCATTAGATCGGTGCTTCTCAACCTTTTATCTCTCGTGGCCAACTTCCGTTGCACAAAAAATTATGTGGTCATTTACTTTCTCATGCAAGGGAAAAACTACAAAAAAAAGCAAAAAATTCTTTATGCTGAATCAGACACTTTCATTTCCATAATTTTTACTAAAAATTATTATTCAGTAGCTTAGTACAGTATTATTGCTCATTGCTATTACAATCAAAGTTTAACTAATTTATCAATAACTCTTGTAAATTTTTGAAATTGTTTGTGGCCAACCCGAAAATGTTTATTTGGCGCAGCAGTGGGCCATGAACCGGTGCATTAGATAATTAATATGACATTCAATTTATTTTTTAAGGTTCTGGAAGACATTGGTTTACGAATGCACGATGCACAGTTTGAAGAACTCACTAAATCTCTTGGATTCAATGGCCGTGGTCTCGAATACTCGGATTTCATTCATAATTTTGAAAACGCAAAAGGAAAAGGAATGGGACAGGTAATATAGCAGTAGTACCAGGCACTGCTATGACGTAGAAATTGAGAATCATTTGCGTAATGTCAGATTTGACAAAAATACTAAATTATTAGCACACTTAAATGTTTGGCTATAGCTAGTTATAACAGTTTTAATTAGCCTGATCCTGATACTATGTGAAGTTACCTTTTTAAAATTGAAATTCAAATAAATTGTTTTTACTAGGGAAACTGATACTGCTTATCTGGTGGGATGAAATAAGATAGTATATTTTCCCGGAAAACAGCTTTGTCTTATTTATTCTAAGAAGCTTGTTTTTTTGTATTTATATTTAATTAGTTTTAGATGCCTCTTCAACTTTATACATATATATATATATATATTATTCATTTGGCGTCTATTTACTTGTCCGAGGAAGTTCGTCTGTATACCGACGAAATATATTGTCGTTTTCATTTCCCCATATAGGCGTATTATTGACTATTAACTATTATCTATTTTATTGTACTGGCATATGTAGTCTTTAGCTTGATTTCTAGAACTCGTGCTCTCGAGAGTGACCTTTGGTCTCTTTTCCAGCCAATTCTAATAAAAAAATATTTTTTCTTCACTTCGTAGGAACTCGAAAGAGCTAGCAATCACATTGTCAACCCAACAAACGTGAAATACATGAAAGCGTCTGAGTGTTATAATTTATTATTGGACAGGTTGAGACAAAATTACGGGGTAAGACGAATTTTATTGCTCTTAAGTTTAATTTATAGTTTATTAGTAAAGAGTTGTCACGGGAGTCGCTAGGTCGGTTTGAATTGTGTGCACGATTTCGAGAGAGTAAATTCAGCAATAAAAGTTTTGCAGTCAGTCTCGCTAATGATCAATTTCCGTAAATCAATTTTGGCGGTTTTGCTTTTTTTTGTTTAATAGTCATTAACTATTGCTGCGCACCGGTCTGTTAACTCAGATATTATCAGATGGATTCCGAAGCACATAAGTCAGTGGTCGCAAACTTCATCTGCTGCCGCAGTGAGACGTGTATGTGGCCTTTTTTTTTATATATTTCATCATACAATACATTGTTTTTATTTACTTATTAACAATGTGAAGGATGATGTTGTTTCTGTGTCCTCGCCAAAGCGGCAACTTCGTTGCCCCGCCGTACGTCGTCCAATTGACGACCTGACAAGCGGGCGCAAAATTTAATCATAGTGTAATAACTTTTAGATAGAGCTGCTCACAGCAATATGTGCTTTTGAACGTGCACACTTCACGTTTAACACTGTCTCACAGATGATCAGTGGCATAGCCGGGGTCTCGGGGTAGAATTTCGTTTTTGCAATGACACGTTTAACATTAAAATACCCTTAACAATTGCGTTGCTGACCTGGTTTATCAAGCGGACTGGTTTTGAAACGCGCGAGAAAGAAAAATTATTTTTTAAAAGCACTTTGGAATATTCGGCCTTCGTGGCAAACTTGCCTCCGCTTCCCAGACATTTGTTGAATTTAAAAATCAAAATAAACTTAACTTATATTTACAACCAACGATCGGACGTCCAAGTAAACGACTGACGCTACTCGCTATAAAAGAAGCGACGGACGGCGGCATATGTTACCACATAAATCCATGTAGATGCATTACATTTAAGATCAATTTTTGTTTTAGAAACTAAAAGTCGTTCGAAGGCCGCAATAAATTCGTTCGCGGACCGCATTTGGCCCGCGGGCCGCAGTTTGCCGCTCCCTGACATAAGTGGAGCTAGCATATGACATGTGGAGGCTATTGTGACGTCACAGAGGCAGATACGATCGACGGAGCTTTTTTCGAGTTTTTGCCTCATAAATTCTAGCTGAGCGCTTATAAATTTAAATTTGCATTGTAGCATATATATACATAAACATATACTGTCTTATATTTTATTCCTAATATTTCCAAATTTCGCAAATTACAGAGTGTCCGAAGTGCCTTCTACAAAGTCGACGATGATCATGACGGTATATTGACAATGACTGAGTTCAGAAGGCTTTTGGACAGTTTTATGTTTATTATAACAGGTGTGCTAAAGATTAGGACTTCAGAATTGTTTGTTATATCAGACTGCTACATGTAAATATCATTAGGTTTGAACACATATTTTATTAAATCGGAAAGATCAGAAATTGTACGTGGCAGAAATTAAAATGAAATAATAGAATGCAGTGGTACCCTTTTATCACACATATTTGTCTTGTATTTTCGAATTCTTTCCCCCACTTTAGGTTGGAGATACTGACTTCATGGAATATGATTTATTAAAATTTAAGCACTTTCTGCTTTCAGTATTCTAACACTGCATTACATGGGCAATGTCTTCCTTGAAAAATTGAAAAGATTCACCATGTCGTTGCACAGTTAGAGAATCACTCAGTGTTTTACCTAACCTATATTAAGTCGGACCGGGACTATTGCCCCCTTTATGTGGCTTATTTACACATCTAGGAATTCGTTGTTATTCATTATCTTGAAATTTAGATGAAACATTTGCTGATCTGCTACGAATGCTAGGACTGAACAGACGATCCAGACTATCTTATCATGATTTCCTCGATAAGTTTGAGGTCGTAGATAAAGAAGAAGGTCATCCATGGCTGAATTCACAACACAGGTATAGAAATGAATATAAATATTTTGGCTATAAACTGATAACAGTAATTATGAATCTGACGTTTATATGCATTTGTCGGCGCTCCCGTAGTATTCGTAGTCTCTCACCTCACATACTATGTTCAGGCTGTGCGCCATCTTGGTGCGAACACTACGGGAGCACCCATTTGTCTACATTGTAACCGTAGGTTCACGGATAAACTATTCTCAAAAAAATATTTGTGGAGGTAGCTTATGGCTTATGTTCATTTAGAAAAAGGTTTGGATCTAGAATGTCTGAATAATCATCACTGAATCCTATTCAAACTAGTTGAGCATTACAATCGACCGTTTCAAATTATATTATTTGAGAAAATATAACAAAAATGGCCTGTCTGTTGGCGATTAGAATGTAGTAATTAGAATGTAGAATCTAGTAATTGTCCACCCCTGAACTAGTCCAAATATTTCAATTTTTATTCAGATGGAACAAAACTCGAACGGCGACTGAATTAGCAGCCGAACAAGTTCACGAATATTTATGTACCAAGGCCGAACAAGCATGGTCCGATCTTGCAAAAGCGTTTCAGAACTTTGATGCAGATGGCAACGGGGTTATTAGGAAGAAGGAATTACGATCGATATTGTACAGGTAAGTAAATGAAAGATAGTAATAAGCTAAGATGTGCTGATGCAATATACATAACATCGTGTTTCCCCGGAAATAAGACTTAGCCTGAAAATATGACCTAGCCTGAATTTTAAAAATGATTTTAATATAAACATTCTCCTTAAAGTAAAACCTAGTCGATAGCTCGATTTTTTTTATTATTTATAAGTAAATGGATATAGGGTTTTATATTTTGTATATTTGAATATCTCGTAATTCTCTACTTTGTAATTTTGTTTTTGATAAATAAAAATAAAAGACATTCCACAAAAATAAGCCCTAGTGCGCCTTTCATTGGTTTACTTTGGTCAATCCAATTAAGAAATTAATACCATCATGACTGCCCAATCGATGATCCACTAAATATAAAACCTCATTAGCAATCTGACCTCGTGTGACTCATTTCGGTTGAATAGAGACTGACTTTTTTTATCACCTCATTTGTTTTACAATATTTGTAATCCGAAACATATGCCATTTGAAATTTCTTGTGGAAGATTCCGTGAAATTAAATCGCGGTATATCTAATTCAAACAATTTCAGGTTCATTCTCCCGATGTCTCATGCTGAATTTAACAAACTCTGGCAGAAATACGACCCGGACAACAAAGGTTTCATCAGTCATCAAGATTTCTTAGAAAAGCTTGGACATGTATTTGCTCCTGGAGATAACTCAGGTTAGGATATTCAAAATTTTTATTTCTTTATTTGTCTATTAGACATTTTTGTTTTAGATTATTCAAGAATCAAACCTTAGAGAGTCATGATAAGATGTTTAGGCTTCAATATCATCACGTTTTGAGTGTGTTTGGATGCTTGATTTGATTCGCAATGAGTAGCTGAAAATGTTTTGTTATGTGGAGCCATGCGAACTGAAAGACTAAAATAACCAATTTTTCAGAAGAAATTTTCTCAGATGAAGAAATAAAATTTTATATGTAATAAATTGGAGTTTATATAAACAATAACGAAAGAATAAGTTGCAACTCAAAAATTGTTTTTTATCTAATAAACTGTAAGAATTGTGGGATGCAGTATATCGGCGAAACGGGAAGGTCGTTAAAGTATCGAATCACAGAACATCTAAGAAGTATTACAAAATAGAGATATGATTTAGTAGTTGGAGAACACTTCAACAAACTGGGACATTCAATAAGTGACTTCTCAGTAACCGGAATGAAAAAACTATTTAGAGACCAGGGCTATCGCCAAACAGTAGAAGCATACTACATCAACAAATTCGGAACATTAGAACCCCAATGACTTAATTTACGGGAGACTCATCTAATATTTATTATTTGATAATAATTCTCATTTTAATGTCATATAAGATCTAAATTTAATATTCCCACTTTTTCTTCAGTTTAGATTATTACTTGCCCCTTGATTGGCGTTTTATTTTACTATTATTTTCAAATGTCCCCATTTAATTTTAATTATAATTCAAAACCTTTATTTGTGTGCTTGTGATGTTTTTTTTTTCCTACTCGAAATATGCTGGATGGTTCATTCATTCTCTTATTATTATTATATTTCAACGCTATTTAAGATTAAAATTCAGTAATAACTTTTATCTTATTTTAATTCAAAATTGGTCCTCACCAAACTAAACATTAATTTACGTTTGAATATTGGCTTGACTTCCTTATTGTTCTCTAGGTACCCATAATCTTGATATTATTTACATTTAGTTAACCATCATTTTCGTAAATGCCATAATTTTTTGTATCACATCTGAAATGAGCCTTACTGATATTTGTGGTTCTAAGATCTCATCATTACTTCTACGGCTAAATACAAATTAAATGTTTATGCATTGTTACGTCATACTTGATTTGAGATTTATATTCTTTTATCAAATTTATTTTTTGCAATTGTTGTAAACTGCTTGTCTGAGGAAGTCTGACTCTGGTCAGGCGAAACGTTACAGCAATACATTTGTGTTAGTGTGCAGCTGGACTCTTTAATTGGATAGAATATACTCCGTGCGTTGGTATTCTGCTTCAATATTTTCTGGAGAACTTTGTATATTTATTCTGCGGATAATATTGCTATATATTGTTGCGATCAGCATTATTTTTAAAAAGAAGTTCTCTGTTTTCGTTGTATTTGGTCTATATCAGGGGTCACCAAACTACGGCCCGCGGGCCGGATCCGGCCCGCGGCGTCATTTTATCCGGCCCGCAATAACACGCAAAAATGGCAAAATTTTTTTCCAAGGGAAATTTTCCCGAGCCTCGTCTTTCTTGTTTATTTCGTAACATTGGCCAATCAGCGAGATGCAAAAAAGTGACGTAATAATAGGTCTTTTCGCATCCGCTCAGACACTTTTGTATGAATCAAACAAGTCAATCATCATTTGCCTCATGAGAAGCTGTAGTTTTAATGTTGTAGTAGTAATGAAAAATTAGTCTAGAAATAGCTGTGATAGGCCAAAATTCCATACCGGTACGCAACTCTTTCTGCGAAAGATGCACTCGTTCACTCGTGGCGCGTGCTTTCGACGAAACTGCTTACGTTTCTTGTGCTAAAAAGAACTTCGAATGTGCATTTTGCGCAAACAGTACTGTGTAATCCCTCGCGTACTGCTCCAATTTCACAACTCAGACTAACTTCTATACTTGGGTCACCATATTTGAAAAAGCAAAAATTCTGGACGGTGCATAACTATTTTCATGACTTCGTAGTAAAAATATGCGCGCGCACGAAATAACAATGTTCTGTATTAGCAGTGTGCATAAGATTGCAGGTGCAGTAAAATTCTGGATTCCGGACATTTTTAAATTCTTCCCGGACACAAAATTTAACCCTAAATTCCGGGCATGTCCGGAATTTTCCGGACGGTATGGCAACCCTATTCTATACTGCATGAATGCAGATATTCATGTGAGTATGTTACAAAAAAAGTTTATCCGATTTATATATATAAAAACTGCGCCATTGGATAGATCTGAGTGAAAATAAGAAAACAATACCAAGTTTATAAAAAAAACGGTCAATAAATAACAGAGACAACGGTATTTTAGTACCACCCCAGGCCAATTTTTTCCATAAGGATTGTACTACTTTTTTGATAAAAACTGCAATAAATATAAAAAAGAACACATATCAATCACTAATCTTTCGATCTGCGTCACATCTATGGAATATTGAGATTATTTCAGGATTTTATTCTGGCAACGGTCTTGACACCGCCGAAAGATCGTCGCAAATAGACGCTGGAGTTGTGCATGTTAGTTTGAGATTTGTGAATTTATTGTATTGCACTGACAAAAATATTTGTCCGGCCCGTTTCAACACAGTTTGAGTCATACCCGGCCCGCGGTCAAAAAAGTTTGGTGACCCCTGGTCTATATTGATCAATTTATCTCTTTTTTGCCCAAATCTCTCCAAGTGCGTTTTCCTTGGTTCGGACACTTTTACCTCATAAACTATATTTCGTTGGTTATTCAGGTTTGCAGGGAACGAGTTACAAAATGGTTGAAGAGAATTATCACAATGTACTTGCTCACCATGAACACCAGCAGGCCAAACACGAAGAGATCGCTCTCAACCAAATCCAGTATTCACGAAAACTTTCTGCAGAGACTGTAGAAAAGGAATTAAAGTAAAATGTGCTTTTCAAACCGTGGTGTGTCAGTCAGTAGTTTATTTTCCCCCAAAATGAAAATGCACTCACTATGAACAGAAATAAAATAAAAAATAGTTGAAAACGACATTTCACGGTATGGTGGATTTAGACAATCAATCGTTTTTACGTATGAAACGAATCTTCTCAAAAGACCGTGCTCTTCCTGCTTCACAATAGCCTTGCCATTTCCTTTCTCTTTATGGGCATGAACCGTTAACCAGAAGTTTCTAATATGCAACACCGGCAACCCAAGACTAATAGTTGTTACATGTGAGGATGGCTATGTGCCCTTATCGTCATCTGAATGATCCCTCGGTACGCTCTCGCTCCCAAACGTTTTTTATGGGATGTGTTCTCACCTTTACTCTGTAAGAGCCATAATCAATCAGCTACTAAAACGCTGGGAGATGATATGCTTTCGAAGAGATGAGATATTTTTGGTTCCGCGCTACCAGCATATTTTTACTACACCATGTCATGTAGTGATGAGCATGAGGCTTGGATATGGGTTCTCTTACCAGAAGCGTCTACATAACCAGAATTATCACTTTTTGGCAATTGAGCCAAATAGGGAAATTTTTCATGTGTAATTAATTCAACACATATTTCTGTAATAATCACGGATAAAAATAGCTATAAAATAGACCAAACAATAACGTCTTGTACCGCTAATTCAACATTTCTCTTATTGTTGTATTTTCAGATTTAGTTCATCTTCATTTATCATATTCTTCATGTTTAATGTAGAATACTAATTACCTGAATTTGTTTTGCAGAGACCGGTTCCGTGAATATTACTCTAGTTTCGATAAAGCATTCAGACAAATGGATAAGAACAAGGATGGATACATAACACTGGCTGATCTGCAGAGAGTTCTCTTCCAACTCAATTATTTCCTCGACGAAGAGCAGGTTAGTGAATTAATATTTTTAAATATATTTAATATTTTTCTCTGATTTGTGGAAACTTATCATCCCATCCCAACGAATGAGGCTCTAGAATAACTATTCAATGATGTACAGGTCCAACTTAATTTTCTCATCTAGGTATTACTGGCATTTACTCGAGAAAATTAAAGTAAAGGCATTTTTACATGAATAATAAGCTGATATCTATGAATATAAAGCGCATTAAGGCATAGTAATATTGCCTGATAACTATTGGAACTTCAACGATGTCAGAGATATTATAAACATCACGACGTTTTATTATATGTATCTCCAATAAATGGAAAAAGTTTAATTTGATGATATTTGACTACTAGACAGTTTTTGGCTCTTTAATTCATTTTTTACGTATTTACCTAAATTTTAAACATATTTTTTTTATATTATTTAAACTTATTATTTTTAATCTAGTTCGTATCGCTTCTGAGAAGACTTGGACTACCAACAACGAAAGCCCGATTGTCGTATTTCGATTTCTTGAAAGCAATTGATGACGGTCGAGCATCGAAATATGGAAAGCGTAGGAATAATATGGGGAAAGAACAATTAACCTGGCATCAGTCATTTGATCATATGAGCGTAGAGAAAGCGATGGAAAAATTGAAAGAAAAGTTGACGACAAGCTATGATTCGATGAGTTCGGTAAGTCGGAGTGATTTTATAGAGCGATGGTAAGAGAATAAGTCTATATCGCGAATATTCAGTGCAAATAGCACTCGCATTGATGATATTTTCACAATCTTTTAAACTCTGATGACCGCATGGTCGTATCGCTCCCCGCAGTCTATACCGAAAAACTTATATATCGTATATTGTTATATATTTTTATTATTGTTGCACGGTTGTTTTATGTGGTTGACGAAATAATGAATCTCTCCCTCTCTTTGGCCATGGCACCCACTGATTGGAAGACTATAGAAGAGAGGGATCGCGTATTTTATGTTTGAATCTGAAATCTTCCACTTGTGACGTCATCATTTTTAGTCGAACTTGATAACCATTGGGTCATTGGCATTCGCATCTATAATCATTTCAAAATGGAACCACTGACGCTTAAAACAAATCTGTGAAAGTTAAGTTCATCAACACTGTATACTAGGGGTGTGCAACCTGCGGCCCGCGGGCCAAATGCGGCCCGCAGCAATAAATTGTGGGGCCCGCGGAAAAGAGCCAATTTTGAATGATGTGCGAAACGAGTTTTTAATTGTGCTTGTGCGAAGCGAACAACGCGTGTCCCAAGTTAGAAAACCAAGATTGTTTTGCCGGTAACTACTAGAATGCCTAACTAAATGTGCGGTCCGCCGTTCCGACTGGTTATTTGTATCTGGCCCTCCTGTATTAAAGGTTGCACAATCCTGCTGTATACCATTGTCACCACGTTGCACAGTTAGAATTCCCTCGCGTTGGAAATTAGAATTAAAATTATTACCATTTTTCTTCAGGCTTTCAGAGCGTTCGATCGTAATCACACTGGATTAGTTAAAGTAGGCGATTTCCGAAGAGTTCTCGACTCATTCATTTTTAAATTGAATGATCAACAGTTCCGGAGCGTGTTGGCCAAATGTCGGATATCACAACCGACCACCACAAATCCGGATAAAATGATCAACTGGATTGTGTTTTTGCAAGATTTCACTCTTATAAAGGACGTGGTACGTGTGAATATTATAAATTGGTTTAGAAAAGGAGGGAATTCCATATTTATTCCGTGGAAAAGAGAATTGGAAAAAATCGACCAATATGGTGAACCCTCTAGTCTGGTTGTCATGCCACGCAGGGTATGGGCATAATTAGACAGCTATTCGTATCAGATGCATAAACTTGGCATTGGAGGAAGACGTTGGGGCGGTTGCGTATACCACCCCAAAAGGGCGAGGTTCCAAGTAATCCTGTCTCATTTAGTTATATTGAAGCCGTTTTAATTGTTAATAAGTAGTATTAGTAGGTAAAATTAGTTGCTTCCATATTGGCACACATACTCCCTTATCTTCTTATATTCACTATTGCCATATCTAGATCAATGTTCTAATTAGTCTCTGCAAATAAACGCTCTGTCAGACTGAATGTCTTTTGACCTAATTTGAATAACCTTACATCATGGTATGCGCGGGTATTTCAGAGTTTGGCAATCACCATCAATATAATGCAGCCCACATTTATGATGACTTCAGCGCAATACCTCTCAACTCAAACCGGAAATGATGATTTCGACGCAATATCTCCCAAGTTACTCAAACCGAGACTGGTTAAAATGTTATCACAATTAATCATTATAACAATATAACTAAAATGTAATTGACCGTTTCAGAAAATAATTTCAAAATTACTTTCAGAAAAACCAAGAATGGGTCGGCCATCTTGAAACCGCAGCGCCCGCTTTGTCACCTCGAGAGTTACCATCGAATGAAATAGAAGAGAGACTACGTGAAGTAGTGAGAGCAAGATGTTGGGTTTTCTCTCGTTTCTTTGCTGATGCTGACTATGCAAAAATCAACGTTGTTTCCAAAGAAGATTTCAGAGATTTGATGAATCAGCATTTCATGAGATTGACCGAGGATCAGGTATTTTTATTTTTATTGATAGTTCGAATCCCCCTTAGGAAGAAGCCCATTCAAATGGCGAATGGGGTCACCGTAAACAAAACTAATCAAAGTATTTACATTGAACACCATCCATAATATTCAGCAGACATCTTGTGTATCGGCCTTGAAACAAAACCAGTTAGCATCCCTTTTGTGGATAATGTAACGTATATCACTGCATATAAGCCGACCCTGCAGATCGCAACACGCCGTACTGCGAATGGTTCGCTTTAGTGCAATTGGAGTTACGCGCGTATAAACCCACCCTTTTTAGATAGCCATTTGCTTTTTAGTTTTAAACTCGGCTAATATGCGAGGATATATATGCAAATACCCATCTGGACCACATATCTCACCCAAGATCACCTATTTTTCTTACATAATATGACAGGCCAACAATAGCCCACTACGAAGGAGGTTTTTTGTAAGTGAATACTAATTTATTTTATGTACATTGAACCTTCTCTCAGAGCATCTCAAGAAATTATACTGAACATTTTGGGTTCTGTAAAACTTACCCCAGGTATATTCCCAATATTGAATTTTTTCTGAGTTGGGGTGCACGAGACCAACCCCCTATCCTTTCGGCTAGTGGATCCGTATGCATGCGTATACTGCAAGGATGCTATGTATCAAAACTATTCTATCCTATTCATTCCTCCTGCAGCAATTATTTTTTTTCATTTAATTTGCGGTAAAGAATTTTTGATAACTGTGACCTAACAATGGTTGTTCAATCATCATTTAAGTTTTAAGAAAATCGTTTCTCTCGTTAATCAAACTCGAACGTGTCTACTTGAGCTTCAATGATCCAGGTAGCGTTAATGACTATCTCCGCCTAATGAGGTGTGTCTGATGAGGGCACTTTACATTGGTTAATGAGGCCAGAGGTATAAAATTTTACTTTTGAAAATGTGAATAGATTGTTGTGTCCTGACACTGACTAACGAACTACACAAGAACCCAACTTGATAGAAATAGAAACGTCAGTTTAATGAAATACAAACAATAACACCGCATAGCAAGCAAACTCAAATAAATGTACAAAATCAACTAATGCAACACGAGGTTCTATAAATTGATGGTATAGGAAACAACAATTAGTACAAACATAAAACGTATGAAAAGCCAATCCACAACGGATTTAACGATATTTTTTAGATTGATCTGATTAGTAAGTTTACAAATACTTTGAATCATTTTATACAACTTCTAATTTGGTCTGGATTGTACATCGCCACTCTGATTCAAATCCCGAGATCTCCATCATTTATCAGAACTGTGCGAAGAGGAACCAACCTTGCAACCTTGCTCGCCTCATTGACGCTTTAGGCCCGTTTAGGGGTTATTAATATAGATTGAAACGTAATGGGTTAAAAACCTGAAAAATAAAGTTAAATGACTAACTTCCTAAAAATTTCTGTTTCTGTGATGTCATAGGAGTGAAAAATATTCAAACTTTGGTGTTGTAAGAATTTAATCGGGTTTTCAGGGACGCGCTTTTTTGAATTACGTGCCTAGATTAAAAGTTGACTTGAATTTAACTAATCGGTTTTAATAGTAAACGATCATGAAATAGTTTACAAAGCTCTCAGACTGTAAGTTTAAGTCAAGTAGGGTCGAGTGGAATAAGACATGCTGGGAGAGAAACTTGTGCCATTGCCAAAGCACTCATCCCCGCCTACCAGGCAAACTTGAAACTGTTTCAAGTAGTGATTGTCAGAGAATTTGACTTTATAAAAATTTGAGGTTTAGGAAAGTTTTAAGATGTCACGCTTATTTTTAGTTTATAAAATTGCAAATGTCCTTTCCTAAAGTATTATTTATTAAATATTCACTACTGTGATGTTGTTTCTTATTATTAGTAGCTCATTGAATTGCAAATGACGTTTCGTGAAAAAAAAAATTAAACATATAGACTTACTATCTAGTACTTGCATTGTTAGTTTTTCGTTGCAGTGTAAATTATTACACACGCAAAGTATCTTTGATTATCCTGGTTTCGACGTATTACATACTTTACTAGTTAAGTTTGTTTGTTGTGGTAATGATGTTCGGTATCCTGTATCTTTCATAACAGTACTGTTATGTTATTGCCTGGCTCTATAAATATTCCAACTGTTTTCCTTCATTATTTTAGCATAGAATAAGTTAGTATTGCCCTACCTTAAGAGAAGCAGAATAAAAGAAAAAACGACCAGAAAATTAGTAACAGCAATGCACTCGACTCTATGCTGTGCTGTAAACTAGCTAAAATATGACGAAGTGTCATTCAGAAAACTGATTTAGATATAGCAAACGTTCACAACCAAGCATTCACTCAACGTAAAGTAATTTGTATTATGTTTTGCACGAATTGAAATTACCATCTTTTTCTAACATACAATAATTATATAATATTTTTAAAACTAATAAAAGATAAATTATTGACATGCCACAATAGGCTTCGACCATTTTATATACATTATAATATTTGATCAGTCATAAAATAAAAATGAATTTCAAAATTGTGTTAACTTATACTATTGTATAAAATAAGATTGTACTTCGCTATACAAACAACTCAAGATGTCTGTTGTGACTGTGCGCCTGTCGCTTTGTTTGATGGAACAATTATTTATAACTTTGTCGGAATTACTTCAACACTGTTAAAAATAATCAGAAAATAAACTGTTAATTGTGGTAGACTTCAAAATGGATCCACTGGTGAGATTCAGAATTTTAGAAACAGATTCTCGGTCCATGAAAGTGTGATGTAAAAACTTACATTTCATGAAAAGATTTTTATATACAGCATTACAAAGGCAAAGGTTAAAAACAATAAGCCTCGTGCCAAAACTAAATTTAATCGCAATCTCAACAAATTTTATGAGCTATTTATTAGTTAAAACATTAAATTTGGTTTTAGTTTGATTGTGGCAGCATCAGTCGGGCCAAATTGAATTACCCAACGGGCCGGATTTGGCCCGCGGGCCGCAGTTTGCACATGTCAGTTCTAGATTCTAAAACAAAAAACCGGAATGGGCTCGCTTATATCGGGAACCCGTGGTAACCCTCTGAACCACTCCAACATGTAGACCCATTAACGAGATTAATTTAAAGGTGAATCTGCACAATTACTGTGAAATATAAGTGAAATGAATGTTCTTGTTTAAAGTGTTAAACAATATGGAAGATTTATGCCAGATTAACATATCATACAAATACACTTGCTAATTCGTGGAAAGAGATTATGCTATTCTTATTTATTTCAAATTGGAAGTTTTAAAATTACTGTGAAATACAAGTAAAAATTAATGTTTTGTTCGAAGTGTTAAACAATATGGAAGATTTATGTCAGATTAAAATATCGTAAATCTAATTTTTATTTGAGCGAATCAAATAATGTAGAATACACTTCAAATAGAAAAAAAGTTTTTACCCGAGTGTTATATAAGGAAGTGCACAGGGAATCAGAAGTAGAAGCAATTGATTATTTGTTTTCAAGGTAAAAGTCAGACATAGAGCAGGTTATAAAACTAGCATCAGAATCGTATAGGTTTATGAAATGTGCGAGATGATTGATGGATATTTACTGGTAATCCCGTAGTATGTGTATCAGGTTAGGGTTAGGCCATAATTTTATTCCAATTTTCCTTATTTTAGTTCTATTACGATTTCGGGACTGTCTTTTTTAGCCAGGTGGATATACCCCTGATCATTGGTTTCATCCCCTTTACAAAACTTGATGTAAAGTAGGCGAACAAAAGTAGTAATCTCCCTCTTGGTACACGCACTTCTGGAACGCCTATTTACTTCGGTATTTCTTGTCTCACAATTTGTAATTACATTTTTGCTAGCCAGATAAAAATGTTTTGAGCGAGAACCAAGTTACGCGTCGGGAAAAATAGCATATGAGTTTGCACATAACAGGTTATTAGTCGTAATTCAATACGTGTAGTTCAGTTTGTTTCTGGTCTGTGTGTACTTGCTGATTTCCTATACCCGCTTACTTGGTATTCGAATGAGCTTGTTTAAATTCCCGTTTATGAAATTATAAAATATATTATCAGTTATCGGAGGCTGAAGATGGGGTTTAAAAGAACGTTTCATTTAGATAAGTCTGAGTCATGGAGGGCGAATTCGCGAGCCATCTACGCATAATTCTCAACATCAAAGCCTACTGCCGGGATGTAGCCGGAAATTTCTAACTTGGACATTTCTAATTACCAAGTTAGGCCATATCAACTAGTAGGTCTGGCTAGAGGCAGAGAAACGTGGGTTCTTAAGACTCTTGACTCTTAAGGGTCTAAAATGCGTTACAAGCTACAGAATCATATACATAAATTATTATGTTGCAAAATAATCTCCCGCTTTTTTATTTCTTGAAAAGGTCATATAAATATATACTAAATATTTACTGTGTCAGTATTTTTTGAAAAATATAAAACGAATAAACATGGATTACGGTTTTGCTGAAAGTATAACACGTCATAACCCAGCAAGGATGTGTCCGAGTGGGAAACTTATTACACGAAAGTTGGTGAATGATCAGTTACATGTGCGTTTTAACTTCTATATGTAACTTTTGCATGAGGAAATTGTTATAAATGTTTGATGATTGTTTAGTCCACGTGTGGTCAATCACTTTCCTGTAAGGGCTGGTTACTGGGCCGGATGCTAAAACTCAATATGCAAAACCATAAGTAAAACACAGTTTGTTTATAACAGCTAGTCCTAACGTTTATATAATAATAGTAAGAAGCACAATGTACCAATCGGGGTCATTCTGACGTTTTTTCGTCTATAATTTCAACAGAAATGTGTATTCATTAAAATTATAATCGTCATTTCAGCAGACACAAGTGAGCCTGATGAAACAGCTCGAAAGGTCGGATTCGGTCCGTTGGTCGTAATTTGCCCGCCGACCTGGAGTCCCCTTGTTTTTCATTTTTGATGTTTTGTACTTCTTTCGGTGCTCCCGAAGTATGCGAACCAAGATGGCGGACATCAGAACGTAACATGGGTAACAGGTTAGGGTTAGGCGATCATTTTTTTCCAATTTTCCTTATTTTAGTCCTATTATCAGTTCGAAGACTAGCCAAGAGCCTCCCGTAGTATTTATACCTAAAATTATGGCCTAACCCTAACCTAGTACAAATATTACATTCCGATGTCCGCCATCTTGGTTCGCATACTTCGGGAGCCCCGTCTATAATTTATTTCTAAGAAGTTAACTGCAATAAACAAACAGACGATTTTTTGAGAAATTTATTTATTTATCAGGGCTTCCCAAACTTTTAAGATCGCGACTCCTTTCAATAAACTGAAATTTCAATTTTCTAAAATTTTTCGCGACCCCTGTTAAGTCGGCATTAATATGCAAGCGCGCGCTTCTCTGTGTGTACTTTCGAAATCGTGAATTTATGTTTTGCACTAATTGTGTTTCGAATCAAAAGTTTAAAAATGTACAATAGATATAGTACTCTTTGTGAAATTGGTGTCCTCTTTGCAACCCCTGAAATTCGTTAAGCGCCCCTCTGCGGTGTCGCGACCCCTAGTTTGGGAAACCCTGATTTAAATCATTCCTATCATAATACTACACTATGATATACTATTATTAAAATACACTGAGACATTGCAAATGTACTCAATATTCCTTCTTTCAATCCAGTTTGACAGATTATGGGCGAAGCAAGCCGTGAACGAGTTCAACAACATGGAATATCGTGAATTTCTCAAAAACTATTCAACTCCTGCTCTTCAGTCTTTGACAGAAAAATCCAAAGCAGACGTAGACAATGAGGTAAGAAGAGTTTGACGATTATTTGAGAAAGGCTCCAGTCAAAACTGATTTTGAATCTAATCGATACAGATCACAAATAATTTTTTGGGGGTTATTAATCGGCTGTAAACGTATGGCTTCATTTTTTCAACTTGCTGTTTAATCTTATCCAACTTTTATTCAATTTGATGTAAAAATTTAATATTGTAGTGACATGTATACATTCGCATTCAAACAAAAAGTATACGTTCGCATGTTACTTTGCTCAGGAATAATTCGCCTTCACTTCCAAGTGAGTGCACCTGACCTTACCTTTGGGCGAATTTTTCCAAATTGTCTTATTTTTATATCATGTTGAATTTAACCTGCAAAACTTAATAATAAAAATCAACCTACTTTATGTGCATTCAAGACCTAAATCATTGTGTTACATTATCGTTGCATATATATTTCTCAGGTATCGTTAAAATCTCCTTCGCGACCTTCATCTGCAAAAGCTCCCGCTATTGAGCGACCTTCAAGTAGATTGGTGAGTTGGAAAATATATAAATGTCTTCACAGTCACACTTCGTCATCCGATCAAGTTTACTTTTATTAGTTTTACAATTACTCTGGGACACTGGGAGCTTGTATGAGCCGATACGACGGCTTATTCATACATGGCAAACCACGGCCTCTCGTGTGGTTACCAGTCCATGTCGGGTATGGAATTAATTAACCTACTGTTTGCTTCAGATGCATGGACTTGATGCGTGGACAGATAACGTTCTGATTAAGGATAGGCCACTTCACTTTGATTGGCAGATTGCTACATCCTTGATCTAGGCATGAACGATTTGTGGGTACAATGCTTTATTCACCGCTCACCGCTCGCGATCGCGTGTGCCAAAATTATTTACCATTCGGCAGAGTAAAAATTGATGAGCAAACAGCTGATTTAAGCTTGATTAGGCTGATAGAAAATTGGACTTGGTGATACACTTTCGGTTGCGATAGTTGTAAAACTATAACAGATAATTTAAGCAAGTTACGAAAGTTAATTTATCACAAACTTCGTGGTTTTGCAATCGTGCTATATGGTAAAATAGCGACATCTAGGTCCGGGTCGCATTGATTGGTCGATGCAATCTAGAAAACGCTCCAAATACCGAAACGCGTCAACGCGTTATTCGATCAATCAACCGTCGACTCGACCCGGACCTAGGTGACCTCGCTAGAGTACCAACCCGCCAAGAGCGTTCATTGTTGTGACCTAGGTATAGGATCATTTTAACACAATTAATACCATCTGCGGAAAGATAATTTTCAGTAACTCTGTCAGCTGATACCATGATCAATGATACTTCAATTACAATTGTGAACAATTGTATTGTACAATTGTACAATTTGTTATTTCCTAGGGAACATCAGATTCAATAACTCTTCACAGAGGTTCCGTTTCACCCAGCATTGCAGACACAGCAGAAGGAAGAATAAAATCTCTGGTTTACAAACATTGGCAAGATATACAGAAAGAATGCAAAAAGTTGGATCCTGGTTTTATAGGGTCAATCCCTGCGGACGAGTTTGTCGGTAAGGTCATTCTAAGGTATTTTAGTGACTTGTTATCAAGTCTGTAGCAAGAGTAAAGTTGCTTACTTTTTTATCAACATATTATATGTACTTAAAATCCACTTTCTCTAAATGTTCTCGGACATATGAAACGTTTTTCCAGTCTTGTGTCAAGTACTTCTTCCCTGCATTTCTCTGCTGACTTGTTTGAAAAAAGAGTTTTATGGATATAATATTAATACAATTACCTTTAGGTGTAGGATTATTGTACGCATCTATTATATGTATTCACACCAACACTGTAATTGCAACAGTCGTTTATAGGTGAAACTGAGTTAGAAATTTCGATAGACATAAAATAGCTATTGGGCTACTAAAATCAGCGGGTTTGCATTTCACGGAAGCTGTACTACATGACAGTCTATCACGCTTAATATAAATGCAATAAATATTTACACAATGTTTAGTAGATTTCAAAAAATTCGACATTTCATCCAGGTGTTCTGGATCGATTCGGGTTATATCTATCTCTCGAAGAAGCTCGTGATTTGATGACACGTTTTGATCAAGGATCGAACTCCGGTTTGTTCAGTTACAGAGACTTTTTAAGACATTATATTCTGACGTTGAAACCACAGGATGAAGGACTTCTTAAGAGGAGAAAGCTGCATGCGTCAAAGATCCCGGTATGATATATGTTATTGTATTTGTGATAATTAATTTTCAAGAGATTAAGGAAGAAAATGTTCTTCATTTTGACGCCGGTTATATTTCTGAAAAAACAATACAGCTGATATTTTGATATCCCTACTTCCGATAACTCTCCGAATAGTGTGAGTCCGAATAGCGTGGAAACAAAATTTGACTATTCTAAATAAAACGTTATTTATTGAGCCTCTGAGAACTGATATGCCTCCGGATAAGATATTCAAATACAAATTAATACAACTGAACTATTTTCAATTTATATATCTCATCAATGTTGTTTAGATCGACACAGGACATGAGAGCGATAGTTTTATTGAAGCAATGATCAGATTACGTGAAAGAGTTTTACAATCTTGGAAGGAATTGCGAAGATCATTCAGAAATATCGATGTGAAGGGGGATGGATACGTCACGCCGTCACAATTTAGACAGGTGAGAAATGCCTAGTACTGAGTGCTTCAAATATTTTGGAATTCAATTTTGAATTATGCTCTGTTGGGTTATTTACCGTTATATTATATTATATAGCAAGATTGGCTTGGGGTACTCCCGTAGTGTGTGTACCAGGTTAAGGGCATAATTTCATTCCGATTTCCTTATTTCAGTTCTATTACGAGTCTATCTGTGTTAGTCAAGTGAATAGCCACTCTGCTCATGTGCTTCCGTCCCTTTTCACAACTTGGTGTAAAGTATGCAAACAAAATTAGTTACCTCCTTATTGGTACACACACTTCTGGAACACCGGGCTCCGGGAACACCTTATCATATTTACTCATTTTGAAATCAAAATAATTGAGTGTGAATAAATTGCCAACAACCAACCTTCATTAGCAGTTATGCTTAGCGACGAATCCTCATTAGCAATCATGAGGCAGCAAATATAAAGCAACCGACACATAGAAACTGTACAATTTGTCATCGTATTTGTAAATGAGTAACATTTTCTGATCATGTCATTTCCATTTGTGGAATAAACTGGATTCTATTTTACATTTATAGATAGCTAGCTAATAAGTTTTGTAAATCAGAACCAGACAAAACAATTTTTGGTAATTTTATCATATACCGAGCACATCTAAGCTGTAGAACTTTTCATAAACTGGACTGCATCACATTTTTTAAACAATCCAATTTCCGAACTTTCAGATTCTTCGTCAATTCTCCATCAACCTTTCAGAAGACGATTTCTATCATTTGGTATCTTTTTACGATCACGCTATGCGAGGGAGGATATGCTACAATGAATTTATACGTGCGTTCTTACAATGACGTCACTACAGATTACGTAGGGTGATCGAAATGTGCAACCGCACACTACCAATTACTGTTTTTCTTAATTAGCTTTTTAGTCTTCATTTTAATAAACTGTGATTCGAAAACAATTTTTATATTTTAATTACTGTTGGGAAATATTTTCGTTAATATTGAAACGTAAGTGATGTTTATTGCTAATTAGTCCATATTAGATAAATTCTCATTCAAACCAATCAACAATGTATCCAGGTAGGCGAAGCGACCACATTGGGCACCGCTGGTGATAACCTATGAGGGGTGACACCCCCTCGATATTTCCATATAAACTATTTTACAATTCGTGCTTCAAACTAATCAATTTTTAAGTTTTTATTTGCACACTTACAGCACACTTACAGATTCATAATTGCTAACAGCTTTCGAGTATTACTTTATTTCCTTTCTCGTTTATCAGTTAAATTGCTAATCCATGCCACTCTTAGTACTCCCTTACAAAGTACTTCCGTAGTATGTGTACCAGGTTAGGGTTAGGCCATAATTTTATTCCGATTTCCTTATTTCAGTTCTATTACGAGTTCGGGGACTGTGGGCAGATACTTTTTTTAGTGAGTCAGTTACAGATAATACACTTGGTTACTGGGTCGGAGGCTCAGGGCTAATCCAACGGCTAGGCTAACGTATACAACAATAAGAACCACAGAGCAAATTTGTGACTTTTTTTTAAATTTTGCAGTTTTTCATCTGATTGTTAAATACTTAATACTTCATTGGAATCGTTATGAGGTTATTTTTATAGATATTATCAACGGAAATTTATCTCCATAAAAAGTATAGTAGTAATTCCAACAGACACAAGTGGGCCGGATGAAACACTGCTTTGGACCGGATCCGGCCCGCGGGCCATAATTTGCCCACCCCTGGATTAGAGTAACTATGTACTTTGTATTTGGGTATATATTTATGTTGAATATACATTTATCATTAGTTATCAAAATTTTATATCAATTTACGATAATAAACAAGACAAAATGATTGTGTGAGCAAAGTTTATTTCACAACTATGAACAAATGTTTCCAAGCAAATATGTATAAGTTAAAATAATAAAAACTATTGAATATTTAAAAAAGGTAAAAAAAGGCATCAAATACAGCAATAATATCGGTAGCAATATAGTCATGAATTCGGAATCCTACCATCAAATAATGCATGAAATGCCGATCGAAGATGGAAGATAAATGTTGGACACTTTTTGCCGTAAAAAAGGCCTTTTGCACTGTTAGATTGGAGCTATTACAGTCGTTTAAGACCGGAATCTTTTCGTTTCGGCATTGCCTACACAATTTATCACACCCTGCGTTCTGGGTGAGGTTGTGAGCATGGGATTTGAACCTGATATTTTAACCCGTTGGCTCAAATCAGGTCAGGGCGTATAAAGAAATTTGAAAAAAGGGTGGGGGGAGTGGGTTCTGATATTTCTAATTATAAAGTTAGACCGTAAGACCGTAAAAGCTTTCCGATCGAAGGCCGATAATGTGGATTTCCAAGAGTTTTGAGGTTCTAAAAATCGTTTTAAGCTACGAAATATCCTATGTATGATACAAAAAATGCCTCACTATGGGTTCGCCTCGCCACTGGTTCAAATCCATTAAGACGGTTGGCGAAAGTGAAGAAAAGTTATTACATTTTTAGAAAGGTATTCTTGGAAAATTCATTCTCAGCTCATTTATCGATATTTATAAGTCAGATCATCAATTGTCTAATCAAAGTTATCCATATGCATTGTGCATTGCATTGATAATAGAATCCATTTTCTGTTATTTCCAATATATACAATAATCGGAAAATCGTTGCAAACTCAAATATTCAAAAAAGCAGAATCTTGTTGTATATAAGACAAATTTTACTGAACTTTCACTAGAATAAAGTCTAGCTTCATCGCAAACTCAGGGACAACAATTTGTACATAAACTAGATTTGCTGTGGAATAGCAAATATATATCGGGAACAACAAGAAAAATAGTTCGACGAATCCGTCATCAATCGACGTGGCGTTGATTATGTCAGTATTGAGACTCATAAACATTCTAAATGCCATTCTTCTCAATAATGACGTCACAGAACTAATAAGAAACGGTTAGAGTCCATTTTTCTGATAAAACAGAAATAGTCAAAAACACGAAACAAATACTATAGAACTCTAATTGCATTAGGATGAGAAAGAGTAATGCGCTGACTGAATAAACTCATAGTACCGGTATGTTACCGTTACGTAAACACATTTAAAAATATCGTCGAAAAAAGAACGGAGAAACAAGCCAAATTTGTGGTAAAACAACGGCTCAGGGTAGCCTGAAATACATAAAATATATGTTTTTATTCATATTCAACTTTTTTTTCATTAGCTTTACTGTTAATTCAAAAATCCACGCTCATCAGACCGCCATCTTCTTCGTGAAATATAGTGCACACAAGAGTCATCGCTGCAATTTCATCACGGCGCTTTATATTACACAGAAAATTTCCCTTTTTCGTAAATTACAATTAATTGGCCGACCTTTTTAAACAGTGTGGATGATAAAATTAAAACATTTAAAATCTCCAATCACGTGCGAGCTAATCCAGGTCCCATATCTCACATAACAAAGGTGTTAACGCTCCTCGCTTCTTCCATGACGTCACAATTTCAGCGTTAAAATGACTCAACGATCGGATTTCTGTGAGAGTTGCCAGAATTTTTGCAAAAATTGACGGCCGGACTGGCTCTCTTGTTAGACTGTATTTTGCTAATACACTCAGGTACTGATCTTGTAACTCTTCAATAATGGCTTTATTCTTGACATAAGGGTAATCTGAAATTAAAATGGATGTAATAAAATTTGTATACAGCAAAACGAAAATAGATATACTGTAGAATAGCTTGAGTAGATATCGAATATCTAGCTCATGGAGGGGCTAACTACTACCCCCCAACGCATTTATTGCGCCCCCTGCTCTAGGAGAAAGTTGTGGAATTTCTTTCCATGAACATTAACTGGTAATATTACTTTGCTTTGCCAAAAAATGTAATCATTTGATGTTTTCACTTTGTCAACTAATATATTTTTTTGAAAATCATTAATCTTGGACATTTCATAAACAGAACTAAATTTTAACTGAAGGTAAATGTGAAAAAAATTAGTACTTTTTAGAGTGAGACAAAAAAAAAGATTTTTTGGATGCGACAAAAAAAACTTTTTCCAACCCTATTATCCAAATAAGGTGTTTCTATATGAGACGTGAAATATATATCCCGTAAAGTTCGAAGCATATACCAAGCCGTAATTGATCGGTTAATACTAGGGGTCTGAAACATTTTTGTCGGCGAGCCATATATATATACCCAACAGACACCTAGCTAGGCCAAACAAAGAATTAGATTTCCCATATACACAATAAATTAAAAAAGTCTTACAATGAGCAATTTTCTTTATTTAACATTTTTTTTGAAACATTAGAAATTTTGAGTTTTTGCATCGTGTTCGTCAACATCAGTTTTGAATAGAATGCAGCTAACGTTTAGCCTCACAGTAAAAAAGGCATCGGGAGAAAGGCGGAAGATTTAACGCAGCGATAATAAGATAAAACAACACGTATTTTTTAACTATATGTGAGCGCCTTTTCAAATATCGGAATAGGTATTTATGCTTGATGAGGACAAATCCGAGTGTTGATAAGGGCCACACTAAATGACTTGGCGGATCGGTTGGGGCCCGCGGGCCGCTTGTTGCACACCCCTGGTTTATACCATTCTACATTTAAACTAGATTTTCTGTTTTTTTTACGAACCTGAATTGAAAACGACAATCGCAATCAGCAATGCATACTCGATCTCATCCATCTGTACTTTCCCGATGCAAGCAAAGAAGTCAAGCAAAGCTCGGAATTTATTGACTTCAATACCTGAAAAATATTATTACTTTCTTTTAATTTCTGTTTCAAAATAGAGTGAAGTTCCCAATTACTTAACTTTTAATTGGGACTACTCGACAGTCCAAATGAACTGATTATTCAAAACTTGAGGCGCGTTTAAAAAATATAGTACAGATCAACAGAAAATTATTAACTAATTTTGTATTGATTGGGTTATTTCGCGACTTACTAGATCTCCATTTTCTACGCATTTGCGCTTCGTATGTCTATTATACATGATGTCTTTCCTAAGTAGTTACAATATGTATTTCTTTAGATAGTAGTTCTCAAACGGCAGGGCACGCTTCACAAGGGAGCTAATTAAAAATAAAAATATTCGTTGACGTTCCATCCAGGTATTTTCAACGTGTTTTTTTTTTCTGGAAAAAAACATATTTTTGCCTCACTGTCTGTTATTTATAGCTTATTGTTAGCTAGTTATTTTTGAGGTGGGCGCGAGACTTGACAAAATCTAAAAAAGGGCGCGTATTAATAGGTTTGAGAACCACTGCTCTAAGATATATATCCCATTCTAGTTTGAAAAAAAATCAATCATTGAGAACTACTGGAACTCACCGATCTCATCCAATATGGCGGGGATGTTGATTTCTCTTGTTAAATGATGATACCCGCATGAATTCCGCAACAGCATTGCTTCGAAAACAGAGCCTTTCAATAAGGCAATTTGGTCTTCTGGATCGAGAGTTATGAAACCTGTGGAAAGTATAATTTGAAATCAGATCTGAGAATAATTAACGCCATGGAGTGGTGGAAATGCGCAAACCAAAATAAGGCATTTTGACAGAATAGACGGAGTGTTGGGAAGTTTTTGCCAGGAATTTTTCAAAGGGAGGAGAGGAGTTCTGATACAGCTAGCGGATCGGGCCGGAGGTCCGAAAACGTTGGTCCCCTAGAGTCTAGGACTCTTGGGAGTTTGAAAAGCGTTTCAGATTACGAATTGATTACGTATGATACAGAAAAATCACTTTTGTTTACATTTCAAAGTGGGTTCCGATTCATACCCTCTCGGCCACGGGCCATAAGTAAACCGATGATATAGAATATAGAGGACTGTAATTACTTTCGAGTTTTTGATAAATTGTGACTAGTCTACTAGTGACTAGAGTGGCGAGTCATCGCGATGTTGTGTATTATTAGGATATTTATTCAGGGGGGATAAAAAGGGGTTTATCATATTTTTATGTTCGTTCTTCCACCATTTTTTTAATTTAATTTTTTCAATTTTTCTGCGTGATAAAAAAGGTTAAAAATATTCATTTCGATAAGTTTCAATAACCAAATAAAAAACTGCAATTTAAAAAAAAATTTTTTTTTTTTAACTTTTTCTGATTTTTTTTGGCTATGGCTAATACGTGTAGGTATTGTTTCCTTAAAACAAACAGCAATTACTATAATGATTTTTTAAATATACAACAGGGTGACGCGCGCTCAACGGATGTGGTGTATTTAAGTAAATACTCTAATTGTGAGATAGATTAAAAATATAATTGTGGTATTTCCCATCTTGTTATGATATTCTGAAGGCTATGAGAAAAGAAAAGTCTGTTTCTGGAGAAAAGGCCTATATTCCCCACAAGTCATTTATTTACATTAACGCGCTTATCGGACAAACGGGGACTTTAGCACTGAACACCACCGCTAACTCGAAATCTACACACAGTGACTGAATGATTATAGTCGGATGCGCGTTGTTTAATTAACAAATGGGGTTCCAACAGAATAACAGTAAGGAGAATGTTATAATCGACATTCTAAACAAATGAAGTGGTCTTCGAAAGCACCCGCGTATTAGAGGTGAAGTTACCGAGATTATAATATCAATAATGAAGAAAAATACCGAACGTAGGTTGAGGGACAGATCGACGAGATGGTGAAAAACAAAGCACTGGGCTATTCTTGTCTATTACTCTAATTCAATACCGTGTGATAACCAATAACTAATGCAATACCGGGGGTTCCAATTTTTTTTCACAAACTACCAAAACTTCCGGTTCAGTTACTGAATGATTGATTGCAGACTGATGTGTATTGTTTAATTAACAAATGGGGTTCCAGTGGAATACCAGTAAGGAGAATGTTATAATCAACATTCTAAACAAATGAATTGGTATTCGAAAGCACCCGCGCATTAGAAGGAAATTACCGATGCTTTGATGATTAATTAATTAATATATCAAAGAACAGGAGAAGGCCACATGCACGAGATGGTAAAAAACAAAGCACTAGACCAGGGGTTCCCAAGATTTTCTCGGGACGACCCCAAAGACAACTTTCAAGTGTCCAGTGCGACCCCACGTCAATAATTTTTTTTTAGCTTTTTCTACTGAACTTTTGAGTTTGGTCATGTGGAGGTGTTAGGTAAAATAAGCTAAAACATTTAAACTTTTTATTTTAATTAAAAATTTAAAATAACGAAATTTACAAAAAAAAAGAACAGTTTGAAAATTTCTTTAATTGGAAATGGTCACTGTTTTATTTTAATCAATTTCATGTATCTGGGGATATATGCTGTCAGGCAAATACAAAAGAATTTTCCAAGTTGATGTTGGTTATGCGGCTCCGATAATCACTTTCAATGAACCGTCACCATTGCTCAGCGACCCCACCGATCTGTTTGCGACCCTACCTACTTTTCACTCCGACCCAATTTGGGGTCGCGACCCCTGGTTCGGGAACCCCTGCACTATACTATCACTCTTATCGGATCTTTCGTACAAAGCCAGCACCACTATTGCCAAAATGTGAGATTTGAGAAAATCACCCCCGCCACGTTTCAAAATATAAAGTTAGCAATTATCCACTTGGAATTAGAAATGATTTGAAAATTCCAGCGCAATCTGCCTGCATTCCTGACCCTAACCCCAACTGGATAATTACTATTCATTTCTTATTTTTAGTGTTGGTGGATGTTTTGTTTGGTGGGGGCTTTGTACAAAAGATCCCTCTAATTGTAATATTATTTTAATACTAAAAAGATTAACTGATGTAGCTCAATTCCGGGTGCCGATACAAGGCCTGATTACAGATTCAGACGACATGGTGAATAGTAAAATCATTGAAATAACCTTGTCTAATTCAAATATCATGTCTTTCTTTGTAAAGATTGCTAGTCGTAACCAGTCAATCGAATAAAAGAAAACACGTCCCTATATCATATTCCAGTGTGGTAGAATTTTTCGTCTGGTTTTTCCTGCTTGTTTCGCTATTATTACTTATCGATTTTAATCGGTAAGTATGTTGATAGGTATTTATTTGTCTGTCTGTCTGTCTGTCTGTTTGTTTGTCTGTTAGATGCACGCGATATCTCACGAAAGCGAGATTGAATCTGCTCCAGATTTTGCATGTGCATTCATCATTTGCTGTTTTGATCAGAAAAGATAATCTGTCTGTCTGTTTGTTTGTCTGTTAGATGCACGCGATATCTCACGGAAGCGAGATTGAATCTGCTCCAGATTTGCATGTGCATTCATCATTTGCTGTTTCGATCAGGAAAGATAATTGCGATAAGATGTTTTAGTGCGTTTTGAAAAATAAAAATCTGCGACAATGATCGCTTTAGTTAATTGATTCACAGTGACGAGGATAAGGCACGCTTCTTTAGATTTCTGGGCGGAGCACGTATGTTTCCGTTATTGTTCATTGATATATGTTGAGTCACTTTAAGTTGATTCGATCTCTTCCATAATTTAGTCGTTGTTGTGAGCTTCTGATTTTATCCAAGTTAATCTCATGGATCATATGAATCCGATTGAAAGGTGAAAAGTGAAAAATCCCGCGACACTAGCACTCATTGAAAAATGGAATTAAGATAATAGTGAATCACCGCGTGAAACTCCGCCTTTAAATCGCAATGAGTTATGAACAGGGCAAAAGCTCATCGCATCATAGCCCCGTATTTATTGAATAATTAAACATCATATTTACGTATTCGCATTTTAAACAAAATCGGTTATGAATTAGAAGAAATCACTTGAAGGCAGCCACATCGTATACTTGTATATACAATGGTAAATTATACGTAGAAGAGCGTGATCAGTATAATCAGTTCCATACATCTGAAACAAATACCTGGCGAACTAATCCCATACCCGACATGGACTGGTAACAGTACGGGAGGCCGTGGTTCGCCATATGATTAAGCCGCCTCATCGACTTTTCTCTCCCAAGAGATAAATATGCAAACCCTATCCCGGCAACCTACGGCCCGCGGGCCGGATCCGACCCGCGGAGCAGTATAATCCGGCCCGCGAAGCTTCACTTAATTATGATAACAGAACAGCTGTTTTTACGACTATATTCTTCACGTAACATAATTTATTTTGAGAGACGTGTAGACTGAATTATATTATAACCTAACAAGTGTATAATTCACAATTACGCGTTTAATTAATTTTTATATAATTAGACAAATGGCAGCAAAACGCAGAGAAGTTGATGCTGAGTGCAAATGGTTTAATGGCGCAGAAAATATTCAAATTGTCAGTCTTCGCTCGCTGCTTAAAATTTAACTTCTGATCTGTGTGAAAAAGTGTGATTCATCGCCCATCTTTTCGGTTTTTAGCTTTCTAAAAATATGTGCCGCCCGCCAATGACTTGCAACCGTTAAATTTGCGAGCCCGCGAGTGACAAAAGGTTGCCGACCCCTGCCCTATCCTATCTTAACCTCATGTTCGACTTTGCATATTGAGAATGATTATTCAGAGTTAACATATTGTGTAGTAGAACTGGCCGATGTTGTACACACAATATTCTGTCTCCATTCTCCTGTGACCTATGTGCTTTAATTTTTTTTGTTCGGGAAGATTGTATAAAACATCACAAGATTGAACGTCATGAATTTACGATATAACTTTTTATTAATAAATTCAAAGTGTTCAATTGAAAAGTAATTTTTTTTTTCCAATTTTATATCCGTTTTTTCGCTGAGTCATCTACAGGAAATGAATAAGCAAAAATTGAACTTATCGCAAAAAATTAATTTGTCAAAAGTGGTTCAGCGATGATTGTATGAAATATTATAATGTCGATTGCTCAAAAAATAATCACATATATTGTAATAATTTCTGATAAATCGTAAAGAAAAGTCGATAGTAACCCGAAATTAAGCAATATCCCCATTCAACCGAATCAGCGTTTGATTCTAAAATTTATTATATAATCATATAGGGTAAAGGTACCATTACGTCCGCAATGAGTCATATTTGCTTAACGTGACTCGGAAATCGTATATCTGCGAGTGCACTTTCTCATTAGGTTTTGCTCTGTCGACCCCAAGGAGAAATAGCCAACCTGTCAGCTTGATTTGGTTAATTTACCACTCAAGGTTGCCTGTTTACATGTAGACTATCACCTGGAATTTGGAAGTTTTGGTGTGCTACTTGTATTTTTGTTGCAATAGGGTCGTATGTAATGAAATAGTAATAAAATATATGCGGTATTTCGTTTCTCATTTTCAATACAGACTCCTACTAATTATTTTTACCAGACTGCGGGCTAGAATAACGGGTGTTCATGAATTTAAAAACGAACATTTCACACGTATAGGCACAAATTCGAATCCGTCGGTGTGATTAATTTCAAAATAGTTCCCGTTATTAAATTTCTTACTAACAATGCAGTTTAATAATCATATTTTGCCTTCATTTTAGCCTAGTAATAAAAAAAAAGCTTTTCATTTTTACACTACATTTTTA